TGGTGGTATGTGAGAGCGCGTGTGGAGCGGTGCATTCCTGAGACATGAGTGTGGAGGTTAGTGAGGACGCACAGAGGATTTAGTCACTGCCATATGTTCCTCTCTGTACGGCGTCTTTCCATGAAATCATTCCGTGGGGACTTTACCATACTTTATTTAGTATTTTGAATATTCTTGGCCTAAAAAGTGAATGTTTTGAGACCTGAAATGGACATAATGATGAGTAAGACACTAAAAATGAACACATAAAACTGTACTACATAAACTGAGAGTAATATTATGCAATTTCACTGCATGAATTACGTTATAGTGGTTTTATGTTGCATGAGGTAAGTCTGTGTACTATTACAAATACCAGCTACTTCATGCTACTACTGCAACAAGTACACAACAGCAATATCTTATCTTACCCTACTACTACTACTACTACTACTACTACTACTACTACTACTACTACTACTATTACTACTACTACTACTACTACTATTACTACTATTACTATTAACTACTTGAAACGCTTTGTGTTGCATTTTTTTATGAAACGCGCTCTATAAGTAAAGTTGGATTGACTGATTGATACTACTACTACTAGTCTCCAATTTCTCCTCTTCCTCCTCCTCCTACTATCTATCACTACTATCACTACTACTACTACTACTACTGCTACTAGTACTTCCACCACCTCTACTACTAAGACTAATTATAGATCTACCACCTGACCCACTGACCCTTTTTACTATAAATATCCCAGTGATGTCGGTCCATGTAAGGCTGAAGGAAAATCACAAATCTTACTTGTATTGACAATTTTCTGTGCTAATTCTCATTAATAGTGACGATTCAAATCTCAGTTCATTTACGATGAATCAGTGAAGGACATAAGATGAGGACATGATAAAGAAGCACACGTAGCCGTGGAGGAGTGCATTCTCTCTGGTTTTATTCTTTAGGAAGAGTTCTGTTCGGTTTACAAAATGCACTGGTAGAAATCGCTGTGACAGGTCGAGAGTGAGAGAGTGTGGTTGGGCAGGCGTGCGAGGGGCAGGGGCGTGCGCTGACCCCTGACCCCTGCGCGGACACCACAGATACATACACCGTCTTCCACCGGAACTACTTCTCTAGGTTTGTCGTTTAAAAACAGCTCTTTTTTGTGGTGTCCTGAACATGGTCGTGTTGTGCCTCCACCTCCATGTAACAGACGAAAAACAGACCCTCGTGGGGTCTACTTTTTTATTCTTTAGAGATTTTTTTGTTTGTTTTTCACATTTTTTGTTTTCAAAAATAGAAGAAAAAAGCAAAGAACTTTAAAAACGTCTATCTATTTATATATCTTTTATTCCTTTGAATTCATTTTCTTTTATGTCCTGAAGATGACTGTTAACCCACGGTGTGGCATGCACATAGCACATGCATTTCTGGAACTATATATTTTTTCCTTTTAAATCTTTTGTATTTAAAAAAGTTTTTTTTTTTTTTTCTCAGTAGCGGCTTTACATTGCTTTTTAAAGACGTTTTGTGGTTAATCAGCGTGTTAGTGGAGTCACTGCAGCATACACACAAACACATGGATGTGGGACATTGTTGACATCAGGTGCACACTCGCCCATTACAAAAATCACACACATTTTCAAAAAATGTGATTTTAAAAAACAATTCTGGAGACAAAATCAAAAACCAAAGCAAGCACAATTCTTGGATCATAAATTCACCCATTCATTCGTCCATTAAAACGCATTCAAAACGAGCAAACCAGGAGCTACATACCTGTGCTTTCTGATTAGTTAGAGTGACATGAGAAAATACCGTGACATTCCACTGAGGTTGGAAAGACACATTTAGGCAGTTAGTCTTTTCTTGTGAGTTTTTTTTTTTTCCATTATTTTTTCATATTTTTTCGGTGCATTCTCTGGTCAATGTGTGATAGGCCTCCAGGTCAAAAACAGGTCAAATCAATAAATCTAAAATAAAATAAACTGTGAGCGGACAGTGGTGTGCATTAGTGATAAAAGTGTTAGTTTGAGGCACACAGAGAAACACGCCAAAAATCCAAATGTAAAAATCTAAAAGTCGACATGAAGGCCGTGACACAGCCGGACATCTTTTTTCTCCAAACCCACGTGAAGGTCACACACACGATTCACAGTTCACATCCCAAACGTGAGTCTCGTGGTCCACTAGAGAGGGAGGTCTGGAATGATTCTTGGTCATTCTGACAAGGCTGGGAAAAAAAAACAAGGAGGAGAGAAACAGGAGAGAGGACGACCATTCTTGTTGCACAGCGCCCTCACCAGGTCAGAGGTGGTAGTCCGGCTCACGTCAAACGGAAGTAAATTCATTTGAGTTAGTACACCTTACAGCAGTGGTTCTCAAACTGTTATATGTATAAAAATCTATGGTTTGGGAAAAAAAATAAAGGAGATATTTTGATCTATATTTTGAAATCAAATGTTTGTTTACCACTTTATAATAACTACACCTTAATTATCCTTAATAAAGCCTCAAGACTTTCATAATGATCCTTTATTAAGAATGATTCTGGCTTAAAAATTAACTCATATAGTGATTAGAGTCAGGAGTTGGGGTTAAGATATTCACTGGGTAGTTAGTGACCTTAATCAAAAGGAACTGTATGTAAGATTTGTATTTCAAACTTAATAAACTCGACCCATCTGTGCCTCCAAATATGATAAAACATGTTCAAATCAAATATAGCTTTTACCTCAACATTTATTCTTAAATCCAAAAACATTGGACTTGATGTCAAAGTTCTTTACATCATAATTTGGTGTTTTCTTTCCCAACATGATTATCCGACCAGAAAGCACGAGTTTCTCATTTGAGCTCAAAAGAAGAAAGAATGCATGCACATCAGCTGAGTGCAGGTGCAGGACCAACAAGATTAGATAAAACTGAAATAATAAAGGTCTGCACACTGTTTCAACGCTCCCAACGTGAAATTTAGTAGCACAACATTTTGGACTACAAGACTATTTCTGTTTTATATCTCTCATTTGAGTTGCCAGTTTCAATACTACATCCAAATGTTTTAAACCTAAAATGTCTCTCTCTGATCTGAACGTCACTACCTAAACCCCAGCGTCTGCAGCCAGTCATGACTCAGTGCTAGTGCAGCCTCTGCAGCTCAGTGAGGGAATTCTGGAGGTTTTGAGCTTTCACATGAGGCCTGTTCATATACTGAGAATGAGACAAACTTGGACGTGTCTCTGTCTGCAGGTTAAGGCACTGGCAACCCAGGTTCAGTGACTGAAGTACTTTCTTTTATAAAACAAATACATACAGTTCCTTTAAGGCGATTCAAAGTGTAGCTATTATTAAGTGTTATCATATTTTGTTATCTAAATGACAGTCTTACCAGGTTGAAAAATTAGATATTTTGTTGTAAATAAGTAAACAAAAATGAAATAACTGCAGCCTGTGGAGGTCTAAAAGGCCACTGGCGCAGAGCAGCAGTCACTTTTCTGTCAGTCAGCCCCACGGCAGCTGTAGCCTGTAATTTAGGAGTGAATGATAATGACCAAACGGTTAGTAGCCCACTAAGCCCACTAAGTACTTAGAAAATTACTATAAAGACTATTTCATTATTATTAGTTTTAGCCATTGTTAGACCTACTATGTAATCCTAATCTCATATCTAAATATTTCATTTACTATCTAGTATGGTAATCAAGGTTTAGCCCTGTGTTTAACCCATGTGGAATTTGTAAAAAGGCAAATATTTTCTATAAAAAGTTTGAGAACCATTGCTCTGACTTCAAGCTAATTTCCCCACAATGCACACCCATGGGATATGACTCCCCCTTGTGGTCAGACACAGTAACACATTGGCTGTGCAAGTTTCAAAACACACCATGAATACTGTGAATATTTTGTTAACAAAATCCACAATTCTATTTTTTTTTCTTTCATTTTGAACACCTCTCTGCTTATTCGTCTGTTTGACATCTGTGGAACCCCGAACCCTGGAAGACATTCGCAAGATATGGTCTGCCAACTTTTTATTTTTTATCTGAATAATTTCTCTAGATTTGTATTTCTCACCACGCCGACTGGAGCTCTTCGCATACCCTGCTTTCCTGTAGCATTACTGCCATTGTTACAAAAAGTTCCCATAAGAAAAACGTGTGCAATATCAACTGTTTCTGTGGCAGCATTTGGCACGGAACGTACAAACAAGCAAGCAAAAAGTAACGCTCTTTTGAACTGAGCTGTGAAATTGGAACTTTGAAATACTGGATTTTGATTGTAGAAGAAATAAAGTCACAAAAGAGGAATGTAGTACAGCGGCAGACAGCGAGGAGAGCAGGGAGGTGTTCAGAATGTGAGAATTAACGTAAAATGTTTCAGATGAGGACAGGATGGACAGAGGAACTGGCCCGCGCACAAGAGATTTTCATTGTTCCTATTGTTTTTGTATCATTCATGCAGGTTTCCACAAGGTGTACAGCGCCACAAGCCTAGAACCAAGCTGTGGGTGCAACTGAAGATTCAAGCTTCAATGTTTTGTACAAGAGAAGGACAGAGGAGGAAAGCTGCAGTCAGTCTGCTCCACCCACAGCCCTGCACCGACCAACGCTCCCCTCCACCTCAGCCTCAGCACAGCCCTGAGGCACTGTCACTGGGTCTACTTAAACAGATGATAAAACTCATCCACTCTCTCCTGGTGGCTGGGAGGGTTGGCTGTGGTGTCACGTGTTTGCAGCTGACCTAAGTGAGGAACTAAAGTGATGTGTCTTTTGTCGAGTCGGAACTCTTGACATCTTGTAGGTGGCTGTAGCACTGCCCTGGTCTCTGCTCTGGCAGCGCCTCAGTCTGGTGTCATTTGGCATCAAAGGATCAACAGAAGAAGAATGCACACACAATATGACCTGGCCTCCCAGCAGGCCGCATGTACGGCCAGCAGAAACAACTGTGTGTTTGCCTTGGCAGTCAGGGCTCTGTCAGAGCTCAGGGTTCTCCACTCACTCCTCGCTCCCCAGAGGCTAGCACCAGTCATCGGCCTCCACTTCATTGTAGGGTTCATGCAGGCCCTTGCGAGGGCCCCGCGGGTGCCCGGCCGGAGGGGGCACCTTGTGGGGGCCCGTGTGCATGGGTCCATGGAGGTGCGTGGAGGGGGACGAGGAGCGGTAGCCGTTTGGTAGTCGGCGCTGAGGGGCGGGCTGCACCTGGGTGGGCACTGGTCCTGTCAGCGCAGTGGTGGGAGGGGCCCCTGGGTGCACTGTACGTGGGGAGGGGCCCCTGGGGGGCATGGGATTGTGAGGCTGCATGGGGGGAGGCGGCAGTGGGTGGGTGCTCAGAGGGTGGGGGTTACTGCCCTGCATAGGGCCCTGCTCATACGCTGGAGGTTCATGATGAGCTTCATAGTCCTGACTGTAGAAGTCTGCCTCCACAGAGCCACTGCCCTCCCCCCAGCGAGGAGGGGGGTGGTGTGGGCGGGGCCCAGGGGGTGGAGCCTGTAGAGGCGCAGGCTCAGGAGAGAATCGGCGTGGAGCCGGGGGCCGACCTTGGGGCCCGGGTGCAGGTACAGATGCCCCTTTGCGAACCACAGGAGAGTAGGTGACATGAGGCCGCGGGGTGGCAGGGGTCTGAGGGAGCTGTCTCCGGCCTCTCCGCGGTGTGCTGGTCCCCGACGTGGACGGGACCGGACTGCCGCTCACCGAACTACTGCCCTACACCCAAATGAAATACAGCAAATAAAAAGAACCAACCACAATCCACCCACAGCACAAGTAACAGACAGCAGACACGACAGAGCCCACAGAGGGAGCAGGTTAGGCACCGGTGTAATGCAGGCGGAATGAGCAGAGGAACAGAAAGAACAGAAACAAAGATGAGTCCCAAACAGTGTACACAGAGAAGCACGAGGCACGTGACACAACAAGGAGAAAAGAAGGAGAGGGGTGACTTCTGCTGCCATTTCAAACAGGCTGTACAGGGAAACTAAACGCAGTAAGAATTAGATCAGATAAGTCTGATGAACTCTATCTAACAAAGTGTTATCATTAGAAGCTAAAGTTGTGTGTAACTGGTGCACATGAGCCCACCTGTCTGTGAGTGAGGCACTCGCGGCCCTCACTGGGCGAGCGGGACCAGCGGCGCTCCCGGTCCCTGTCGCGGGAGTGCCTGTGGGGGTAGTCCCCCCGTTCGGGCCTCTCCCGCTCTGGGACGTAGCGCTCCTTGTCCACAGAGCCGTGGTGGTGGTGATGATGGTGGTGGTGCTTGCGGTCTTTGGAGCGGCCGCGGTCTCGGTCTCGGTCCTTTGACAGGATCTCTGCAGACTGGGACAGCTCCACACCTACAGAAGGAATCATACAGTGTTCTTGTAATGAGCACAATGTTAAATAGACATTAAGTGTAGTCAGACCTGCCAATGCCACTGACGTATAGGGCAAAATCAAAGACTCTGGAAATAATCTAGAATTCAAAATGATCTTCTACATCCCACAAACATTTTTTTTGGTACATCTGCCTTAGGGGCTTTAACTGCAATAGTCCACAGCGATGCCCCACCTGTATCGTGGTCAGCGTAGCGGTGCAGAGACCTCTCCGATGCCCCGTGGCGTCGCTCCTTTCGCCTGTGGCCGTGCCGAGTCCTGCCCTCCTCTGGTACTTGGTCCATGTAGTCGTCCTGCCCGCCTCTGTCCCTGTGCCCTCTGCCCGAGCGGCTGTGGCCCAGGGAGGAGGCTGACCGCTTCATGGGACTGTTGTCATTTATGGTCTGAAACAGATAAACCAGCAGGACACAAAAACAGAGAGGTAAAAAGAAATAGTTACTGCAGATGGGCTGGGATGTCGTAAAAGAATTTAATATGACGGGGATTGGAGTTTTAAGGATTTTCTTCAAGTTTGTGGAACCATGCTGCTTAAGATTAGTAAATGAACCAAAGTAAGGGCTCTACAAAATGTGTCAGTGGGTCAACAGAAGTCTTAAGAAAAATGCCAAATCATATTCTTCCCAAAAAAATCAAATGGTATACTTTTCTTAAATGTAAACATGTCTAGCATTACCATTGGGAAGAGGATGAAAAAATAAACTCCTAACTCATACAAGAATCACGTGCATTTCAAAACATGCATACAGGGTTTCAGGTTTTTAAGAGATTAAGATAAAACCCAATTAAGATGGGAAATTCAAAACAAATGTATTGTAGCTGCTGAGCCCCACAGATGCCTTAGAAAACACTATTAAATAAAAAAGTAAATCATAAATGTCCATGCCTTCCATGCTTCTTGGGCTACATTTGGAATAAGACATTAAAAGTAATTCTCTCATTATGAATAAACACATTCACACAGCAGTCGGGGGGTTTCATACGTCATTCAGGGTTACATATTGTGGCCTGTAGAGGGCAGCACCACCTCACCATCCTATACGTTTTTAATAAGAATGTGTCACATCTTTATGGAGGTTATATTTATTGAAAAAACACCAACAAAATTCACAGAGGCTGAATGAAGGCAAATTAATTCCATTCGATTTTTCCATTTCCAATTCTATTCAAGTTCTAAAAACGACTTGATTTGTCCTGGATGAATTATGGGATTTATGTTACAGAACAGTATACAGTATCATTGATATAAAAATAATTCTGCAAGATGTTTTTTCCCTTCAAAAATACAACTAAATTCAGCCTCTTCCAAAGCCGGAGATAATAAGATGAAGATAACCTCCACACATTCAGTGCTAATGTGTCATGCAGGTGGTGACGGACGGGGACTGATGCGGAGTCTGATGGAGGACATGTAAAGAGCCCAGAGCAGAGCATGGGGCCACAGCCTACAGAGCAGCAGAGGCAGAGGAGAGCCAGGGGCCACAGAGGAGCCAGGGCCACAGAGGAGCCAGGGGCCACAGGAGAGTCAGGGACCACATGTATGAAGAGGGAGGGGGGAGGAGCGGGCAGCGTCCAGCATGCAGAGGTGGGTAGTCTGAATATTTACTGTTATATCAAATAATGTTTTTAAGTACAGGTAAAAAAATAAAAAAAATAGATACAGCCTGTTTATTTTATTGTATGCACAACAAAAGTATAATTTATTTTGTTTAATACATATCTAAGTTTGCCCCCTAATTTTTCATGAATTAGACTTTAATTACAATTCATTTTTTGTTATTAGGATCTTTTCTTAAATCTATTTTGTAATAATTTCCCATACTGAAGAGTTTTTGTGTAAAAAGAAATAGGGGAAAATCAAGTAACTGTTGATGTATGTTTTAGTAATTTACATAATATAAAATAGTGTACACATTTTGTAATTTTAATATTAAAATACTGTATTTTTCGGACTATAAGTGGCACTTTTTTCATGGTTTGGGTGTTTCCTGCGACTTCTACTCCGGTGCGACTTATATATTAAAAGAGGGCGGTCTAGTCTTGTGTGCGTCAGTATCTATTACTCCTGTACCACTGTCACTTCGCTCTACTGCGCATGTCTCCTGTAGACAAAGCCGTTGTTCTACTGCAAGTAGTGAAATATGCAGCTGAAAACAGTAATCAAGCAGCAGAAAGAAAGTTTGGAGTGAGAGAGAAACTTGTGAGGGACTGGTGGAAAGCGGGGATGGAGAACACAGCTTCACGGCAACCGGAAGGGTGCATCATGTAACTTTCCTGGAAGTCACTGAATGAATCGACAAAGCCTGGACTTCAATGACAACCGAAACCATCCTGTCAGGATTCAGAAAGGCCAGAATAATTCTAACTGGAACTGATGCCGAGTCTGACGACAGCGACGCAGAAGAGGAAGTGGTGCTCTGTTTATGGATCTATGGTTTACCTCTGGAGGTCGCGCAGAATTGACACCGAGAAGAATTCAATGGATTTAGTGATTTGGAGTGAGATCGTGAGTTTCTGTTGTTTATGCTATAGTTATCTGAATAACTGTTACGTACGAGTAAATGTTACGTTAACATATTAACGCCTATTCAGTCTGTTGTTCTCTGTTCTATTGTTATTACTAGAACTTGCCTTTAAGATGAAATGTCAGTTCCTGGTCTCTGATTTTATAAAATAGATTTCCCCAAGAAGTGAGACTTATAGTACGGTGCGACTTCTGTATGTTTTTTTTCTTCTTCATTGCGCATTTTTTGGCTGGTGCGGCTTATAGTCCAGAAAATACGGTACTTAAAAAAAAATTACATACTTAATCAAAAATAAAAAAGAAATCATTATAGTGGCGATTGTGATCAAAACATTACACATAAAGACTCGCTACTTCAAAATAATGTTTCCAAAATAGAAGAGTACATATATTTATTAAAACTTGGTAGAATAATTGTTAATAATTGCTCCTCGTGTAAATATAAACACATGACTACCCACCTCTGGCAGCCTCCTTAACTGCACAAAACCAAGTCTACTTCCGTATTCTTATCACATGCCAAAACCACTTTATAATCACTCCAAAAGCTCTTGCCCAGAAAAATGTCAGGACACGAAGACACAACACATAAATGCAGGTATTAGATCATTATGAAAACACAAAATATAAAAAAGATAGAGAGATTAGACACACAGACAGGTAGAGGAGGGGTAGACGAGACAGGGGAGGAGGGACACTGGTACATACACTGAGGGTACTGGTACGCTGTTGCTTTCCTCTCCTCCGCTGCTGTTTAACGCACAGAGAGGACACACAAAAGCCACAAGACAGAGCACACGGTGACCCACGTGAGACCGGAGGACAGAGGACAGAGACACATGGGACACTGCGTCAAATACAAGTACAACAGGTACACGGCAAGGCTCTCCGCTCTCATCAGAACTCTTTGTGTAGTTGTGTCGTTGGGGAGAATTTCTTCGTGGTTCAGTTAATATCCCAGTTTGGCAAATATATTGATGTAATAAGACAGGTCGTAATTGCTCCAGAAAGTCTCATAATGTTTTAAATTTTTATATTCATACGAAGGTGTTTTATAGTTAGTTGACATATAATTAAAACCTTCATAACAAGTTTAGATCAGTTTTGTTTATGAAGGTGATTTTTATGATCCGTTTAGTTTTAGTTATTTGAAAAAAGAAAATAAATGCTGTTTTCAGTCTCTGTGCTGGTATCGGTTGACATCGGGAATCAGCAGATACTTAAAAGTAGAGAAACTGGTATCAGGACTGAAAAAGCTGGATTGGTACAAGGGGTGTGCAAAAATATCAAAATATCGTATCGTTTAATATGATGATACAGTATTGATATCGTGGGCTGCTGTATTGATATATCTCCAAGAGTATTTTTTGGTGTATTTTACTAAATAATTTTGTTACAGAGCTACAGTTTTGTTGTTTGTTTAGAGGAAAGAAACTTGTTTATGCAATAAATTTGACATTTTCACTGTTTTGATGAGTTAAATGTTTGTGTTTCATATTAACTTTGCACAAGAAGTGGTTTAACAAAGACTTTTAGTGTCACAGCCACGATCTAACACTTATTTTTTATTGAACCATATCGAATCGATTTGAACTATATCGTATCGAATCGAAAGTGCACTGTATTGAGATGTGTATTGTTTCGTGGCCTTTGTATCGAGGGATGTAACGTGTCGGCAACTTCTTAACGATACCCAGCCCTTATTGGTACATCCATAGTTTCTTAGCACTAATTTGATTTAAAATGGAGTTTCTATGTCTTGATCATAGACTGTATAAAAAAGTGGACTAAACGAGTGTGACGTCACCCATAGCGCCACTCAAATGAAGCTCGCGATGCTAACGGGGCTCAGTGTCACACGGGGCTCAGTGCAGCTGTCGCCCGATCGCCTCCTCTGTTGTTTCGGGGTTTCTCTCTCTCGCTCTCTCTCAAGTCCATGATTAGTCCTGGTTTAGACCTGGTTTAGACCTGGTTTAGTCCTGGTTCTGCTACATATGCAGTTTGCTGCTTTGGCTGGTTCACTCTCTGACTGTCCAATCAACGGGTCTGAATCCGGTGACACTGCCGTACGCCTGCTAGAAGGACCTGGTGACACCGAAGCAAAATCTGATTGGTTGAAGCAACAGTTTCATGGACATTTATTTTGTGTTCAAGGGCTTTCAGAACGGATTGTGAAGGCCTCAGGCACAATTCTTTGACTTTGATTCTGCCTAGAAACAAGTGCAGAAGCAGTACAACCATCGGAAAAGCTCTGAAAGGAAGCGGACAGACCATTTGGAATCATTTAATAATAATATAATTAACATCAGGCTGTGATTCAGATGTTTTTAGGTCAGCAGAGAAGGACTTGCAGGCCCTGACGCTCCACCATTGGATTTAAGGTATCAAACTGTGAGGAACCATTCAATTCCCAGACCAGTTTTGATCAGGAAATCAATGGAGCTGCTTCTATTATAAAGTTGTTTTAGATAATTATAGCAGTTCCTAATGAACAAAATGTAAAAATGTTCAATGATATGTATAATATGATCTGATGATAAAATTTGAGCTGTTCAGAGCTGGGCCTATAGTAGTACGGCGAAACAGGACATTCACCGATTCAAATCTTACTCATGTGTTGCCAGGTAGGACACGATTTGAGCATTCCAGTCGAGTATTTGAGCTGGTTGAGACAGAAAGCGACGTTTTATCTGATCTCCCTTCTTTACTTTTTGTATTTGTTGTGGGTGCCGATAATAGCGGAGAGCCCTGTAAGCAAATCCCAGTGAAGCAGCCATGGTGAGACACTTACCACAAACACCCCGGCAACAAGTTTCAGCAACGTTTCACCAACACATCACAACCACATCACAACCGGCCACATACAGACACACACACGCACAACTTCATATACACGTTATACAGTATTGAATGGACACACCCATGACACAGCTACTACTGGTACAAACACACATGAGTAGCAGGGAGGTACTGGCAGGCCTGGTTCAAAAGAATGCCCCAAATAAATCATTTCAGATCCGGGATTTGAATAGTTTTGATGAAAGTACAGTTACTTGTTGCGATCTTTGTTTCAAGGCATTTCTGATTCATTTCCACATAGTTTGTAACTAGAGATTTAGTCTTTTTTTATATTATTATTTTTAACTAAGGTGCACTATTCAAGTATTTCTAATGTGTTTATGAGCTGTTTTTATGTTTTTATCCTGATTAATAAAACATGATTTTCCATAGAAATCTGAAAATGTATTTATAGTGCGTATGACAGGTTTTGACGATTCTCTAATTTTGATTTAATTTGGTTGGATAATACCTGTTGTAAATGATAGTTTTAATCAACCAAGACGTAATTTGCAAAGAAGAGTAGAAAAATTTGTTGATAATTACAGGAAGTAGTTTTATTTTGGAGAGTTCCATACTGATGACATTCACTAAGGAGAATTCTATCACAATTTACACTTACAAAACTTTTTTTTTTCTGATTCTTTACACATTATTCCAATGACATAAAGGTGTTTTCTTATAATCTGATTAGTCAAATAATAATTTCTGGGTACAGTAAAGGACTTTTAGCCCAAGGAAGCACATGGTTGCTAGGTAACAGCTATAGAATTCCCTAGATTGATGTCACGATTTCCAACCAGGAAACCTAAAAAAATGGCCAGACTAGGAAAAAAAAATTTGTAGATTTCTTTGTAAAACGAGTAGTCCAACCTGTCATAGGCACTTTAAAGTTGCACTGTGTAACTTTTTGGTTGGGGGTCCGTCGCCTGCTTCTTTCCATGGATACGTCATTGCTCTGCCTGGAATGTTCCACAGTATGACTTTAAACAGCTCTACCTTACATTTATATTTATAATGCATAGAAAAACAGCCATTCTCACTGGGTTGCCTCTCCACAGATTTGACCTGTAACTTGGTCTGGTTTGGACTCCATGATGAAAGAAACGTTTAATGCCATACCGTGGAACATTCCAGTCAAAGCGAAAACATCTCCATGAAGAAAAGCATTTCACTGACCCTCCACCGGAAAAGTTACACAATGCACCTTTAAGTCTCATGTTTTAATCTGTAATTATCCATTAAGTCATTCAATAATAAAATATAATAAACAAGAAAAGAAAAAAAAGTACAGAAACTAATCATAAATACCTGGAGACAAGCTAACAAGTAACAACATCAAAATGTATTCAAATCATCACGTTCAGTTTGATTTTATAAACTAGTTTTCCTTTTTGTTGCGCGGTCTTGGTTTGAAAGAGCCCCCCCAAATGAATTTAAAATTCAAGAATAAGAATTAAAAAATACAAAACCAAAAAAAAAAGAAAAAAATAAATCAATAAATAGGTATTTGTTGTGTGTGACAACCAGAGTGCTCACCACGGAATGAAACAGAGCAAAGATGGGGAGATGGGAAAGCGTGCGTGAAGGAAAAGTGTAAATAAACAAACAAACGCAACGAATAACAATGGAAAAAGAAAATTATATTCACAGACATCCAGACGACGATCTCAACAAAAACAATTCTGACTTACAGTGCTTCGATTGTATTCCAATTTCAACATTAATACAGATATAATGTTGAAGCTAGTCATTGGCACATCATTTTTAATTTGTTATTCTGGCAAATTTTGGTTTGTTTTTTCTCGAATTGTGTGACAAATGCGTATTTAATAGAAAACTGGCTTTACATATATACTGAAAAACACATATATAAGTATGATAATTTGAACCTAAACTACAGGTTTAGTGTGTTTTGGTCCATATTACATTTGCTTCTCGCCTATTCATCTATTCATATAAGGTCTGTGCACAATAGCGCCCAGTTAGCTCACAGTTAGCATCGCTACTTGCTATCCAATTATATCTCTATGGAGTTTTGCTGAGTCGCGCTGAAATTAATAAATACTTTTGTAGTAAAAACTTTTGTCCAATAGATAGAACTGAATTTTTGCTTTATATACTTTCAGTTAATTAAAGACTTGAAGGAATGTAAAGTGTTTGTATCTCTATGCTAACGCCAATGCTAATGCTAATTTTGAAGCTAAGCTACTACAACAATATTGCAACAAACTCTAATACGTTACATGTAAAATCTTGAATTTTACGTTTTAATAAATGTTAATAAATGTAAATGTTAATAAATGTAACTAAATAAATCTAATAAATGTTATGTTGTATTTTGCGTTTTTAAAGAAGTTAGCATTAGCTTTGCGCCACAGCAAGCTAGCCAGCACACCGTTGTACACAGAGCCTGTTCAGTTTCATTTTATAAACCCTAAAAATGAATCACTTATTAACAGTGGTGGAATGTAACGAAATAAAAGTAGTAAAGTACTGTTCTTGAGTAAAAATGTAGGTATCTGTACTTTACTTAAGTACATTTTAAAGTGGATACGTTTTACTTTTACTACACTACATTTGAGAGCAGGTATCTGTACTTTTTACTTCACTACATTTTTGAACAGGACTGAAAAGTAAAAGTATTTTTAATGATTGTGTGAAACCTGCGGAAAAGGCTGAGGGCTTTATTTTTAACATATTTGTAGTTTGAGCAAACAGAATACAAAAATAAAAACAGCTTGGACTTTACTTTTTAGTCTTTAAGTACATTTTTAAACAGGTACTTTACTGCTTTTAATACTTTCACTTGAGTATTTCTTTGCTGTGGTATTTGTACTTTTACTTAAGTGACCAAATCGAGCACTTCTTCCACCACTGCTTAATAATACGTGAAATCATAAGTAAGCAAGAAGTCAGTGAGAATGAACGCAGTGGCACAGATGCGATGGTAGGGGGCGCTGGAGGAAGCATGGAGAGAGAGGTGAGAATGCTGCTCACTTGGTTGTCGCCAGGGAGCCGCGGCATGGAAGCGGCCCTGCCATGACCTTCCATTGGTGCAAAGTGCTCTGTGTCCGAGTAAGCCTCCTGCCCCATCTCTCTCATCTCTACCGTCTGAAACAGAGCAGGAGATGCAGTGACCGGCTGCACACACAAGGAGGCGCTGGAGTGAAACCAAATGGCCCAGAAGTGCAGCTGCTTCACTATTTGGTTGTTGTACATGATGGCCAAGCTGAGGTTCCTGGTCCTGGCTAAAGTGCCCGCTGGCCTTTGTCTCTAAACATGTGTACATTGTAAATAGTATGCGAGACGGGTACAAATATTACTACTTCAGCTAGATGAGTACTTTTGAGCTCAGTACTAAACTAACCATAAAACTAAATCATAAATCAGGCATAACATTACGACCATGTCATTACTGTGCAGGCTACAATCCCATTCAGTATATTTTGGGAGTGGCAGCATATTTTAAGTTTTAAAAGTCGACAAATTAAATCATTTATTCACTACTAAACTAAAGAAAAACATAGAGGGAAGAGAATTAGTGCAATTAGATTTAATTTGCACTAATTTAACATCAACATGGCATTATTAAGGCTGCATTGTGTAACTTTTCCATGTGCTTGTCTTGTTAGTGCATTAATAGTGCACTTTTCAGGGTTCTCACTCTTTTTCACTGACAAAATTTCAAAACTTTTCATGACCTAAAGTGAATTTTCCATGACTTTACAGCACCATACATGTGTAGAATTGATCAGACTTTTAGGACTAAATATGAAATGTTAACCCTTTCCACTCACCTTATGGTTTGGTATTATAGTTTTTTAACATTCAAAATACTGTCAGTACATTTATTATCAGCTCTTTTAAACAAAAGGTGCATATATTTGGAAATAATCATAATAACCTAATGATAACTTAACAGAACGCTGTAGTTGTGTGAAAGAGATACTAAAATTACATGACTTTTCCAAAACTTTGATTGAATTTACAAAATTCCATAAGTTTTCTAGGCATGAAAAATGACATTTTCAATTTCCATGACTTTCCAGGCTTTCCATGACCGTGTGAAGCCTGACTTTTAAAGGAACTGTTTGTAGCCTGCACTCTTAAAGTTTTAAAATGTAGAAGTACTGTACATCCACAACTAAACCTGGGTTGTCAGAGCCTTAACCTGCAGATAGAGGACACATACACACAGGTTTTGATTCAGATCAGAGAGACATTTTAGATTTAAACCAACTGGATTTCAAGACCCATTTGAGTCTCTTTCTGCTTTTTGATTAGATGATAATCTTGAGAACCATAACACCAAGTTATAATATAAATATACGGGACATCATGGCCAATGTTTTTGTAATGAAGAATAAATCAGTTATAATCAGCAAAAGTGATGTTTGATTTGATTTGAACAAATTTACCTTATATCTGGAGACATGGATAGGTCAAGTTTATTAAATTTAAAATAAAAATCTTAGTTAGTTCCTTTAAAAATCTGTATTATTTTTGCTTTGTGAACTGAACACTATTTACATGAAGCTAGTTAGTGTTGTTTGTTTTTGGAGTCTGTTTTAAATCAGATATGGTTCTGTCTAAAATTCTTAAGGTCATGGTTCCAATAAATATTTTTATTGTATCAAGTGTACAATCCTGACACTATAAAGTAATGTATATTAAAAGAACAGAGATCAACATTTCTCTGTGAAGTTAACATGGTAAATGCCAGCAACAATTTCAATTACAAACAACAGAAAAAAAATACTAGTAATGTTATGCCTGATAGTTTTGATGTATCTTTAACTGTACTCTGTGTTATTTTTGCGTATTGTGGTTTGTTTTCTTATATTATACTAACTGCATATGATCCTGCACACTGCCCTCTTCCACCTAACCTCGTGTCTATCACAAAATGACATGTTCTTGAAGCAGAGTGGGTTCACAGAATGATCTGAAATACGTAGAAGACAGTGGAATGCTGTGGGTCGAGACTCTTGCATGGGTTGGTATGACATGGCGGGAGTCGGGGAGAGGGCCATGTCAGTACTACGTGATATATCCACAAAGCTGCAGATTCAATGAGGGATGAGAAGTAGAAGTAACAAGTACAGTAACAAGCGAATAAATACAACTTCAACAACTATTTACAGGGTTTCTTATCAAAACATACCCGGAGATGTGGTTTCTTTCATTCACACATCATGTTCAGGAAACTCGACTTTTGAAATACTTTGATAATTGGATATTTTTGCATTTCATCTACCTAAAAAATATTCAAATATATAGGCCCGTCATAATAATTGATGAAAAATGTATATGAAAAATTGAACAATACTGTAGTTTTGTTTGTACTGGATGGGACCTTGTTGTTATTTTTCTGTACTCTGATAAAATTTGAGGTATAGAGGGTTGAATAATTACTGCTATTACTTACAGTGTCGACCCAAATTAACTAGCGTTTCAAATTATTGCACTTCAAAATTTGTTATTGTGGCGTAACATGAAGTTTTTAAGACCAGGTATAGGGCCTTTAATCTTGAATGAATGGCAAAACTCAAGGAAGACCAAAGAGAAAGACTTAAACGTGTGAATGAAACAAAACTACTAATACTAGGTACATTTTCAGCATTATAAAAGACCACTGCTAGAACTTAGATAATTGGTAATCATAAGGTTAGAAATATCCAGGACTAAATATTATTAATACATATAATCATTTTTAGCATCTTCTTTTCCTATAAATACTGACAGATTCCTTGTACCTGTGAGTTGCTCATGCCCAGGCCGTCAGGGTGTCCCTCGGGGCTCCAGCTGCCCACCTTCTGGGACATCTCCTGGGCCCGAGCGGTCACCCATGACTGGCTCTCCGGGATGCCTCCTCCCTCAGACCTGGAACACACAAGCACACAGCTTACACTTCATGGGATGTCTCAATATTCTATAGGGTAGTTTATATTAAGATAAAGCAGTTATATGATTGACTGTCTAATACAAATATTTTTACCTGGTTTATACTTATGTATCTGTAATTGTCTAACCACTTGAAAGCTAAACTGGACACATTCTGAGTAAACTTGTTATTATAAAGTAGAGTAATGTTGGTTCTAAAAAAGGTACTACAGTCACAACTGAACTGTGTTGCCAGAGTCTTAACAGATAGAGCAGATGGCAGATAGAGACACATACAAGTTTGTCTCATTCTCAGTATATGGACAGACCAGACCTCATGTGAAAGATCAGAACCTCCAGAATTCACTCACTGTGCTGCAGAGGCTGCACTAGCACTGATTCATGATTGATATGAATAGTCACTACGTAAACCCAAGCACTTGCAGCCAGAGAGAGGCATTTTAGTTTAACCCAACAAAAATTTCAGCACTGAAACTGGCAACTCAAATGAGAGACTCATGTGAGGCTGCTTTCTGATTGAAAATAATAAATAAATGGGACATCACGTCTAATGTTTTTGTAATTAAGAATAAAGTACAGCATTACCATTGTTTTCGGTCAATGCAGTAAACAAATAAACAAAAACATGTTTACCTCATATCTGGGAATAGGTCAATTCATGAAATTTAAAATCAAAATCTTACAAACATTTCCTTCAGTACTAAAATGTGCATCAGAGCAATGACTGTTCCCATTTAAAGAAAGTTCTGACACAAGACTCCATACTTGAATGAACCATGAACATACTGGTAAATAAGGATATGAGGTGGACTCACAGGGTGTTGCCCAGGTCAGTGTTCTCTGCTGGGGGTAGGGCATTGAGGCCCACCCCTCCGTCCTGGGCCGGCGACGGAGGCTCCACGCGCTGAAATAGTAATGGCGTTCGGTTCTGTGTGAGATACACATACAACACGGCCACAGGCGGCTATCAGGCAGACTGACAGGGGGATGCAGGAAGAGGGAGCACAACCCAGGCACATGGGAAACTAAAGGAAGCGCCATGGCAACGGGAGGGACCGGCACATTAATTGTAATTATAACATAAGAAAAATAAAAAATAAATGAAAAATAAATGAAAAATAAATTGAGTAAGCATAACTATAGAAACTATAACAGCACAGTGGTAGTAAAAATAACTAGTAGTAGAATGGACTACCACAGGCCCTGGTTGGTAAATCACTGTATTTACACTGCAACATTCCTGTGAGGAAAAGCATATGGAACTCCAAATACAAAAATCATATATGAGGCAAAATATATATATATAAAAAAAATAAAAAATCTATTTTTCATAAAGAGAATGTAATGTAATAAATTAATCTACTCCATAAATGTAAATGCACATAGCAATATACTTCTAATAGTGAGGAGAAAACAATCTGAACAAAACTTGGCGTTGTTTTTAAGTGAATGCATGCAGCATCTTAACAAGCAGATTAACATCCATTACACATCATTGCAGATTTTAACCTTCAAATTAAATAAAAAAGAACTTATTTAGTATTGCATTGTAGTGCAAAGGCATACGGTTCAAGCAAACCTTGTCCAGCAGATGGCAGCAATGCTATATATAAAGAGTGGGTCATAAAATGAATTGAAATTATGACTTGAACAATCACAGACTGAATCCTCTGACACTGGATTTTTATTTGTGAAGAGTTCAACTGCAAAACCTGAAAAGTGAAGTAAAAACCGTGTTACGTCATTCTTAGTAAAAATTAAGCCAAACACGATTTAACACTTTACAGTAGAGTAAAAGCACGACGATAGGGTGGAAATCACACAAGTAAAATGATGCTAGTTACACTGTATCCAGGATCGCATCTTTTTCATTATACTTCATTTCATGGGAGTGTGATTGAGTCATTGATAGTGATGGGCAGATCAATACCAAAATATCAATATACTGACACTAACAAATAAAGTAAAAAGTATTGATTCTCAGGGAAAAAACATTTTTGTTTTGTTTTGTTTTTTTAAAAGATTCCTTTATATTAATAAAAAAAAAACTTAATAAAATAAAACATTGTCTATATCTGGGATGTCCAAACTATGGCCCTGGACCAAATTCAGTCCTCAGACCAATTTTTCTTGGCCCTTGGGCTTCTAGGTGGATTGGTCCATATAACCTTAACAGTACATTTTACTACACGTGTTTGAAAATCTACCTTGATGAAGCAGATATCAAATATTTAGTGTGTCCTTTTGAATATCTAAGCACAAATAAATGTCTGATGACTCATTCCAACCTGGTTTAAATGCACATTTTAAAATTATTCTCTGTACTGACCACCAGCTCTTCTTTTCATCTGTGTTTTGACATGTCATTAACAAAACAACAACAACAACAACAACAACAACAAACAAACGTTTGAACACCCCTGGTTTATGTTTAAATGTATCTGCACATATATATTCATATTAATTGTAGAGAAGTTTCATTGCATTTTATTACAAAACATATTAGTACTGCACATGTAAGCCATAATAGTTCTTGGTATGAAGTAGTAGTAGTAGTAGTAGTAAATCTCAAAAACAATTGCCCATCACCAGTGATTAATCCACACCCAGTATGAAGACTGTAAATTGCCTGGGATGTTGGTATTTTAAGTCATTCTAAATAAACCATTTTTCAAAACCTATAACTAACGCACATGGCAGATATGGTTAAAGACTTCTCTGTTTTTGCAGTTGAACTCCATTGGTTACAGATATACCGACAGAGCACGTTTTCTACTGTGGTCAGAGTGTCTCACAGCCCATGTTTGTGAAGAACCAGTCCTGTTGGCATAATACGTCAGTCTGCCTTAAGGCTTCAGGCAGGATGCAGTGTGCGCCCCCTACCTGCTCGTCGCGGAGGGCCTGGGAGCGCTTGATCTTGCTCTGCCTGTAGTACTCCATAATCATCATGGCTGCGTAGATTTTGCCCACTGTCAGGTCTGTGGCTGCTGAGAGAATGACAAGTTACCCTGCAAGATTAGACCCTTTGGTATGGACCCTGAGCAAGGAATGGAATACATGCACATCGACAACGGCAAAGGTCTTTTCACAGTCAGATCAGATTGAAATAATTTAGAGATTTTCTTTTTTATTATTATTATTTTTTGGTGTGAAAACCAAAAAATAAGTGTAACATGCACTATCATTCATACTCATTGCAAGGTAAACAGAGGCATATAAGGCATAAATATAAAATGCAATTGTGTACATTCATTTGTTGCAACTAAACTGGCCATACATTGTGCAAGTGTTTTTCTTTTTTTTTCTTTTTTAGAAGTGAAGCTTCTAAAAACTTCTAAACCTTCTATTAATCCTGCACTGCAAGATTAAAGAAACATTTAGAATTACAATCTAAATTTGAGCAATTTTGACCTTTTTTTAAAATTCTTGATAAGACTTATATTAATAAACCTTTCATGACTTTTTTGACTGGTTAAGTTCCATGATGATTTTAGTCAGAAATCAGAATCAAAAGATAATCAAGTAAAAAAAATCCTCTTAATATTTAAAGGTACAGTATGTAACTTTCTGGAGAAGGAACATCACCTGCATGATTCCATGGAAATAGAAAGTTAAACCCATACTCTGGAACATTCTCCATGGAAGCAGATACATTTTGTGCATAATGTGGAATTTTATAGCCAAAGGAACAACATTTCCATGGAAACAAGCAGCAGGAGATCCTTCTCCAGGCCAAGTAAGGGTCAGGTTTGTGAAGATGCATCTACGATTTCACTGCAATAAAAACAACCAAAATGAAAAGGCATGCTTTTATTTTCGTCTATTTTTTTGGCTGCAAAGTTACATACTGTGGCTTTAAGTAGTCTCAGTAAGCATTTTTGAAATGTCCTAATGCATGTAGAGGCAAGCCGACCTGTCCCGTTAGCACTGTTGGGCAAGTTACTTTAAAACTGCAATGCGTTATTTATGACTCATTACTGACATTTCAAAGTAATTTGTTAATTACAATCTTACTCTATTTAAAATGTAAGGCATTACATGACTATTGCAGCACTTTAAGTTAGTCTCATCAAAGTAACTGTGAAGATGCTGAACTTTTGCGCCGTATGGACTAAACCAGGACTAAACCAAAACTGAACCACAGCTGAACCCGGATTGAACCAGGACTAAACCAGAACTGAACCAGGACTAAACCAGAACTAAACCAGAACTGAACCAGGACTGAACCACGTCTAAACCAGGACTGAACCGAGGACTAAACCAGGACTAAACCAGAACTAAACCAGAACTGAACCAGGACTGAACCACGTCTAAACCAGGACTGAACCGAGGACTAAACCAGGACTAAACTAGGTCTAAACTAGGGCTAAACCAGGACTAAACTAGGACTAAACCAGAGCTGAACCAGGTCTAAACCAGAACTGAACTAGGACTGAACCAGGTCTAAACCAGAACTGACTCAGTTCTAAACTAGGTCTAAACCAGGACTAAACTAGGACTAAACCAGAGCTGAACCAGGTCTAAACAAGGACTAAACCAGGACTAAACCAAAACAGGAACCAGAGCTGAACCAGGACTAAACCAGGACTGAACCGTGGACTAAACCAGGACTGAACCGAGGACTAAACCGAGGACTAAACCAGGTCTGAACCGAGGACTAAACCAGGACTAAACTAGGACTAAACCAGAGCTGAACCAGGTCTAAACCAGAACTGAACTAGGACTAAACCAGGTCTAAGCCGGGACTAGTCTTGGACTAGAACTTGGAATCTAGGACTTTCTCTGAAAGAACCCCGAGTCCATGGAACAGGATGTCTGCAAGGCGCAATCGGGCATCAGCTGCCGAGTAAAATATTACTTTTTTTCCCTGTAATGCCTTACATTACTGTGTTACAGCAAATAACAATGCATTACAGTAATTTGTTACTTTTATAACACTTTACTCCCAACACTGCCCGTAAGTAAAAAAGATATCTAAAAAAATAAAACTACTCTATTATTATTATTATAGTGTATTTTGTTTATCTGTAGCTCTATCTGTAGTGAAAAGACATCTATAGAGAGTTTGTCTATAGTGGGGCACCCTCTGATCCCAGGCACATGTTTGGGGCAGCAGTGTGTCAGTAGCATTGTGCTGGTGTCATGCATTTTTCTTGTGTGGATGCTGCGTGCATAGAGGTGGGAGATATAAGCTACAAAGAAAGACAGAAATGTTTTTTTTATGCATTTTGGAAGTCTAATCTCAATTCTTTGTTGAGCAATAGGTTAAAGGTGCTGTACTGTTTTTTTTTTTAACTTAATAAAGGTTACATTTGTTTTACCTCAGAACAAATATAATGTAAAAGCAGCTCTTAACGTCAAAATAAGTCTGCTGCGTGTTGTCTGTGTCTAATTACAGGGAGCACTGTTAGCATGCTAATTGTTGTTAGCATTGCAGTGATGGCAAAACTCATCTTTGGACTCTGAAAGTTGTGAAAAGCTCTTATAAACTCATTAGGAATACATAAGAAAAGTGTATAACAAGGTTAAAATGATCTAGTTCTGTTTTTCATGATTTTAAGATAGAAAAAAACAGGGACAGCGCCTTTAGCGTATGGCGTCGCATGCTAGGCGGAGCAGGCACGCATTTTTACAACTTTTGAAAACCTTTTTTTATTTTTTCCGCAAAACTATAGAACTAAAATCTACAGTCATTTCACGAGGTACATGATAAACTTAACAACTAAACTAAGAGAAGAATCCCATGCTATTTAGAACATGCTTGTAGCGATCTATGCTATGGGGTTAGCAGGTTTTGCTACACAATGTGCCCCTGAAATTTTATGTTAGCAAACGTTAAACTAAAGAACTATTTGCAATTTTCTAACTGCAGGGTTCCCACTCTTTTTCACTGATGAAATTTCAAAACTTTTTCATGACTTTTCCATGACCTAAAGTGAATTTTCCATGACTTTACGGCACCTACATGTGGAAATGATTACTGTATTTTACGGGCTAGTAGGTGCTCTGGATTATAAGGCGCACTGTCATTAAATGGTTTATTTTCAAACTTTTTCACAAATAAACCGCACTGAACTTTAAACGAAACGCAACAGTTAGTTGGGTCAGTTGGACTTTGTTTGTTGCGTTCACGGTGACTCTGGGCTTTGTTCAGTTGTGGCGTGTAGGGAGGGTGCTGTCTGTGACTGCTGGATTGTCGGCATGTTCGCAATGACTCAGTTGTTCAGTTGTGTCTAGAAGTGGCACATTGCACTCGCTTTTTCGGTTCATTCCTCCGTTCCATTCCTCGTTTGCGTGGAGTGATGAGTGTGGGGCTACGTGGTCGCTGTCTCCGTGCGCTGCGGGTGGTGTGGCTTTGTCATTTACTGAAGTCACGTCTAATAGCCCGAAAAATACGGTATACTTTCAGGGCTAAATATGAAAAGTAACCCTTTCCACTCACCTTATGGTTTGGTATTATAGTTTTTTAACATTCAAAATACTGTCAATGCATTTATTGTCACCTCTTTTAACTCTTTCCCCCTTGGACACCTACTAGGAACAATCCACACATATATTACTAGGGCTACCCATAGAGCATAACTGCATAAAAGAAAACGGACTTCCATGAGTGATTATAAATGATTCTCACACTCATGAACAGACATATTTGGTATCTCTGGAAACCTTAGACTCTGAACTCTTCATTTATGGATGTTTAAATGTGATTCAACTCATTTATAGGTGTATAACAGCTCACTGAAAATGAGAGTTTACCTGGTCAGGTGCAAAGTCGAAAACAAAAAACTACATTCAGCATCTGATATATGCATGTTCTGAGTCCTATATTAATAAAAAAAAATAAATTAAATATATTTGTCAAAGTATTTAAACAGATTTCAAATCACCAGATACAGTATAGCCAAGTGTAAACCTGTTTTTACCTGTTGTACACCTGTGTGGACCTAATTCATTTTTTAAATTTAACTCATTCAACTCATTTAGCTTATTCAACTCGTGGTCATATCACGTCTTTAGTGATATAGCGGAGGTGTCAAAACACGTCATTAAGGATACAAGGGGGTTCGTCAAATGTCGTCTTCATGGGGGAAAGAGTTAAACAAAATGCGCAGACGCTCGGAAATAATCATAATATCCTAATGATAACTTAACAGAATGCTGGAGTCGCGTGAAAGAAACACTAAAATTCCATGATTTTTCCAAAACTTTCATTGAATTTACAAAATGCCGTGACTTTTCTGGGCTGGGAAAATGACATTTTCAGTTTACATGACTTTTCCAGGATTTCTATGACCGTGGGAACCCTGTAACCGTGACCATTCAAGCGGCAATGTTGACGTACGGAGGCATTATTATTATTACTAGTCTAATTCTGTATATAACCAGATGGTAATTTCTGTCAATATCCCCCACCGCTGCTTATGTGTGCTAATTTCGTGTCATGTACTGCCTGCATCAGAGGGTGCAGCAGAGACCCAGGAAAAGGACTGGCTGGTTGGTGGAAGCGTCCTCTAGTGGCGTGGACAGGAACTCGTGGTTTGAACATTTACCACCCTCCGTAACTCACCCTTATGGGGAGTAACCAATAAATCCAAGGTCTTCTGCGACAGGTTGGGCCAGATCGCAATCATCTCCTTCCTCAGCTCGGCGTCCATCTGGTGCTTGTCTATGCCGCCTGTAAATAACACCCATGCAAACGCAAACGCACCCACGGACGGACAGCATGCATACCACACCAAGCGGCATGCAAAGAAAGTGAAAATAAAACCGTTGAAAAACAGAGAGAGAGAGACACATATGAAAAGAGACAAAAGACATAATTAGTTAGTAATTTGTTAAATCATCGTTAAAATCGTCAAAACATTTGTTAAATACTTAAGTAGCAATAGAGTTGTTGAGTGATGATGGCACTTCCGGGTCCACGCAGAGACGTAAACAGCTGATTTCTAGTTATGTTTTTCTTTCTTATTCATTAAAAGAGACAATTACCTTTCAAGAGTGTAAGATTAACCACAAATTGCATCAAATATGTGAATGATATAGTAATAATCGATCATAACATAGGATTATCAGTGTAATATATGAAGCCAGGGTAATAGAGCACACAGTACTTCAAATTTAGGGGTTCTTAATTTCTCTTTCTCTTTCCCTTTCCCCCGTACTAATTTCAGAAACAGAACCAACGGGCGTTATTACAGCATTATCACTAATATAACGGTACACCAAACATACACAAAACGGCAGTGGCACCTCTGAAAGGGAATAAAAATAAACACATTCTACTATTAAATTCATAGAACACGTAAACAATAAACAATATCTCACTGTACAGCCATTTCCTTAGCGATATGGATGATTCTGTCAAAGTTACAACCACACATCAATGCTTATAGTCTTTTTAGTTTTAAACAACTGCAATCTCTTTTTAACGTGAGATGAACTGTCACTAAAAACGAGAAAATAGTGAACATGCTCATTGTTTTCAGTCAGCTGATGGGCCTGGATGTGACGTCACACTTAACAACTCTATTGACTTTACAATAATAATAATGAATAATGATAAAATTGTTAGCGGTTAAAGGTCCGATATTATGCCACCTTTCTCTGGCTTTTTGTAAACTTTTACATTTCATTACTAAATACGTAATGAAAAACCCTCTTTGAACAAGTGCAGTGCTGCCCATCTTCGGATAAGACTGGCGCCCTCTGCTGGTAAGACAAAAAAAGAAGCAACGATCTTAGCAACAGATGCTAGCAGATAGTTATGCTTCGTAGTGAAGGAAGAACCGTCCATGTGAAGTTGTATGGACTTGTGTGTGGAAAAAAAATATATACAAAAGTTATGTTTGGATGACAACACTACAACATGATTAAAAGCTCAAAAAAGCCAGTTTGCATAATGCAGGACCTTTAATAAACTACTCCGGCAATATCAAAACACACACGATGTACCACCATTAAGCTACACCACACCAATGACGAAGTGCCCAAGAGGGTTGTGGGTTCGCAGCACAATAATACCAGTATTGGCTGCTCTACAAGGAAACAAGCAGAAGACAGCATGTGAAAAGCAAGGGGTGAAAAAAGCAAAGGTAGTTTCCAAACCTTCCGTACCCTTGGCGATCTTGATATCCAGGGCCGTGCGTATGAGCGCCATCAGGGTGGAGTTGAAATGCACCGTGTTGTCGTCGGCCACGGGCAGGTCCATTCGCAGCAACCTCTGTGTGACAAAGCGGCAACCGAGAGACAAGAAGTGAGGCGCTGCGTTTGGCGTCGTCGGCAGGATCTCCGAGTTACAAAGGGGAGACGGACCGGGAGAAGTTTTACGGGGGTTGGAGCGCTTTCCGAAACAAGCGCTAGAGCTTTGGGAGAGTTTTGGACGGACAATCAGCATTGGCATTTGCAAGGGAAACATTTAGCTCCCCTTTGAGGTTTGGAGATTCCTGATATTTGGTCATATATACAGGATAAATCAATAAATAAAACGAATAAAACAGCAATAAATCGTGTTTTATTTATTGATTCGTTTTAGAGTCAAAGTAGGATTGTTAAAAAAAAGTCACTAGCTATTATTGTGACATTTATTTCGAGAACAGTACAGGCATGCAGCATACTCCGTCATGCTCCCAGTGCGGTGTCGGCAATCCAAGCATAAACAACACGACCCCATTCCTTCTTGCTCTGCAGCCCCATGCAGCATGCAGCACACAGTATGCTAGTACGGAACAAGCAGCTAGCAGCCACACAATGTTTGTACTCTGACAATACATCTAGAAGGGAAAATTAGTATGTTATGGAGCTACACTGGAATGATAAGTAGATAAATAGAGTATAATGCTCTATGAAGCTGTCTACAGTGGTATCTACAATGTGAAAATGGGCAGAGACTGTTCATCCAGTGTTAATAGGTGAGAGAGCAGCATTCTGTGAATACACAAATAAGAGGAAATTAAGATAAAAAGCCACAGGAAAGAAACGCTATAGGTGAGATAGAAATGGCGTTTGTGTATGACAGAAAGGAAAAGCAACCAAGCTTTGATACTGAGGGAAACTGAATACTAAATAAAATATGTTAAGCAAGCTAAAAAAGAGAGAAAAAATATCTCGAGAGAGTGGAGCTACAGAGATCCCAGCTGAAGATAGTGCCGGGACATCAGTCGGTGGAGCCAGTACGGCCATTGTTCTCTGGGCTGTCCAATAGGAGCACATATAAATACTGAGGGATAGGACCATAAGGCAATCAATGACATCTTTAAGGATGTCATCACTTTAATAAGGAAAAAGTAAGGTGTCTAAGCCCATACCATGCATGAATACAGTTATGCTATTGTAGACCTGCCACAGTAATTACTAAACCAACATACGTGTCATTATGTGAAAGAAGAATACATGCATCCCGAATTTTGGACTTCCGGTCATCGCGCAATGTAAACTGGGAAGGATCCTCTGAAAAAATGAGCATCAAATCGCCATGTTTGATTTCCTAGTGAGATGCATCTATTGTCAAACCAGATCTTTCTTTTGAACCATATCGCTTTTGTTTCTGGTTCTGATATTGTCATATTTTAGTGATGGGATTCAGGCATCGTAATTGTGTGGTTGTTGGATGTCCTAACAACAGAAAACGGCTCGAGAAATGGGCTTCGGAAGTTTACGAACTCCATAACTGCAAAAGGGGATCAGATCTGTGTGACTGCAAATCTCCGTTCAAACTGTTTTGCTTCCCAATGGAATTGAAAAATAGTGAAAGGTGAAGGCGATGGGCAGAATTGATACGCAGGAAGGACGAAAAAGGAAACCTTTGTCTGCCTAAGAAATCATCCTGAGTTTGCAGCGAACATTTTGTATGTGGAGCGCCATCAAAGTAAAATCCCGATCCCTCGCTCAACCTTGGTTACGAATTTAAAAAGTCAACGCCAAAGCAAAAGGCACCAGCTGTTCGCCAAGAAACACCTTCCACTGCAAAGGGACCAAGACTTGATGTTAGTGTAAAGTCAGTCAAACAAGAAAGTGCCTGCTTGTCTTCGAAGGATCCTTCTCAGTATGCACTGCGCGATGATCGGAAGTCCAAAATTTGGGATGCAAGTATTGGCTTAGTATTAGGGGTGCACTGGTACGCTAAAACCATATTCAGTTTGGTTTAGGGAGGCAGCGTTTAAGATCAGAAACATCATTGCTACACTCACAAACTGATAGACTAATAAAGAAGTGTTGCTAAGTTGCTAAACTCCAAAAACTCCAGATTCTAGAGAGTCGCTTAATAGTGTCCCCAATGGAAACACATGACGCTTGTGAACTTTTGCTGTGCCACGCTAAAGAACGCCGCACTAGATTTTATGATGAAATATCTCGTTTGGAGGAAACATGCTTTAGCTCAGTCTGTTGTGCATTCTAAAACAGAAGCTTACAGATATTTATATGGACTAAATGTGTCAACAGCCTCTGGAAACTAAAGCTGGGGGACTCCCTTTGAGACTCAGTCCCTGGAGATAGCCCACCACTGAACATATGCTCATCTGGCGTTTTCTTATAGTCTACTGTTATAAATACAGAATTGGAACTGGTCTGAAATGAACTATGCAATGGACTATGGAAGGACATGGGTGAGCTGGGACGCCATGCAGGTGAGGGGGAGGTAGGGGGCGATATATAGAAATGGCAGAGGGGGGGCTGGAAACAGAATAGAACTGCATTGACGAGAGAAGACTTGCGGATTGGAATAAAACTGCTGGGGAGGAGGCTAGGAGCTGCTATGGAAGGTGTATGGGCAACCAAGGGCTCTCGGAGAAAAGCACAGTGCTGACACAGGCCCTTCTGCTCTCTCTACCATGACACAGAGTGGGTCCCTGAGCGGGTGGGGTCGGGTGGAGGGTGTGGGAGTGTGCTATGTCTATCCACAGAACGGGACCGGACAGAGGACGCAAGTCTAGTGGACCTTCTAAGCCATGCAGCACATAGTCTAGCCTGTGGAAGTTACCTAACAAGACTTTTTTCTGTGTTGCTATGGGTATTGTAAGGGTAGGGCTGAATGATTTTGTGAGAAAATATCTAATTGCAATTGATTTCAGATATGATTTGATGAAGCAATCCTTCATTTGTTTTGGAGCGATCCATGATAGAAAAGGTTTCAGTGATCTGGACAAAGTTTTCTTGGAATTGAGGCATTTTGGTAAACCGTTCTGATGTTATTATCACTCTCATAAGTGTTAACAATAATAAGTTCTGAATTGAAACTTGATATTGGTTTCTGAATTGAACATTTTGGTAAACACTGAATGTTTAGCCAAAATGTTGTGACATTATGAGGTTGATAATAACTTTTGAATGATTCGTCGAAAGGTCTCTGGACCTTGTTCAGATGACTTCCTTTGAAACCTTGATGTACAGTACTTTAAAATTTGAAGATCTGTTTTGGTTCACACATTTTATGCATTAACACAAGCTAATACAGAGGTCAAATATATTTCAAAATATGTTAGTTGAGGTCTAGAAACTACAGAACAGGATTTATACATAATGAAGTTCCAGAGTTTGGACATACGTGTTGACAAAAATTGACTCTTGGTTTTTTGCTCATTCAGAATCAAAAGCTTGTTTTGATTTCAACAAATCCTTCAGCCCTACAGTAAAACAGAATGTATAAGCCTATCTGTAAGTGTACAAAGTAGTGTGTGTAACATGCGCACACTAGCTGAGAAGGTCCCTCTTTCCGTCCCCTCCTGTGGATACTCGGCTAACCCCGTCCTGCTAACAACTCGCTGCCCAACCGGTCCCACACCATGACACAAAGGCCACAACATCAACCAGCCGTCCCTACTTTCAAAAGAATACAGGAAAAGAAGAAAACGGAAATAAAGAAGAGACTGCCACATTAAAAAGGTTACACCACGTTCAGCGCTCAAGTCCCTGGCCCCACCCTCCCGTCCGGACCCCCTGCACCCGTGGCTCGGAGGGCGCCGTTGGGGGGTCCCGTTCTGACCTTGTAGGCTACCCGTGCAGGACACCTCTTCCCCAGGCCTAGTGGAGGACACATGTGCCTGAGCATGTCATACATATCCCTGCAACTGATCCTGCCACTGCCACCACCGGCCAGTGCCACCAAGCCCCCAACCGAGATAAGGGAGAGAGATTGAGAGAGAAAGGGAAAAGCGCTTGATTAGGAGTGAGTTCAAATAGCATATCACCAAGGAAGGAAGAGAACAGGGGAGAAAGAGAGACAGCGAACTGCACTGTAAAATGCGAATATCTACACAAGTTAAAATGATTCTTATTCTGTGTATTCATCTTGATCTGAGTTGGCTTGTAAATGGCTTTAATTTTTGGACCTATATTATTTTATTTGTTTCAAAATGTATCCTTATCTTACATGGGCACGGATAGGGTCAACAGCAGCCTGCTTTTCCATGGTCAGAGAACCGCAGCAACTGATGTCACCCAAATTTAACATAACCAAACATTTCTTAAATAAATAAAAACTAAATTACAACTGAATTATACTTTATAATCATAAGGTCAATCTCAGAATTCGGAAAAAGATGTCTTGTAAGTCCAAGTTTGTGGTGCTGTGAGTTTGGGATGCTTCCAGTTTACTGGCAGCTTTTTCTGCATTTATTTCACTTGTCTGAGCCTTTATGCCATGTTTTAATGTCTCTTTAAGTAATGCTTGGGTTCAGCTAATGTTAGACACCTTATGCACTGGAAATATAACGTCAATCTTGATACGAATGTACTAGTTTGGATGCGAACCATGTTGACATCACTAGAAATATGGTGGTTTATCACAAGATCAAGTCTGCGTTTGATGAGAAATTATTATTTTCTACTTATATCTGCTTTTTGTCATCTTGTTTTTGCCTGGTTTTGTGTTTTCTATTGTCCAATCATCTAGCTCCTCTTTAGCTTAAGCAGAACTTCAGGTAAAGAGGGCTAGACTGGGCTTAGACAGATTTGGAAGCTAATAGCATAAGCGGTCTGCTCCACACTCTTCAAATGAAGCTTACCAGATTGCTACTAAGCAAACAATATAAACAAACCTTAACAGGTTGAATGAAATAGGTCCATTCAGTAAATACTTCTAAACTAGTCAACTCAAAAAGATAAATATTCATTTAAGTCATTTTAAATCGTGTAAATTTTGACTTTTTACAGTGGAGTCTTAACACAAAGAACAGAAAGAGATAGTTACCGGGCCAGTTCGGACTATTCTGAGTACAATACTAATATACTATGTAATATTTTAGACATTTTGTAGTACCCTGTGCATTCAGCAGATGCATGCGTTTCAATAGCGGAGTGGGCATAGCTTGGTGGCATGTACAAGCTCATATTGAGGCGAGGTGAGAGGGGAGGAAGAGGTAGGGGTGTCAATGCAGTTTCTTTCCCCCAACCCCCAAAAAACCAAGAACAATGCAACACTACAGTGGGCAACCGTAGCTTGCTCTATCATAGCCATGGCTCCACACCAAGCAAAAGAAAACGTTTACAAAAAAAGTTTGAGTTTACGATATGACAAAACATCCTCAGATTTCATTTCTCAATTCACTTTTGTCGCATGCGTCTCTAGGTGTCTGCATTGTCCCGCACATTCTCTAAGCAGTTCAGAATGCAAGTCAATAATAATATAATGGTGGAAAAACGTTGTAAAATATAAATGATAAAAAAATAAGCAGCATTCACTCCATTCCTGGATGCTGTGGCTAGCAGGTGTGTTTGGAAAGTTTCGTTAGAATAGAAGCCAAACCTTGCAGGCCACCCTATGAGGGCATTTCTTGCCTAAGCCGAGAGGCGGGTCGATAACTCGTAATAAACTGTACATGTCCTTATAATGAATGCGCCCGCTGCAAGAAGAATACAGGGGAGGTAAGAAACATACACACACGGACAGAGAAGACTCACATCCAGAAAGAGGAGACAACAAGTGGAGGAAGAGCACAAGTTTACAAGATCAAAGTATCTGGGAAACTTCACTGTAAAAACTTACATCCAAGTTAGTTAAAAAGGACTTCAGTCTTAATAAAAATAATTGTTTCAAGTAGTTTTGACAAGTTTACATCTATTAAGTTTTTGTTTTTTTCCCCCAAAAATCATCTGCTGGTGGTCCAAGATTTCTTATACTTTTTTATTTAAAATGTAATAAATAATGTAATTGTAATAAATAACATACTTGTATTAGTATTATTTTTATTTATTTATTTATTATTTACATTTATTTATTTATTTTTTATTATTTTATTTTACTGGTGTTATTGTTTTAGGACTAGTATAATTAAATCTGAGCATTTATTTTATCATTATATTATTACTGTTGTTGTTAGTGTGTATTTGTGCTGTACTTTGGAAACTGTGAAATGTGCTATTAAATAAAGTGGATGGATTGAAATATAAAAAAAAAAAGTAATAATAAAATGAAATATTCTCATACCAATAACCAAATCCAAGCTATTCAGAACTACTCATTTAGATTTAGATATTTTTCCCTAATTTGGATTAAAAGCATTCTACAGCATTCACATGATTTTTGTTCAGTGTTTTGTTTGTTTACACTCCATGTCCAACCCTAACTTGATGGTTTAACACTGTCATTAATTACACTGAACCGCTAAGAGCTTAATAGCTACTTGTGGCAAGCTACTCATCCCCCTTTGTTTCCCAGCTGTGAGTCTGTGTCTCCTCTTCTGTCCCTGCACACCAAACTGAGACTGTGGGAAATACGACTTACGATGTAACAAATTTGGCAATATTAAAAGTTTCACCACATCATTTTGTATCAAGTTGTAAGACATTAGACCTAAATACTAGACCTGTGTATCATTTGTTCATTTGTTTTTCAAAATAAAACCAAAAATTTGAGAATGAAAAAATAACAATTTTTTTTCATTATTTGTCTCCAAAACCAAAATGAAAAAACGGATGATTAGTTTTTTCAGTTTTTGATTTTGTGTTTAAATGAATAATGGACAAAAAGTATAACGTTTCCTGTTTCTGTGACTTAAACTGCGATGCCAGACTTTTGCATGACTAAAACAGGACTGATCCCAGGACTGAACCAGGTCTAAACCAGGACTGAGTGTCGGGCCGGGCCCAGAGGTGCGCCCATGTACACTGTCGGGTGATCAGGACTGAGACTAGGACCAGGCCGGGACTGAGACCGGGACCAGACTGGGACCAGATCGTGATTGAGAACGGGACTGAGACCGGAACCAGACCTTGACTAGACCGGGACTGAGACTGGGACCAGACTAGGACTGAGACCAGTTTAGTCCTGATTTAGACCTGGTTCAGTCCTGGTTCAGTCTGTATGTGGCGCAAAATCCCGGCATTGCAGTTTAAGTCACTGAAAAGGGAAACGGTCGTTATCCATTTTTTCCATTATTCATTTAAACACAAAATCGAAAACTGAAAAAAACAAATCATTATCTGTTTTTTCATTAGGATTTTGGAGACATATAATGAAGAAAATGTTGTTTTTTCATTTTCTTATTTTTTTTTGCTATGTATAATTTTATGTATTACTATTATTATTATTATTAATTCTTTTTACAGCACTTATTGCACAGAATCACATAGACTGAACGTTGAGTTTCAGATACCAGATCTGTGTAGGAGTTGGACACGTTACTGAAAAAAGCAGGGTGGAGCATATCATATTTATATTTAGGGAAAGAGGGACAGGTTTACATGTTTAGGTGGGATACATATTTGTACAGTGGATACGTGATAGCCTCATGACAGGTTATCGTCCAGGCTGTACAGCTGCAGGGACACAACCAACAATCTAGAGGGATCAGGACAATACTGCTAGAAAAATCAGTAAGGATTATGAGACGAAATATATTGTAATACAAAAATCACGAGTACAGACCTTAATATTTTAGAGGTTTAAGTTAATACTACAATTTATACATCAGTTTTTCTTGTATGTTTTAATTTTCTTGTTAAATTAGTGTTAAAATAAAGCTGATACTAGCAATTTCAGATAATACTATTCACGAGAAAAGTATTAAAATCTTACCCAAAACACTGACAATGATCATCCTCTGTGGATTTTTAGTATATTTGCCATTCAAACTAACTATTTTTCTTTCGCGAACATGCATTTGTTATGTCAAAGCTTTCTTAAATACAGGTTCAGGCAAAACTTTTCATCACCATGGTAATTCAAATATATAAAATAATAATATTAAAAATGTATTTAGTATAAAAGGTTGATTAATATAGGTTATGTAATTATGTGCTGTTACATGCTAAGACTAGTTTACTATCAAATATGGTGACAAATATTATCAGTAACAGTATGTGGATTAATGTTTTGAGTTTGTGCCGTGTTAAAATGCACTGAAAAGTTTAGTATCAGTACATATTAGTATTATTATATTGATGAGCTCCCGTTGGATTTTATAGGCTCGTATAGATTTGTATAGACTCACCAGGCTGCAGGGTCATACTCGGCCCATATCCTCACATACTCATCCAAGTGGTGCGGTCCCAGGATGGACGAGTCTCTGGTCAGGTACTCGAAGTTGTCCATGATGACGGCCACGAACAGGTTCAGCATCTGCACGTGTGAAGGGAAAGAGTCAATGCAAAACGACGAGCTTTTGCCAGAAATCTGAAATGCCGTCTACAATTTGTGAACTTCTTTGGTCAGGGTAGCAGTCATCTTGCCGGTGATTCACAAGGCATTCTGGGAAATTGCTCATACTCCCCAATTTCGAGTGTACCTCTGAAAAATCTTTGTTTGGAGGGGTATGTAGCCCTACCACTTACCCTTACCCCACGTACTTACCTGGATACATAAGCCACGATGCGATACATGTCTCAATACAGTGAGCTTACGATTCAATATGATATATTTCAAATCGATTCAATGCGGTTCAATAAAAAATAACTAACTAATAACTAAAAGTCTTTGTTAAACCACTTCTTGTGCAAAGTTCATATGAAACCCACCCATTTTAACAATCAAAACAGAGAAAATGTCCAACGTGTTGCATAAACGAGTTTCCTTCCTCTAAACAAGCAACAAAACTGTAGCTGTAACAAAATAATTCAGTAAAATCTACCAAAAAATACTCTTGACGATATATTGATATAGCAGCCCACAATATCGATACTGTATCATCGCATTAAACAATACGATATATCGATATTTCAACATTTTTGCACACCCCTAGTCTCTGCTGTTATCAGTTGATATCGGGTATCAGCAGATACTTAAAGCTGTGGTATCAAAATCGGAACTGTAAAAGCTGAATCGATGCCTCCCTAAAAATGAGTGGTGGAGATTGCTCTGCTTTTCCCAATTACAGGTCCATCTGACTTACATCTGGCTTTTGATTTACACACAAAGCAGCCTGCTAAGTGTGTTAGGCCAGTACTCACCAGGAAAGAACAGAAGAAGATGAAGGAGACGAAGTAGAGGTACGCCACCTGGCTGCCACACACAGGCCCATCGTTCCCGGACATAGCGTCACACTCTTTGTTCCCCAGACACGCCAACATGATATCATGCCACGCCTCCCCTGTGGCACTCCTGCAATGCAAACATTAGTCTATTAAATGCTCATATATTCTATACTATACACATACACTATATAATATCTGCTCATATGTACTATATAATATCTGTTTCAATTATGTAGGGATGTAGAGTTTTAGTCATTCCGTCAAAAGAGTCTTTGTCAGCCCAAATTTCAACTAATCATTTTAACTGGGATTTATATATGCTTTTTAAAAAATGTGGTATTTATATGTAAAAAGACAGATTAAACTCACAAATGTATTCTGTCTTTACATAAATACATTGTTTCGTAGTACTTTCTTCTGCATATATCTGCTCGTGCTGGTGTTTCTTATGAGTGCGATTTGGGTTAAATACATGGAGATATGTAATAGCTTTGAGAGCTTTTGCCACGCCTCCTCTTAAGTCGACTAATCGATTGTCAGCTTACGTCTTTAATTAACCGAGAAATTCTTTAGTTGACCACAGCCCTACAGTTATGAAATGTGAAGTACCTGAAGAGGAGCATGAGAGCTTGGATGAAGGTCCTGAAGTTGTTGTGCTGGTTGATTGCGCTCTCTCCATCTTCTTCTATGGCGATATTCCCAAACAGCTGTCAAGACAATTAAAGTTTGTTTTATATAGAGAAATATGCTGCCTAAAAATATCATCAATCTTGTATTTTTATAGATATCAATCCACAAGAGATATTGCTTCTCAATTCTGAACAAAATGGTTGATTTTAGCAACAGAAATAGTTAGAAAATCAAACAGTGAAACAGTGATTGGTCAATAAGTCTCTCACCTGCATCCCAATAATGGCGTAGATAAAGAAGAGCATGGCAATCAGCAGGCAGACGTAGGGCAGGGCCTGAGGAGGAGCACATCACATGTTTAAACACTTTGAATAATGGGAAGAATGCACTGGATTAACAGAACATTTTTAGACACTCAAAACTCTTAACCTAGAGTCATTTACTTGATATAAAGGTAAACTTGATAGAAAGAAAAAGACTTGATATGCATTTCGATGACAGAATAATAAAAAGCTTACAACGGCCAAAGCTTCCCTAATTCACACAATAGTTACAATAGTTATTATATACTGTATGGCATATAAAATATATGAAAACTTGCATGTAAATTGTAAAGGGGTATCCAACATGTAGCTTGGGAGCTCCCAATTAGAGGTCTGCGCGGGACAGAATTTTCAGTCCCGCTCCTACCCGCAAAGAATTGTAATTTTCACTCCCGCTCCCGCCCACATCTGCAATATTTTGTCCAGCGCCCGCCCGTAAATCCTGCAAATTGGGGACGTTTGGGTTACTTAAGCTCTATCAAACACGGAGAAGCAGAAAGGAATTGTCTAAAATGTGCGCGAGATTAGACCACGTCCGTAAGTTTAGGCTGCTTAAAATGCCAAATAAAATATCCAGCACAAATGATGTATGATAGGCAAACTTTAATCATTTGTATATTTTACTTTACTCATATTTAGTTTGTGGCCCGCGCCCGCAATGAGCTTTCAGAATGTGTCCCTGTTTTGCGTCGAGTGTGCAGGGCTTAACTCCCAATAGCTTTCCAGTCCCTTACAACTAGCTTGCCAAGGAATTTCTGATTTATACGATGTGGTGAATAACTCAAGTTTAATTGATTACCAATGTTAATGTATCATTTTGAAGCCTAACTGCACTAATAAATGGATAATAATAAGGGATGGACCGATCCAGCTTTTTCAGTTCTGATTACAATACTTTGACCTAAAGTATGGAACGGAAAATGGCACTTATTTCCTTAAAATACAATTAACTTATTGCAAAATAAATCCAATTACACGTTCTGGGTCAAATCAGCCTGTAGCCTTATTACATCCAATGAATATATCAAGGAAACCGATATCTGATCCAGCTCATTTTCCCGTATCAGTGCCAATATTCAATCAGTGCATCCCTAATAATAGTTTATGTTTTATAGGCATCTAATTGTACCACATCTAAGGCATGCCGTGGTTCTTACGCTGTAAATACTCAATTTCTTGCAACCTAAACTGAATAGCTCTGTGGCATTTTTGTTCCTTTTTAGAGCATTACCTGTAATTTTTTACTTTCCCCCAACTTTTCTTCACAAACTGAAACTTCGCTGATATAAAACAAAAAAAAAAAAAACTGATATAAAACTGATATAAAACTCACCAAAAAATAGAAAAGTATAAAAACCTGCCCTGCACAAGTGTATTTCTATATATTTAGTGCATGTATGTACCTTAAAGGACTGTACAAAGGTCCAGAGCAGGATGCGGATGGTCTCTCCTTGCCTCAGCAGTTTGATGAGACGCGCCGCCCTGAACAGCCTCAGGAAACTCAGGTTTATGAAGTTATTCTACAGCAGCAACACACAAGGCCAGAGGAGAGGGAAGGGTACAAGACACAGAGAGTGAGAGGGATCGTGGAGGAACAGAAAAATGTGTGCCACCACCCCCCGAGAACAAAACCAATGAGTTAAGGTCCCAATGAACACAAACATAACCAAAATGAAGTTTGAACAAGCCTCATCCAGGGTCTTAGAGTCAAACAACACAAGGAGAAGGCAGTCATCCAGTTGGTCGGGTTAATCCAATCATGTTATGTGGTGAGAGGAGAAGAGGAGAGCTGCGGGGCGTTACAGTGCAGGGGCTTTTCTCAGTGACAACCAAATGCACTAGGTTTGTCAGGCACGCACACCATCGAGGAGTCAGGCCCAGCATGCACATGGGACAGAGAGCATCATGGGAGCAGCAAAACAAGGGCGCGTCCAGATGAAATGGAGCTAATGCTAAGTGGTTGAAGAACTATGTGAAGTCAATGCTGTTTCTTATTCAAAAAGTAGAATCTTCTTCAACCAGCTGACCATACGTGTAATAATGTTTCCTGTTCATAAATGAGCCAGTGGCAGAACTTGTGTGGGATTTGTCAAAGTAAAAGCTCTAGCAGACACATGCAGCATGCACTTTGCTTTAACATTATATGTCACTGTTTGAATATTGTAACTTTCAGATAGGATATTTCTGAAGAATATACACACAGCATCAGTGACTTAACAGTCCTTAGAAAATATGAAATTTGCAATACAGTTTCTGGTATCAAAGTGGGTTTGAGGCCAAGCAGAGCATGCACAGTTCACAGCCATAACAATGGCTGGGATGCAGGACAAATGCAGGAAAATAAGATCTCCAAAAAATTACAAACCATCTACATGTGGATGTTGCAGATTTATGGTTTATAGCAGCAAATTTTTGGATTTTTGGTTCGAAGAACAACCAGAGAGGTTGACCAAGCCGGTTGTCATGGACACAGAGTCATAGTGCATTTTGATTGGAATAGCAGTAGTAGGCCAAGGGGTAAACAAGATCACAGGGGATCATCAATAAGTTTGAGGACGATTTAAAGAAAGCATGTAAAAAGATAAAAACAAGAAGATAGAAATCAACAGTCAATACACACAGTTCAGCAGCGCACAGGAGCCAAAACAAGGCAGGGACCAAGGCGCGGCTTGGAGAGTCATAAAAGTGAACGCAGTCAACTTACTCAAAATATTAGCAATAAAAAGGAATTCAGTAGTCTTCATCCAAAAAGAGGTGAATAAAGATTTTGTGCTTAAGAGTTACAAAAGAAATATTCATCTGATATACTGTACCGCAGTGGAATGTGGTGGATGTTTTACAAAAGGGTCCAAACCTGACTTGTATTAGTTGATTCTACAATGGCCTCAGTCTGTAGTACAGGTCTAAAGACATGTGTAGTGTTCAGTGTGTGTGTTCAGTGTGCATGTTCAGAGTCTGCTCTGTGACAGCCTGGTGTGGTGGACTCTCCCTCACAGCTGCATGTGGGACACTTATGTAAAACTTGTCACATGTTCATGCATGAACGAACCGGGCCACACTTAGGAGCCGTCCTTACAGTCTGTTCTAAACTCTTATATCCTACACCTAAGATACCATAAGATTTGAGTACATTTAAGAACTTGTGTCACTTACCCCAAGCTCTGTGACCAGAATGTCAGTGATGCTGCCCAAAACCGTTACACAGTCAAAAATGTTCCAGGCATCTTTGAAATAATTCTGTTAAGAGCACAGAGAAAATGGTGTGAGTCATGTTTTTACAGTAAGGCTAATCTTCTTCATTAGGAGCGTGGGTTATATTGGACACAGAGGAGGCTGCTGGTAAAATAAAGCAGCTTGTTCCGCCTGTTTCTATCACACACTATCTATACTTAATGAACAAATCCCCTCCCATTCTGTCATTCACACACCAACTCGTGGTCTATTTCTGTCAGTACAGCAGTTCCAGGAAAGTCTTGCTGTATAGTGAATCATAAACAAACATGTATTGACAATTATGGGAGTTAGTGGCTCAGTGGTTAGAGCAGTGGTCCATCCATCCTTTTTTTTTTTTTTTCTGAACAAAATTACAAGTTCTAAACTTACCAGGGCTCCAAAGGCGATGATCTTAAGCACACACTCCATGGAGAAGAGCGATGTAAACACGATGTTGAGGTTGGCTAAAACAGCTTCATATGTGTCAGATGCTCCATCATACTATAACACAAAACACACAGGTAAGCTAAATAAAATTATACTAGGAGGACTTTTTTAGCTTTTAACAATGTTATCAAATCCAAACATTTTCTCCAAACTCATACCATATCATACAACTGTTTAAATCACCTCTGTTAAACAACTTAGCCAGACAACAGCTGGTTAAAATCTATTTTCTATTTGTCTATAAAACAGTACAGGGTTTAACTTTCTACCTATGACGCAACAATTCTAGAAGAATTTTAACAAAGTGATTTCTGAGGCTCTGAAGCGTGAAAAAAACTAAATACAACTCCAGGTATGTTTTTGATGAGGAAACATGGTTAACAGATTAAAAAACCTTGCTGTAGTTGTACCTTCATCATGAGGACGATGGTGTTGAGCGCGATCATGGCCATTATGGTGTATTCAAACGGAGGAGACACCACAAACTCCCACATCTTGTACTGGAAGCTCAGTTTGTTCTGAGGCATGTGGCGAGTCAGAGGCCGGGCGTTTATGGCAAAGTCTATGCAGGCTCGCTGTGGAAACAAACAATAATATTCAGCTATTTTGAATGTGTAGTGTTGATTATATTGATATTACACTACAAAGAAGATCCAGGTTTTTCAGTTCCTATACAAATGTCGATACTATGTCTTTAAGTATCTGGCAACATCCAGTATTAACCAATACCAGTGTAGGGATTGAAAATGGCATTTGTTTCTCTCAAACCACAATTAACTTATTACAAAATTGATCCAACTGTGTTATGTAATTGTTCGTATTCTGTAAGTAACTGCAGAAGAGCTTTGTATGAATTGAAGTTCAAACATCATCAGATTTCCAACCAGGATATCGACTGGACCAATATGACAAAACCAACACCTGATACTGCAAATTTTCCTGGATCACACCAATATTCAATATCAGTAATGGTATCGGTGCATCCCTATTCAGAATATATTAAATAAGTTAAATAATTTTTTTTGCTGCCTACTTTTGACTTACTAGGTCTAGATTTCTTACTGAAATATTTTGGTTTCATTTGAAGCTTTTTTCGGGCAAAACAATAAATTAATATCTTGAAGTTGGAAATAATCTAAACAAAAAGGAGAAGAATCAAGTTTAATGGCGCTCTATCTCAATTTATGTCAGTACAGATAAATTATAAAAGCAACTCTTGGGGTTAAATCACTGCTGTGCTTTGTCTGAATCTAATTATAAAGTCTGTTTTTATTAAAGTAGTGCTCCCTACCAGTCTAGTTTGCTTACATACTTGTCAACATGATAAATCCAGAGTTAAGGAATGCATTAGAAAAGTGAGATCTCTGCTAACATTTCAAACCTTTACAGACAAAACTAGTCAGTTTTAGACACTGTAAAAATCGTGTGCAGCTTCAAAAACGTACCTCATTCTTTTCTAAGCTATATTCTTCCATCATCTTATCCCCTTGTTCTTGGAAAGTGATGATGATCAGAGCCACAAAAATGTTGACAAAGAAGAAGGGGAAGACCACGAAGTACACCACGTAAAAGATGGACATCTCCATCCGGTATCCTGGGCTGGGGCCCTGGTTCTCGTAGGTCGCATCGACTGAATGCTTCAGCACCCTGCACACAGACGCAGAGGGTTAAAAAGGTCACTGTGAGGGGGTGAAGTGGCAATGACCAGAGGTGGGTAGATAAACAAAAAGTATACTAAAGTAACAGTACTGAAACTTTAATAATTACTATATATCAGTTAAAATTACTAAAATGTTGTTGTTTTTTTACACAATTGTAGTCATAAAAATGTAACTGGATAGGCCAAAACATAAAGTAATAATAATTTTACAATAACTATAGTACACAAATCTAAAAAATTATAAATAAATAAACAACAAAAACATTTATGCAAATATTAAGCAAATTTATGTATTAAGTATTTAAGTATTGTACATAAAACACAAAAAATTACTCAAGCCATAGTAACTGTGTACTTTTAAGCTCTTCCTGCCCACCTCTGCTCTGCATAAACTCATGTGTACTCACTGCGGCCACCCCTCTCCAGTGGAAACCGTGAAGAGGGTGAGTAGGGCCCAAGCCACATTGTCGTAGTGGAAATCGTACTTCTTCCATTCCCGCTTCTGTGCCCTCACTTCATTATCTCGTTCATAGACCAAGTATTCGCCTCTGAAAAACACAATGCATTGGTTTAAATGTTATGTAGAACCCAGTGGAGCCAATGGTTTAGAATCAGTGTACATAAAAATAAAAATAATATCTTCATCAATGGGTTTGAAGTGGGACTAAACACCTAAACTCCGCCCACAACCATAAACAGAGCTGCTAAAACCGGAGTGACCACTGTGACACACTCAGTTTTAGACTTTTTTGACCACAAAGCTGCCAATGTATCCAGATTACACTAACATTGCTCAAAATGACTAGAAAAAGTAGACAATGATATTGCTATGCTTAAAAAAATAAACCCAAATACACACAGTTCTGTAGCAAAAAAGTTGATTTAGCGTTTGATGTAAGAAGCTGTGAAAGCACATTTAGTTCAACACTCCTTTCTGAAGTTTTTGCTGTAATGAAGTGTTTACACAAACCATCATGCATTTTCTATTCAGGTTGTTGGCCAGCAAAACAAAACAAAACAAAACAAACAAACAAACAAAAAAAACTAGACTATATTGGTGCTTTGAAACCTCCTAGGACCCAAGCTCTTACATGGCACGCTTTATCAAGTTCTCTTTGTTATTTGGGCTGATTGGGACCTGATGAGTGCAAAAACAAATTATATTTTTGCATGATGTATTTTCTGAGAAATATTACGTCAACATATGATTTATAAAATATTCACACAATACACAAAACACAATAAAGTCACAGTTGAACAATGATTTGAAAAAACTATTTATTAAGTGCCTGAACAACCCAAAAATGTGTTGGACACACATGCCAGGTCCTAGGAGGCTACGGCTACAGAAAAAGCGCAGCAAATACAATCCCAAAGGTTCATCTTTATACATATTTATATGTCTTCTCACCATAACTGCAACCCCAGAATTTTACTTTGCAACAACTGAATAATATTACATAATGTAAGATGTAATGTTCTTTCCTGACCTGCAATCACGCTCAAACTCCTTGGACTCGTCGGTGCAGTAAAAGAAGCGTCCCTTGAACAGCTGCACCGCCACGACAGCGAAGATGAACATGAAGAGCAAGTAGACGATCAGGATGTTCAGAACGTTCTTCAGAGAGTTCACCACGCAGTCAAACACCGCCTGGAAAAAACAAAACATAAAAATGTGCACATTTTAAACAGATGGAATATTCAATTGAAATGACTACAAAAATCCTTGTCCGAGTTACCAGTAATTTTGAGTTTGTCTAAGTCAAGTGCGAGTTGAGTCATGAATTACTGCAAGTCCGAGTGTAGGCTATACAAAGTCCAAGTTTCCAGTGTGCAAAATTCCATCTTCAAAGGTTAATTTATTAATCATATACAGGGGGTTAGCTCTGCAGCAGACTTGAGAAGAAAAACTATGATCAAGTTATGACGTCGAATTACAAGTCACTGTGCCCCCATATTCCCCAAGTTAGGTCCCAGAATCATAAATCAGGTCCCAAGTCAAGTCATGGCAGTAAGAATAAAGTTAAGTCCCAAATCGAGTTACATGTCGAGTGCCAAGTTGAGTCACAAACTAAGTCACAAGTCCCAAGTTAATTTGGAAGACAAGTTCTAAGTCAGGTCACAGGTTGAGTCTAAAGATTGACCAACAGGGGTTTTTCATGGCTTCTTGTTTAGACTTCAGAGCAGTTGATGTCATACCGATATGCACCTGCCAATATTTTCGGTCCAATTTTGATCATTTTCCTCCAAAATATATGACTCGAAATTAATACTAACATAAATATTGTCTGTACTTTTTACTGCTCTGCATAATTTTACTAATAATAAGTAATAATTTTTTGACATCCACATCCCTGTTTTTACTACTAGGCCATAATGGAGGAATGTAATCTCATTTTGTGGATGCCATCATCGCTCTAAAGTGTTAAAATAAAGTTTTATGCAGCTATCGGTGAGCCCAAAACAGGTATCAGCCCAGACAGGAGTGGTAAGGCCAATAGCCGATACACAAAAAAAGTGCAAATATTGGCAAACCAATATATCGGTCTATTTCTAGTAGAGTCCAAAATCAAGTCACAAACAGAAGCCCAGGTCAAGTCAAGTTGTATCACAAACTGACTCTCATGTCAAGTCTGAAGATGAGTCCAAAGTGGAGACCAGTCCCAAATTAATTACCAAGTCAATTCCCAAATGGAGCCCCAGGTCGAGGCCGTGGTCAGCTCTGAAGTTGAGTCTGAAATCAAGTCCCAGTTCAAGTCAAATGCTGAGTCTTGAGTGGAGATTCAAGGCAAGTCCCAAGTTCAGTCCCAAACTGAGGCCTAAGTCAGGGTCCCAAGTCAAGTTTAAAAGACTGTTCAGAAATGTAGTTTCAAGTGGAGTTCAAAGTCAAAACCCAATTTAAGTCGAGTCACTAGTTGAGTCACAAAATAAGTCCTAAGTCGGGTTGTCCAAGTTGAGTTCCAAGTAAATCTTGAGTTGAGATCCAAGTTCAGACACAAATTGAGGTCCAAGTCAAGTCCAAAGTCAAGACTGTTCAAAAATTTAGTTCAAAGTGGAGTCCAAAGTTAAGTCCCAGTTTAAGTCACACATCGAGTCCCTAGTTGAGTCACAAAATAAATCCCAAGTCAAGATACGAGTTGAGTTGCAAGTAAATCTTGAGTTGAGATCCAAGTCGAGACACAAGTTGAGGTCCAAGTCAAGTCCCAAGTCAAGTTCCAAGTTACGTCACATGTTGAGTCCCTTGTTGAGTCACAAAATGAGTCCCAAGTTGGGATCCAAGTTGAGTTCCAAGTAAATTTTGTGTTGAGGTCCAAGTCGGGTCCAAAGTCAAGTTAAAGTTGGGTTCCAAGTTGAGTCTCGAGTTAATTATAAGGCAAGTCCCAAATTGAGTCCCGAAAAAAGTCCCATGAGTCACTTGTCCACGTCAGATCAACAGACCCACCTTGAGTTTGGGTAGACGTTTGATGGTCTTCAGCGGCCTCAGCACTCTCAGCACCCTCAGGGACTTGATCGTACTGATGTCCTTCCCTTTACTACTCCCCCTGTACAAGTACACAACAAATACTTCAAATCACAAGTACACAAACGGCCTTGAACAGAGTCAGCACTGCTTGGGAATGATGAGCTTAGTCCTACTGATTCCAAAATGGCAGTGAGCGGCCATTCTTTGATGGAATTAGAGGCCGAGTTAGCTCAGAGCGAGTAACTGCGTGTGCGTTGGAAATATAGCAACACATGCGGTATTGCTATTGTTGTCGACTTAGCTTCAGCTCTTCATGTCATGTTAGCCTTTGTCGCTACATGCTAGACTTATACAGGTAAAAGTACATGCCTTGGAAGCGGTTGATATCATTCCTGAATTCTGAATGCTATCTAGTCGCTAGTGGCTTCAAACTGCAGTGTACTGTGTTTCGCAATGTATTTCAATGCTGTTAGCTTAAAGACTTGGGTGCACATGCCCGGTTGAAGGTTAGGTTCTGTAGACATGCTGCATTGAAACCTTGCTTGTCATGCTTTTGGTTAGGAAGCAAAGAGCTACATTAGAGAGAGAGAGTTTAGTGCTGATCATAATACTATACCTGTGGTGCTGCTGTTTAAAATACAATAATGTTAAAGGGACAGTATGTAGCCTGCACTCTTACTGTTTAGAAAATGTATTACAATCACGACTGGACCTTCACCTGCAGATAAAGGAAGCATCAAAGTTTGTCTCGTTGTCAATTTCTGGACAGACGAAGCCTTATGTGAAAGCTCAGAACCTCCAGAATTCCCTCACTTATTCATGATCGTCTGCAGATGCTGGGGTTTAGGTAGTGACCATTCAGATCAGTGTCATTTTAGACCCTAAACCAACTGGATTTTAGAACTGAAGTTGGCAACCCAAATGAGAGACTCACGTGAGGCTCATTCTGCTTTCTGGTTAATCGTCTTAAGAACCAAAACACCAAATAACATGAACAACTTGGCCACTGTGTCTAATATTTTTGTGATTTATTTTGAAGAATAAGTCAGCATTAGACTTGTTATCAGTAAAAGTTGTATCTTACATATTGTCCCTTTAAATAATATTACCTTCCGTTTGCATAGTGCTTTGGAAGATACTCGCAATGCTTCCTACTTTACGCTAAAAAAATGATTTATTCACCAATAGGCTCTGTGCACAGCGGGGTCCAACGCCTATTCCGACATCTCTTCATTACGACATGTCTCTATTTACATGTGCAGGTTTTCCGACACTTTTTAATATCGCTATTCCGACACATTATAGCCTACATGACGGAATGAATAAAGCACAAAGGGCCCATGCAGTCTCGGTTTTAGATTAGATATTTTCCCGAAGGCTGGCCTATGCTCTTTTTTTTTTTAAATGCATGACTGTTTCCCATGGCGATCAGTTTGGACATTTTCCCACTGTCTGATATCCTACGTGACCGAAGTATTCTCTGGACAAGTGCCCGAGCATCTTATGATATACGGAGCACTAAGTATAATAAGCTATCACGTTAATATTTTTCATGTTGGAAAAGCACAATTTGAAAAATAGTAAAATTTCGCTACTCCGACAATGAAAAAAAAAAAAAAGTCAAAGTAGTGAAAAATACGCTTGAAAAATAATATTTATGCTGCTACTCCGGCAGTTAAACGTCTATGTTTAAATAGCGGCATGTAACCGTGCAAAGCATATTGTGTCTCAAAGCTACCTTCATTAAAATCATAAAACATACCATTAACAGCCTATTAAACAGCCTATTAAAATTAAAATTAATAAGAATAAAAACAACTCAAATATTTTTACATGTAGACTAGTTAGCATTAGCAAAATTAGCATTAGCATTAGCATTGAGACACAAACATAGGGTGACCAAACATCCATTTTCCCCGGACATGTCCGTTTTTCATGTCCTGTCCTGGCCGTCTAGAATTATTATTATTTTTTTTATAGTGATACAAATGTCCGGGTTTTCATGATCTTTTGTTGGGTCATTAAATTGTGCATCTCTCGTAGCTCTCTACACTCAGAAGGAGCGAGCAGACACAAACAGTCGGTCAGCCTGCAACATGTCGAAGCACAAATGCGTATTTAATGATGACTTGTACAAGAAATTCCTCGCTTTCCGTCCTGGTCGGGACAAGTGGGAGGCCATATGCACAGTGTACAAAGCAGGCACATATGTTTCGATGTCCAGTGGCGGTGCCAGGGACCTCAAATCTCACCAGGACACCGAAAAACATTAAAAAACTTTGCCAGGTGAGAGTAGCTCAATGTCGACGACGAGGCCCCACCCCCAACCCCACGTACGGTGTCCTGGTTTTGACAAAAGGAAATATGGTCACCCTACACAAACATCTCTCTTTCTAAACACAGAAATGTCCTCCGCTGCTGAACTCATTTGATTTGTGTACTTTTTAACATTGTTCACTGTCTCATCTTTAAATATTTATTCAGTTTTAATGCAAATCTGCACAAACCTCATAGAGAGAAAACTGGACAGCAAGTAGTGACGCCAACAGTGACGTTACCAGGCGCTATTGTGCACAGAGCCTATTTCTCTTGACTTTCTTTCTAAAATCTTGCTCCTTTCTTATAATATTTCAGATGAACAGCAAAACTCTCTCTTGATACAACTAGTCCATGTCAATAAGCTCCAGTATCGATTAGCAAATGATTTTTCACTAGTCAAACTGCATTCATTTTTGCCTTTAGAGAAGACAAAGATATTCTCGAGAGCATTTCGAGACAGGAAATGCCGAGCCTCTTTCTTATTAGTACTTTGACGTGCCAATGACAACCCCTTTGCCATGGGTTGTATTGTTAGTGATAGAACTTTTCTTTCTCAGTGTTAAAATCTGCCCTCTTTGAGTGATAAATTTCAGACATAACATATTAAGAGTTGAAAGGTCACTGATTGTATTCCCAGCGGTGTAAGGCAGATGTGAGTTTTCCAGCTGTTCTGACAGATGGCACAGGGCGGACGCTGGGGTAAATGTGGAGATTGTATGTGTTATTGCATGTAGTAGTACACAATAATTCAGTTAAATGTCCTTTATTACACAAAATTGACTCTTGTGAGCTTTAGGCCGTGTTATAATGTTGTTACCTCCTCAAAAACAAACCTGGAGTTGTGTTTTGTTTTTGTTTTTTTCATTCACACATCTTTGAATAATCCTGCTTTATTAGTCTGTCAACATCTCCAAAGCTCAAAATTCTCTGTCCCACCTGGTCGTTTTCAAAGTAATAACTATCCTTTTACCTTTATTTCAGTAGAGATGAGCAGTTCTAGGAATTTAATTATTCAAATAATTCTATGGTGGGACAGAGTTTTTTGAGTCTGAGAGAAGAACTCAGCCTAAATATGCAGGGTTTGTGTGTTAAACATGCGCGAATGAAACAAAACACAACTCCGAGTATGTTTGTGATGAGGAAATAGTATAACATAGATTAGAAAATAGCCTAATATGGGCCCTTTAATTAATCTTATATTGTGTTTTTTTTATTTTATTCATACAACTACTAACCTCCCATCTACACTAGAGATAATGAGTTCCTTTCTCAGAGCACCGCATTAGAAAAAGCGATAAAAGCTTTGTACCTTTTGCCATATGCTAAGTGCAACTCTCCAGTTCTTCACATACTGGATATCAATAGCCATTTCAATTTTGTCCTCTCCACTTAAAGCCATATTGTGGAACATTTCAGGTTATGTGCCTTTACTTTACAAGAGAAACCAAAGCAGCAATACCAAACTCGGTCCAGAGCTGCACTTTTTATCTAAATCGGATAGACACAAACATGTATTTTCATAAATAAGTTACGAGTCAGAAATGTAGAGAGGCTCACAGGAAGGACCCTTGTTTTTCAAGATATTTTTTAGCATTAAAAATATATGTATAGGAGAAATGTCCTGATCCAGTTTTTTTGGGCTTCAAATCAGATTTTAAAATATTTGCTATTCCTTACTAGCCTGATTCATCAGCCGGTTTCACTTCGTGGAAACCGTCTGACCTCGCAGCATTAAGATTTGTACGGTAGATGGGTACTTTTTAAATTATTTTATAACTAGTCGCTTATTTATTATTTAACCAGTCGCTGCTATTTGGTCATGGCGTATGTAATGTGCCAAATCCCGTAGGAAGAAGGGCAATAATGTCTTGATCCTTGATAAAATTCACCAAACATTCTCTAAATCTTCGATCTCGGGAATCATTGCCAACACAGAATGTACGGCTTTGTCTACATCCATCTAGACCACTTTGTTTACTGTTGTGCTGTACCACAAAAAGGGACCCAGACCCTTAAGCTGACATCATTGGTGAGCGGTCTACAACCTCCGGGGTTCTTGCAAACCGTCTCGTGTATTCTGATTCCTGACCTAGTCACTTGAGAGAAATGAAATTGAGCGGAGGCACTAGGTGGCACCAGCTTGGGTAATTCTCTACACACCAATCTGATCCAATGTCATCATGGTAACAATGTTCTCATTTTTTATGATTTTATTGACATAATGTAGGCTGTGGCTCTATAAAAAAAAAAAAAAGTATTGCATGATGATTTAGCTCCAGTTAAATAAAATGACTAACAGATAAAAAAAAAAGGCCTATACTTAAAAATAGCCTTATCATGTAATCTCATAATATTCTAAAATTAATATGTCTTAACAGCTGACATCTGCCTGCAAACTTTATCTGCGGATCTTTTCACCAAATCAGATCCAAGCTGATACGGCAGCCAATACTGACACCAGTACTGAATCAGGACATCCCTAATGAACAGTAGAAAAAGTTTTCACAGGTAGTTTTTATGTTTAATTACATACATAAATAAAATAAATGTATTTCTTTTTGTCTATTTATTGGGGCAAATGTTCCACAGTAGGGCTTTAAATAATACATACTAGAGCGTTTTAATTGAACCTAAAAGCCATCAGACTCTTGAAGCCTGATGTTTTAGTTGTCAAAGCAGCGGACCATAAAAAAGAGTAGAGACACATAGAGAAGACAACGGCTATGGGTGGAGGTAGGATGGAGAGTATAATGTCATGAGAGGACATGGGGCAGCTCCTGGAACACAAGTAAGTCAACTTTACCCGCCACCGCCGCTGTAGGAGGTCCGAGAACGGAGGGATGGAGGAGGAGAGGTGAGAAACAGAGAAACCGAGGGGAGGAAGACACACGGACAAAAGAGAGAAAGATAGAGGGAGAGAGAGAGAGAGAGGGGAGGAACAGAGATGGAGGAGAGGAAGAGGTATCGAGGGAAGACATTCATATGAGACACACAGAACAAAAATCCTGCTTTTGAGGAGACGACTAAACCGTATAGGGCTGAACAATCGAGTGCATTTAAAAGTCAGTAATTGAAGGAGGTCTAATCATTTTCATATACTGATGAAAGAAAGCATGTACCGTATTTTTTGGACTATAAGCTGCACTTTTTTCATGGTTTGAGTGGTCCTGTGACTTATACTCTGGTGCGACTTATATATTAAAAATTTCACACTGACAGCCGACAGAGGGCGCTCTAGGCTCGTGTGTCAGTATCTGCTGCTCTTATTACTCCTGTACCACTGTCACTTCGCCCTGCGCATGTCTCCTGCAGAAAGAGTCGTTGTCCTGCTGCAAGTAGTGAAATATGCAGCTGAAAACGGTAATCGAGCAGCAGAAAGAAAGTTTGGAGTGAGTGAGAAACTTAAGGGACTGGTGGAAAGCGAGGATGGAGAACACAGCTTTACGTTAACCGGGAGGATGCACCATGCAACTTTCCTGGAAGTCACTGGATGGATCGACAAAGCCTTGGACTTCAGTGACACCGAAACCATCCTGTCGGGATTCAGAAAGGCCGGAATAATTCTAACTAGAACTGATGCTGAGTCTGATGACACCTACACAGAAGAGGAAGTGGTGCTCCATTTGTGACACCGAGGATGAAGAATTCAATGGATTTAGAAGAGTTTGGTAAACTTGTTCTGTTCTGTTGTTTATGTTATAATTATCTGAAGAACTGTTCATATGTGACGTTAACAGCCTGTTGTTCTCTGTTCTATTGTTTTTACTATAATTTACCTTTTAAGATGAAATGCTGGTTCCTGGACTCTGATTTTATAAAATAATTTTCCCCCAAAGAGTGCGACTATGTGTTTTTTTCTTCTTCTTTACTCATTTTTTGGCTGGTGCGACTTATACTCTGGAGCGACTTATAGTCCGAAAAATACGGTACATAATGTATAATTTATACTGAGGAAGAAAAATACATTATAAAAAACATCCAACTTTTTTTTCCCCACAACAATTTTTTTCTCTTTTTTATTTCCCAACATTTTTTCCCTTCCAATTTAAAATGTATGAATTTATGTATTTATTTATTTATAATAATAATCATATTGCAGCCTTAATTCAATATCCAATCTTACCCTGCTTAGACCTGCCAACCATTCCTCTCTTATATTTTCACATTTCCTGCACAATTGTTCAGCCTTATGGTACACAAATTGAACTTCAATAAAGAAAAAACAAAACAAAAACACAAAACTAATATAAAAATTCCTACATAATCCTTCTTTCCCCAGTGAGAGCGAGGGCGGGGGCAGTCTCACACCGGCCGCCCTAACAGCAGACTAATTGGGTTAAAGGGCCGATAACCATCTCCAATAGGACTGAGCCGGAGAGCGGGCCTGTTCTGGAGGGCTGCTTCATCCGAGCCAATCGAATTAAGTCATTTATCTGCGAGTGTTTGAGCATCTTCTGACCGCTTTGTGTCACTTTATTTGTGTCTCTGTTGTTTTCATTTGCGAGGAAAAAAACTGATAAATAATACAGTGGCTTCCATTCACACGGGCAACCTTGACGAGTGCTAAAGACAGTAGTTTTGTTGTTTAAAAATGTGGATCTTTTACAATTCAATAAACAAAAACAAAAGTAAACCATAAAACCATAACCATTCATTGTTATGAGTGAAATTGTAAAATAAATGCTGTAATCATTTTGAATTTTTTGTGGGTACATTATATTTTTTGTTTTATTTTACTAAACGTTATCAGAAATTCAAATAATTTCCAATTTTCATCATCATTTCATCAAATTTCATTCTAAAAATCACCTCTGAATGATGTTCCACAGTAAAATTTGTTATTATTTTCACTTGAATTATTTTTAAAAGGGTCAAAAAGTTGGTAACATTATAGACCCAAGGCTGCCAGTGTTAATGGAAGACTATATTTTACTCCTCCTTTAATTGTAGTATTTTTTCCAGTGGTTTTATAGTTTTATATTATTATAGTAAGGTCTTATATAATCACCAACCCATTAAAATAATAATAAAGACTGGGACAAGACAAACAGGAAGCGGCGTCACACACAAAGAGGATGTCGATCAAAATGGGACAAAGTAAACAAACAAATTCAGAAAAATAAAATGAAAACTGCACTTTTGTTGAAATTTTCACAACCTAGAACCATACATATAAAAAAATGTATTATAGCTTAGAAAATAACATTGGAAATTCTCTTTCAGGGTCAAACTTTACCTCTCCGTACCACATAAGTTCACTTTATACTGTTTAACTGATAAACGTGTGGAAACTGTAAACAAAAAATAGCCATATATGGGCTTCTTCAAGATAGTCCAGTGTAAACTTTTGTTGTTAATATTTCATTTCCTTCTACTTATGGATGCCCCCTTTGCCCATATATGGACACCAGGAAACCCTTGCCTTTATACATGCTTTTCAATAGTGGCAATTGACCCGTTAATTCAGAATACAGTTGATTTACTTTTTTTTCTGGGTTACTATGCATACTAAATATACTTAAGACAATATAAGCCATGCATAGACTTATAACTTATAGTTCTACCAGCATTTAAAGCAGTCCTTCTCAAATACTGGGTGCGTGTGACCTCGGGGAACATGCTTTTTTTGCCGTACTAGAAAAAAGTGTAATTGCACATCCACTACACTAGTTGGCAGTGACGCTCTCATTGTCAGAGTGTGCACAGGGAGTATTAGCGCTATAGTGTCGGGTTTTTTGCACCGAGATATGAAGTGCAGAGAACAAATTGTATGTAAAGCGTACATGTGTGTAGCGTTCAGCTTCACTGTGGAAAATGAGGAAAGACCGCCGTCTTTACTGTGTCTAAAAATGTTGGCAGCGACAGCAGGAAGCCAAATAAATTACCGCATCGCTTAAAGAGATTACACCCCAGTCACCAGAGGTTAAACCAAGTCTTTGTTTTGCAAGTCTCAAGTAAGTCCAAGCCAAGTCCCAATTCAAATATAGGCAAGTCCAAGTCGAGTTTCGAGTCACTGGCCAGTAAGTCCAAGTCAAGTCCAAGTTGTCTGCTTTAAACCAAAGTACCAAATATAGCTTAGATTTTTGCAATTTATGTGACTTTTAAGATAAACGGTACTTAAAAAATCTTAGTATATTTATATTTGAGTATTTATAGAGTAAATAAGAGTTGTAGAAATTATTTACAGGTTTCACAGGTCTCAAGTCCAAGTCAAGTCCAAAGTCATTGACCTTCAAGTCTCAAGACTTAGTCCATTTTATCAAGTCAAGTCTCAAGTCCTAAAAATAGTGACTCAAGTCTGACTCAAGTCCAAGTCACAACCTGCAAGTCCCCACCTCTGCCAATCATGCGTTTCTTGAGTTTTTTCAGCATAAACGTGCCGAATATTGTCAACAATCATCCCGCTTTGTGAATGCTGCTTCGGTAAACCAGCGAGCTCGGTTAGCGTCATATAAGGCGGCGTAACAAATAGCAGAGGAGCTGATACTGCCGAACTACAACACGGACATCACCGTTAAAGACAAGGACGCAGGTGAGCACAGCGCAGAATACGGACGGACACATGCTGCGTCTGTCCCCAGAGTCGCTTTGGAGACGCGACTAAAACGTTTGCTCTCGTATGTAGGCGACTGAAGGCGATGGTGCGATTTGTCCACGTTTGGTAGTGGTTCTGTGGAATGGGAGCGCGAAATGTTTTCTTCTTCTTAGGAAATTGTTGAGAAGCACTGATTTAAAGCAACTACTCCACCTCCTCCTCCTCCTTATCCAGCTAAGAGCCATGCAGATGAAGTAAGACAGTACCTGCTTTGCCTGGGTCACTGGTGAGAACTCTAGAACACCTTGGGCACTAAAGGGTTACAGGTGCAAAGAGTGGTCCCCACCTCTCACAGGGCGGGCGGGCAGGGGGAGGGGGGAGCAGGGGCTGTGCTAGGGGGGTCGGCCTGGAGGTATCAGGGGAGATGCTGGGGCAAGAATGAGAGTGGGAGAATCTATGTGTCTATCCTGTCTTATTTACGCTAGATAACTGATCAAATGCAGGTGGATTTTAAGTTTGTAGTAGTTTTATCTTTTTCATTCAGTTCTTAATACCTGGTTTTAAGATAGTTCCCTAAATGAAGATACACTTTCTGCTAAAAAATATCCTCCACTGACATAGAACAATATAAAACATAAAAAAAGAAAACTAATTCTAGAAAAGCTAGGTAATTGAACTAAAATCTAATACTGATTTTTACAGAAAATATCAGAAAAACTAGGCAACTTAAGCTATACAAACTTGCTGAAATTAAAGAAAGAGAAAAAATAAATCAAGTGTATTTAAAAATTCAAACTATTACTAATATTTGCAACTTCTCTGTCCGGATAAGTTATGTGATAATGGAAGAAGAAAGGTACACAACAAAAATGAAACACAAAAAGTATAGTTAAATAACGAAACGGGTGGGGGAAAAAAAAAAAAACTACAAACATGGCGTCCGTAGAAGACGTATCATGGAGGAGAACAGAAGACTGACAGGACAGGACAGGTGAGGACAGGTGGAGACAGGTGAGGAGAGGTAGCGGGGAGACTTACGTGAAGGCGAAGGCCACCAGAGCACCACTAACCACTATAAAGTCAAGGATGTTCCAAAGGTCCCGGAAATATGAGCCCGGGTGCATGACCAGGCCCAAGTCCACCATCTGAGGAGAAACAAGTAAACATGCACAAAATACAGAGTCAAGGCAATTTTTTCAAGGACTCCAGGACCATAGTTACTTTCCCAGCGTCTTACCTTGGTCAGCATTTCAAAAGTGAAAACCACTGTAAAGGCGTAGTCAAAATAGCGAAGCACCTGCACACAGAAACAGTAGCTTATGTAATCAAAATCCTCAGTATATGGAATAACTGTATTTTGTTATAAATGTGGCGGTCTCACATTGTTGCGTGGAGAATCGGGCCACACCGGGTCCTCTGCGGCCAGGGCGATGCTGCTCATGGCGATCACCAGCAGAATACACATCTCAAAGTAGCGAAGAGTACAGATGTAGTGACACGCCCGTCGGAAACTACACAAACAACAGAGGAACATGAAATAATCAGCAACACAAGGCCTACAGAGGACTTATTACTCATCATCTGAATACAAAATATTAGGAGAGTAACAGTACATGTATTCGAGCTAAACTGTTTTGGTGTGGGACATTCAGTTCAATGACAATGAGCAGCTGTGTGTGTGTTTACATTCTGCCACTACATTTGCCGCTACACAGAAGGCTCGGCTCTTTAATACAAGGGAACTCGTCCATGATTTGGGAGTCAGTGTTTTCTGCAGTGCTTTATAGTTAGGGTAGCCACCTTGACAATAATTGCCCCCCTGCCTTGAGTATTTCCCTCTCAACCACGTGAATTGTCTCGTCATGGGCCTCACTTTCGCCTTTTTGTCGGCACGGCCCTCGCAGATCTGCACTTACTACAGACAATGTGGACAAGTTGTTTTTTCTGGCGAAAAATATGAAGTTTGAGTAAAACTCCAGACACTTCCTCCAGCTCCTCCAGGGGGACCCAGAGGCGTTCCGAGGCCAGCCCAGAGACGTAGTCCCTCCAGCATGTCCTGGGTCTTCCCCCGGCCCCGGATAAATGGAAGAAAATGGATGGTTTAGATTAGGTTTGGACTGGTTCTGACAAGTCAAGAGGTTCGTACTAATTCTGATTGGTCCAGAGTTGTGCAGACCTTGTTTGGACAGGTCTAGACTTGTTTTTTTTTTACTGGTCCAGTCTAGATGATGGGGATTTGACTATTCAACAATGTGACCAGTTCATACTTCAGTACCAGGTTTAGTTTGTAAGTAGTCACAAAAATCACACTCATACTTTGAGAACGTAAAATGTCTACACTCCACTGGAAAAAGAAAAGGTGGGAGAAAAAGAACATAGTACAACATGACATTTACAAGGCATACATGATTGCTGACTGATAAAAATATTTCTGTCCTGTTTTAGATAAGTGAAAAGTAAAAAATAAAAGTTCAAAGGCAGGATATACAATCAAAGTCACATATAAACTGTGTGTCTTACGGGTTGGTGGTGGTCAGGATGAACATGGAGGTGAAAGGCACCATGGGTCTGGGTCCTCCTTCTCCTCCTCCGTCGTCGTCATCATCGTCGTCCTTTTTGGCCGGCAGAGGCTCCGTGTTGGCATTTTTATTGACTGAAAAATAAATATTGTTCATTAGATATACTATATATAATATAGCGTAATAAGAGTAATTTGGGCCCTTTAAATAAATGTTCTGCACTCTCAAAAACACTCTAAAAAAATCTAGTTTGACAGAAATACCTACAAGACTAGATACTGCGACTATTAACTAAACGCATGCTTTTCTTTAACACTAACTTTTATTTTGATACAATTATAAATGTAAAATTTTGTGCCTTCTTTATCATTATTATTAGTTTGCACAACCATAAATGAAAAAAAAAAATCCTTACTTTCTCCATTCTCATTTTGCTTATTTTGATACAATCATAAACGATAAACTCCTGTGCTTTCTTTATAAATGTTTAATTTTTTGATCTGTGAAGGGAGCAGGGTTTATAAGATTTATCTTCTTCTTGACTCTTTAGTTCTTGCAGCAAAAACAAGGCAAATAATCATAGAAATGTAAGTATTTATGTTAAATTTCAGATTTGTTGTTGTTGTTCTTCTTCTCGTAAAGCTGATGCTAACATAATAATAGCTTGAGCAATAAATAAATTAATAAATAAATTTTCATTAATAATAGTTTGTATGATCATAATACAGTACAATACAAAAATAAATAAAGAAATTATATTTAGTATGCATAGTAAGTAATTTATTTTGCTATATGTAAATATTTGAATACTTGCATACTTGTTTAGTTATCCAAACAACCACATTATTTTTGAATTTTTGAAACTATGTAATGAACAGGAGTTGGTTAATATAAGTTTTTTCTTCTTCCCATTCCTTTTTGAGAATTATGTATGATTATTGTTTCTCTCTTGGCACAAACTCAACTTTACCTTGAAGTATGGCATTCTTGGATGGGAAAATGGGCATGTCTATGGCGGTGTAGTCCGGGTGGTAGAGCCTGAGGATGCTGTTGGCGCGGTGATGCCCGATGTTGCCGTAGCTGTCGATGGCCACCAGGCTGCCCCGGGTCCCGCTGCTGGTGAGGTGCAGGGCGGAGCCGTAGCTGGGGGCCCTCTCCAGGTTGGCGACCAGGTTGGCGTGGGGGTCGCTGGGGGGGCTGGAGCCGGAGATGAGCTTGGTGTTCATGAGGTTGTCCAGGTCCTCGCTGTAGGTGCTGTCCTGCCTGGAGATCTTCTGGATGGGGCGCGTGGTGGAGAGGTTCGGGAGGCTGCAGTCCCTGGGGAGAAGAACGGTGAAATGAAGTTAGAAGATGCAAGTGGAGGTAGATTTTAAAACGTAAGGTGCATTATGTAACTTTTCTGTTAGAGGGCCTGCCAACTACCATAGTTTTAGGACTTTAAGGTGCACTGGATTATAAGGCGCATTAAGTGAAACAAACGGACGACACTTGAGACTGATCCCTTAGCCCAGGCGTCCACGATCCATTGGCAGATCATGGCGTAACTTGCCCGACGTTGCCTCCCTGTCTTGGTGAATGTGTATTATGAATGTGAATGCAGGTGGATCATTTAAGTTTGTTTTTTTTATTTCCTACGAGGACGACTCAAATATACAATGAGTAATAATGTGTTTAATGCAGCTTTGCGTACATTTGTTTACGTTTTAAAGAAATGAAACTTAAAAAAACACATGACTAATTTGCATAAACTATAAGCTCTGAAAAAAACTGCTCACTTTTTTGAGATTTTTGAGCGCCGTGTACTACATAAAATCAGTTTGAGGTCAGTAAGCACAACCTGGTGAGTGTTCTGTTGGGGGATCCATCACCTGCATGTCTACATGGAGATGTTTTGCTTTCACTGGAATGTTCCATAGTATGGCATTATGTCACACATCTAATGCTTGATTCCAGATCACATTGCATGGATTTGTCAGGCAGGAAAATGTACATTAATGCTTTGTTATGTCATTGTTTCCCTCAGGTGGGTTGCAAGAGAGTTTTTTTTGAGTCGCCTTGTCACAATCTACATGTAGGTCTGCAATATACAGTTCTGACACATGAGAGATCACACTCTGCAAAGATGCTATGACCTTAATGTCATTCTGGATAAGCATTTTGTCAGAATATCCTTGTCCTCAGTAGGGGCAATATTTTTATGCTTATTCCTTTCACTACTACATATACAGTATGTGTGAATTGGGATTTTCTGCGCTGACAAAAATTAAGACAAAGCACAGAAACAGACTGAATGCTGCGCCTGATTTGCTGTTGCGCTCTTCTCCTGCACCCAGACTGTAACACGCTACAAAAACACAGACAGGCCCACCTATCTCATCAGAAATGTTTACATGTTTTGCATAATTTCTAATCTTTTTGTGATTATTTTATTGACTATTTTGTTCCAATATTGTTGGTTCAATTGAATGTTGAAAAGAAAAAGAAATGGGCTACATTTAATGTCCAAATAGGCGACTTATGGATCCTTTTATTGATGCTTCATTGAAAACTTGAGTAATACTAATTGTTTATTTTATTTTGTGATTTACGATTAATGTCTATTGACTTAGGTTGCGAAGGTTTGTGACTTTTAAAATATCCTAACTTATCTCTATGGAGACAAGGACTTGATGCCAGCAGACCATGTTACAGGTCAGATCTGTGGAGAGGCGAGCCCATTCATAGTAAGAATGTATGTGTTTCAAGATATTTTGGTGCAATAAAAACAGTTGTTACAGAGTGAATGCCAAACCGAACCTAGCAGCGCTACAAAATGCACCCTTCCAATTTTTCTTTCCTCCTGGTTACAAATTTCAAATATGATCATCCCATGTCAGCGGCAATTACACTCATCGCCTGCAGGGTCCTATTTGAATTCCTGAATTGCTTGAAATTCTCTCAGTCAGTCTTCTAGATTTGAGCTGAATATGCTGGTGATTAGACAGCGCAGCAATCCTCCATTTTAAATACAGTTTGAGTGATAGCTGGAGTCCTTGCATAAACAGATTTTCAAAACTGTACATGAAAAAACATTGCCTGTCCTTGCACAAAACTGAACAGCTGAATGGACATACTTCCTCCTGTGTTGGCACATCCTCTTGCCCTCTCCGTCCTGGTTGCCGTGGCGACTCCTGCGTGGCTTCCTCTCTCCTTCCTCCTGCTCTCCCTCTCCGTTCCCTCCTTCCACTCTCCTCCGGTGTCTCCCAGATTTACCGGCGCCGCCATTGCCGTTACCGTCCTCGTCTTCGGTGCTCTTACGATGGGACCTGGGCCAGTAGTGGATTTGAAAAGAAAATTCTTAGTTTTTATTTGGACTGAAAAGCGATTCAGTTTTAGTAATCTAGTAATTCCTTTTAGTTTCAATAAACATAATAAAAAAATAATGTAATTTCTAATGGTCAGTGATGAACTTGTGTCTTTTTAATGGAGTGATTTACAGCCAATCCTCTGCCAGTAAAAGTAGTTTAGATCAGATATGTCAAACTCAGGCCTGAGATCATATCAAATATGTATTAGAGCTGCCCGCCGGATACAGATAGGCTATAGAGACATTATTTATTTAAAATTGTGTTATTATTTTATATTATGCTTGTTCTGGATTCAATGTTTAAGCAAAACTATTATTAAACATTTATTTTAATAAGAAAAGGTTTAACATTGCGTATCTTGAAAGAAGAGAAAACTATTAAAAACTAAACTAAAAAATATTTAGTTTGGCCCACAACTTAGTCCCAGTTTTTAATTTTGGCCCTCTGTGAATTTGAGTTTGACACCCCTGGATTGATCAAAAATGTTTTTAATAAGACAAAATAAAGGCAAATAGAAAAATATGCATTTCTTTTTTTGGTCATATCACCCAGCCCTATGTGTAGTTTTACATGAAATCGAATTCTTGTATCCTATTGTCACAATATTCACATAATTTTATTTACTTACCACTTATTGATTATTTTGACAGCGTATATATAGATTTTGATACCTTTTATTCTACTGCAGTTCCTGTTCTGTTCTGTGTGGTAAAATTTCCACATTCTAGGACAAAGGTTCTCTTACATTGTGGGGTGGCAAATTGTATAAGATTATATAAGGCAAGCAAAGGATCATGGTCTGTGTAGTTCTGTCCTCTTGCTGCTGGAAACTGCAACTAAACAAAGAACTCTGACATAAGATCTTACAAGTCAGTACATTGTAAGTATATTATTTTTGTGAGATTTTTAAAATTTTTTTTTATCATACTCACAACAACATATCTATTTATCTATCTATCTATTATCTTTTATAAGACTACCAAAAAATACACCAAACTTGCACCCACCTGGACTTCCTGTGCTCGGACTGCCCCCCTCTGCTGCTGCCGCTGCGGGTGTGGTGGTGCCTTCTGGAGGGCCGCTCCTCAGACCCCGGGACCACCGTAGAGTCCAGTCGAGAGTGCGAACCGTGATGGTGGAGATCTGATTTTCGACTGCGCCGGCTCTCTGCAGACTCTCCCCGCTCCAGAGGGGGTCTGGCTGGGTTAGCGCCCCCTCCAACGCCTCCCTCTCCGGGCTGTTCCTGGACCCTCTGGAGCTCGCTGGCGGGGGGAGGCTGGCTGTAGCAGTCGGCGTTGTAAGGGGTGGTTTTGTTGGTGTTGTTGTTGCGGTTTTCCCTCGGGTCCACCACTAGGGGGCGGTCCAGGTGAGTCTTCATGTCCGGGCGCACGTGTTTTGCGAAATTTACCTACGGGAAGTGCAGTGGTATAAATATGAAAAGCAAAAACTGTATACAAATAAGAATAGCTGTTTAGTTACTCTATCATAGTGGTTCCAAATACTGGGTTAAGAGTTTGTGCAGAGAAAAGGGTTATCAGTACTAAAAGGGATACAGGGTAATAAGACTACACAATTCTGAAAAAAAAATAAAAAAGTTCTGTGAAGTTCTGCTTTTGCAACAAATTTTGCATATATCATCACAGAACTGTAAACGTTTTATACATAAAAAGACCCTATTGACGGGGTATTTAGAATTATTGCAAGCTTTATGGAGAGAACATTTAAAATACATATTATGCATTATTTCTTTTGGTATTGGCCTTTAAACACGCTGGAGTACCTTTGCTTTGGCATCTCATGTGTTAGAAATTATGATAATGGCTATGTTTAGCACCACACATTCTTTTCCAGCAGCAGCACTCCCCATTCTGGGATCTAGAGTTGGCACACCTACTGGCAGGAGAGGGAATTACCATAAGAACAAAATAAACTAGGTAATAAGATACATGCCCAGAAATCTTAAGCTGTAATAAATGTGATTTGACAGCAGAAATGCTTAGAGCAAGTCTGGAGATGCTTTATGGACAGAAACAGTACAGGGTTTCATACCTATGATGTGACAATTCTGGGAAAATTCAAACCAAATGTTTTCTGAGACTAAGAGGCAAAGAACCTTGCAAACTAGATTACCGTATTTTTCAGACTATAAAGTGCACCGGATTATAAGATTACAATTTAAGTTTTTTTTTGTTTTTTTTTATTTCCTAAGAGGAGGTGTCAAATATATATTGAGTAATAATGTTTTTAATGCAGCTTTGCACACATTTGTTTACGTTTTACATAAACAAAACTTGCATAAACTATAAGCGCTGAAAAAACAGCTCGGTCCTTGTGAGCTGATCTGTCGGACTAAACGACACAACTCTACAAGGCTCCTGACTACGGTAGCCTTAATGTTCCAACAATCCATCAAGAGGTGCGGCTTCGTAACTTACCAAAGTCGTACTTAAACATTTTGACAGATTTTTAAGCTGCGTGTACCACATAAAATCGGTTCTAGGTCAGTAAGCACATCCAGATTTAATATATAAAATGCACCAGATTATAAAGCGCACTGTTAATTTTTGCGAAAATTACAAAAAATAAGGTACTCAAACCTGTGTAAATTTACTCTAGATTTACACTTAAATTTATGAGTTTTTTTTGGTAATGCACTCCTGATGAGAATGGCTCAACTTTATAACTTGCCTGCTCCACTCTCTCACCAGTATTGGAAACCACTATTTTATTCATTCCACATAAACTGAGCCTATGATATTTCAGCATTGCCATATCTTGTGTACACTGGTAGCACAAGCCTAGGGCCGTTGGGTTTGCCTGGTCTTTACATTGTTGTGCTCCTCCCTCCCTGCTCTTGCCTTCCAGCGGTCCTCATGGTCGATCTCGTTGTACAGGGCCTCTCGACTGGACGCCAGAGTCTGCTTCCTCAGCTCCTTGGTGCGCTGCTCCCACACGGACTTACTGCAACCTTTGCCGAGGTGGTTCTTCTGCTGCTCTTTGCTGTAGAGACAGGCGACACGGAAAAACAAAGAATTATTAAGGGTAATGAAAAGGTTTTTATGTGTGAACCTTATTGGAATAATATGTATGCAATTTTTTTGAGATGTCATATTTTGAGTTTGAGTTTTCTATAAAATGTGATCTTCAAAGTGAAAGATAATGTGTGGTGAAATTTATAGATAGTGTTCATCCACAAATCTAAAGGTTGGTGGTTTGATCCTTGAGCAAGACACTTCACTGGCTAGAATGTGAGGCATACTTCCTTGTGTAGTAGAGCGGGGAATGAATGCATAAACTGTTTTGATAGCACTAAAAGCTATTTTTTAAAGCTGGAAACTGCTACTGCAACTATAATTAATTTGTATAATCTTCCAAAATATGATCACAAACGCAGCCTGATTTATATTATCATCATTAAGATTCAAGACACCATTCAAAAGTAGGTTGTGTACTGAATCACATTTTATAAAACATTTATACAGGAAAAACCATGACATCTCCAAAGCATCACATACGTATCCTTACACCTCTATGTGAAGAACAAACAGTGAAAACATAGGTACACAAAACAGCTGGGACACACACGTTGGAGCACACACATTTCCGGCTGTACCTACTCAACCAGGTAATGCTGGTTGGGTACATGGCTCGCCAAAGTTTAACTTGAGCCAAGTTGAGCTTTGGAAAACCATGCAGGATGGTAGAATGGAGAGAAGCCAGAGGCAAATCTATGTTCTAGAGTCATATGCACCGCTCAGGTATAACAGTAGGATCCACTGTGTAAGTTTGCCCCATGTAAACACACACACTAAAATGTTTAAGTGTAATGACTAAATGAAAGTTATGAATGTAACTGTGGTTCTGTGAATCCCGGATGACTTGTTTGAGAAATGACTACTATGTGGCTAAGTGCTAAGTATGGTGTAATAAAACTACTCTATTTTACTTTAATAAATGTAATCAGTATTTATTTTAGATAAAACAAAATATCCTATGTTTTAAAAAGTAAATAGTCCTCAAAATGGTGCCCATAAACTGCCATGTGACTGAATAAACAGCTAAGGTTAAAGGGGCAGTCTGGAATTTTGGGCATAGGACCTTATTTCCTAGTGAGCCAGAGTGTTAGAGACGTGTGGAGACACTTTTTTAAATATCCCATCCAGTCCTTGTATTTGCAGAGGTCGCTGGGGCTAGGCTAGTGCATGTCAATGGCCATAGTTATCCTGTCACTAAAAACAGTCTTACCCACTCCACAAAACACCAAAAGCAAATTTATTATTATGCCAGACTGTCGATGTAAATGTCTGTGTTGATAGAATAATTTTAGAAGTAAAACAAACTTTGCATTTGAAGGATTTATGTCTGAGCAGCAGCAGCGAGTTGTACTTCTGATAGAAAGCCTGGCAGCGGCGGACTGATATATGAGAAAATAGTCCCTGAACATGCGACGATTCATGCGATGCAAGGTTAGTTTTATTTCAAATATTATTCTATCAACACAGACATTGGAGGACTGGAAGGAACATTTAAAAAAGTGTCTCCACACGTCTCCAACACTCTGGCTCACTAGGAAATGAAGTTCTATGTCCAAAATTCCAGACTGTCTCTTTAAGGGCCTGACAAATGATGGATTTTTATGTATCAATCAAGTCTAAGCTTTCCAACCAGGTGTTATGTGTCCAGATGTGTTATGGGTTACATCTGCAAAGTTCTGACCAATACATGAGTCCTACAATATGATACAAGAGATTAATCATGTGCTACAATGAACCTATGTTATTCCTGATTGGTGAAGGCCAAAACTGCAGAGTGAAAACATGGAATAGAATAGAAAAACATAACATAGATGAAGTATTGAAAGTAGATTAAAGCCACACTATGTAACTTTTCTGGTCGCGCACCTGCTTGTGTCCATGGAGATGTTATTGCTTTGCTTGGAATGTTCCACATGGCCTTAAACGTTATTTTTCCTGTATCAAATTTAAGGTGTTTATATTGCTGAAATCATCACCTGCTGCTTGTCACCATGGAACCAAATTACCGTATTTTTTGGACTATAAGGAACACTTAAAATCCTTTAATTTTCTGAAAAACTGACACCTTATGTATTAATTCTGGTTGTTTGTACTGACCTTGAACCGATTTTATGTGGTACACGGCGCTGAAAAATCTGTCAAAGTGTTTCAGTACGACTTTGGTAAACTACAAAGACGCACCGCTTGATGGATTGTTGAAGTATTACGGCTACCCTAGTCAGGAACATCGTGGAGTTAGTCTGACAGAAGCTGACCCATGGATCTATAATAAAAACTTTATTTTATTATTGTTCTATGAGCTGACCGCTTCAGCGCACAAGAAGCAAGCTGTTTTTTTTGTTTGTTTTGTTTTTCAGCGCTTATAGTTTATGGAAATTATCTGAATTTCGATTTTCAAACTTTTTACACATATAAACAACACTGAATTATAAGGCACATTAAACGAAACACAACAGTTCGATGGGTCAGTCAGACTTTGATTGGCGCGTTCATGGTGATTCTCGGCTTTGTTCAGTTGTGGTGTGTAGGGAGGGTGCTGAGTGATGAGTGTGGCTGCGGGTGTTTTTCGCCCCGTGGTCGCTGTCTGCTCCGTGCGTGTTTGCGTTTACTGAAGTTGTGCTGGGACACCTGAGTGGATTCGTGTATAGGGCGCTCTGGTTTGCGGGGCACGCAGTCATTTTTTGATGGGGTTGGAGGCTTAAGAGCGCGCCCTATAGTGCGGAAAATACGGTACTATGAAACATTTCATGCAATACAATAACATCGCCATGGACATACGCAAGTGTCGTACCCCTCACCAGAAAAGTTAAGTATTTTATCATTTTGCGCCCCCTTTCCCCCAATTCAATTCAATCATCTTGTTTGTCTAATCTTTGTACAATCATCAGGTCCACCACGGTAAAAGCAACAGCCATACGGCCAGGTGCAGCAACAGAAAAACAGAGTTTAGTTCAAATAAAAATAAGCCAACACAAATCATAACAAAAGCTAAAGAAAGCCAGGGAAAAGAATACCAAAAGGTCAGAACATATGTACAAGAAAAACGAAAGTGTCTTAACCAGAAGGAAAGTAGGTCAACAAAGGGAGTGAGAAATGAAGAAACAACTGAATAAATACCAGAGGAGAAAGGGGTCTGTGGCGTTGTGACATTCACTGTGTACTTTGTTGCTGAGGAGGGAAACAGCTAGTGAGTGAAGCGCTACAACACACAGGATTGCATTCCAAAAAACTCCAGGCTCCAGGGTCCAGCCCGAGTGGCGAACATGGAAATACTCAAATAGATTGGAATGTAACCCTTGACACAAAAGACATGGCTGAACATCGTACATATTACACTCTGACAAACAAACTAAAAACAAATCCTGTGCAACTAATTTACAGTGATTTTGACGGTTGGCACTTTTCAGACCCCCTTTAAACGTGCGGTACCTGATTTTTACAAACATAAAAACATGAAAAACAGAACTAGTTCACCTTAAGTGGTCTTACTTATTCCTCACTTTCATAAGAACGTCTGTGTGTCTTAATTATTTAGAAGTTTAGAAGTGCATTTCACAACTTTCCAGGCCAGGGTGGACTTTTGCCGTTACACTAATGCTAAGAACAACTAGCATGCTAACAGTGCACCAGCCTTTCTTCCTGGTTTGCAGACAAAAATACAGATGTGTAAACAGCACACAGCAGTCTTATTTTTGACACACCTTTTGCAGTACTGTATTTTTCGGGCTATAAGTTGCACTTTTTTTTCATGGTTTGGGTGCTCCTGTGACTCTGGTGCGACTTATATATTAAAATTTTCACACTGACAGCCGCTAGAGGGCGCTCGAGTCACCGAGTTATGTGTCAGTATCTGCTGCTCCTGTTACTCCTGTATCACTGTCACTTCACTCTACTGTGCATGTCTCCTGCAGAAAGAGCCACTGTTCTATCTGTATCATGTCAGTCCATCACACCATTACTTCTGTATCACTGAAAACTTTAAATTTAAGTGACTTCAGTGACACCGAAACCATCCTGTCGGGATTCAGAAAGGCCGGAATAATTCTAACTGGAACTGATGCTGAGTCTGACGACAGCTACACAGAGGAGGAAGCCGTGCTCTGTTTACCTCCGGAGGTCACGCTCAGAAGTAACACGGAAGATAAAGAATTCAATGGATTTAGTGATTTGGAGTGAGACGGAGAGTTTGGTAAACTTGTTCTGTTGTTTATGCTAGTTCAGTGCGAATTGTATATGTTTTTTCTTTTCTTCTTCATTACGCATTTTTTGGCTGGTGTGACTTTTACTCCGAAGCAACATATAGTCCGAAAAATACATTAATTTGTTTTTAAGATGACCACTTTCTACATTTCATATATACACAGAAAATATCAAATATATGAAACGAGATATATGGAATTATGTAGCAAAGAAAAAGACGTTGAATGACTAAACTAAAGTTTTTTATAGTATTAATTCAAATTCTCAAAGCGGCCACTCTTTGCTTTGTTGACAGCACTGTAAGAACTTGGCCTTAACACAATGAGCTTCCTGCCAAATTCACATCAAATGGTTTTCACTTCACTGCTGCGCCTTGTCAGGGTCAAGAAATAACAAAAGTTCAAACCAGAGTTCAAAGCAAAGCACGGTTATTTTATTAAGTTTTAAGTTTAGTGCCTTCAGTGAGACTCTTCAGTAAAATGTAAATTATCACGGAAATAAAGAACAAGAAGTGTGTCCAAACTTTTGACTGGTAGCGAACTGTACTGGTGCAAAAAAACGAATTTATATTAAATGAAACTGATAAACAGATTTATTTGGAGATATTTTTTCAATATATATGCACATTTTTCCTAGTATATTAGTGAGTGTAATTGTTATTAATAAATAATTAAAACAGATGCATTAAAGGGGATCTGAAAACTCTAAATCTGAATAATAAAAACATTTAAAAATCTGCAACTTAATTAAATGAATCGATGTTTACCCTGACAGCTCCGACACTGAATCACAGATATTAAGACTAAAAATTACACACATATGAATAGAAAATGGCAAATATCATACATGCATTTGCTGAAACAGACACAAATATGATTGCACAGTTGTGAGTGACAATCCAGAAAAGACTCTTGAATAGGACGTATGTGAGAGTTCATTAAACATTTTGGGAAAAATGCTACTCAAAATAAAACTCAAACTAATCATAATGGAAAAGTAATGTCTTAACGGATACAATAAACTAAAAAAGATAAGCAAAAATTGTGAAATGTCTTAAACTTACGCTGCGATGGAGAGATTTGCAGCAGACAGAGGACTGACTTCTGCCACTTCTTTCGCCTTTTGCAGAGCCATTTTCTGAGTGGCTGCCTCTTCCTCCTCCTGCTCATCCTGTACACAAAAACCACAACATCAACAAAAGATTAAAACTACAACAGTAACGTCCAAGATTTTACTATTTCAGAGTTTATAAAGTTAAAACTGCACTATGTAGATTTGAAGATTTGAAGAAATGCTACTTTTTTCCTCTTAAAAAGCCTTGACTTGGGGCTGTATTAGTGTCAAAATTTTTTTTTTAAATTAAGATAAAAAAGTTCTTTTTAACACTTATTTCTTGTTTTCTGCATTGAAATGGAAGTACAAAATCTATGGAAGATAATTTGTTCCATCAGATATTAAATATTAAATACAACTGATCATCTCGCTTTGAATATTTTAACTCTGAAAAAACATGATTTTTCTTCTGAATTTTAGTTGCTGAAATTGTGAGTGTACATTTTCAAAGTGTTTAAAATACAAAAAATAAAAAGAATCACCGTTTAAATATTCAGCACAAATATTTTCAAGCGTCAAATTCAACAGGAACAACAGTAGGAAGGTCTGTCAAATGCTTGGAAATCCATGGCGGTTTTAATGGTCTGGAATGTTTCACAGTTTGATACTGCACCTTTCTATCATCGTGGAAACCAAAACAGACCAAGTTACAGGTCAGATCTAGGGAGAGGAGACCACGCTCACAGTCAGTATGCTTGTTTTTCTCTGTATTTTTGAGCTATGACCCACATGTACTTTAATAAATGTAAGGTAGAGCTGTTTAATGTCATACTGTGGAACATTCCAGGCAGAGCAATGACACCTCCAACCGAAAAGCTACACAAAAATTTTATATTTCTTGCCACAGTCCAGATCAAGTAAGCAAGTAAGTAAGTAAGTAAGTAAGTAGTATGTATATCTAATTACAAAGTGGTTTTATCATCTGCGACCCAGGAAGTAGTTATGAAAATGATGAAATACTCACACTGCCAAGCCTTAAAATTAACTACTAATTAACTGTGTAAATGTAATGAATCTTCAAAAACATGCATATGAAAGGCCCGTCTCTCCACAGAGCTGATCTGTAACTGGGCCTGATAGTGTCACCTACTTGACTAATGCCACACTTTGGACAATTTCACTCGACAAACAGACAGCAGAGCCTTCACCAGAAATCTTTGCAGGTTTAAATGGTGTGTAGAATAGGCAGCAGTTTACCTTTGTCAGCTCCTGTGCGTTGGCCAAGTTGTCCACAGCGATAGCCAAGAATACATTCAGCAGGGTGTCTGAGCGAGCGCATAGGAACAACAAAAGTACACATGGATACAGGAAGGTGCTAAATGTCTAAATAAAGTAGAACAAAGTAATTATTGTGAGTAAAATGTCCTGCAAGTCAGAGTCCACACCCGCCCGTTAACCCGTGATATCCAAGTTAAATCTGCACCCACTCGGACCCGTTAACATTCTACCCGTTACCCGCCCGTACCCGTGATAAATCAGGGTTAGCCCAGTAGTCCAGGACTAAACCAGGACTAAACCAGGACTGAACCTACGACATGTTATTAGCAGATTATAAATATATACACGCTGCACCCGCAGAGACGATCGCCAGGACTACACCAGGACTGGACCAGGACTAAACCAGATCTAAACCAGGACTGAAAGAGGACTTAACCAGGACTGAACCAGGTCTAAACCAGGACTAAACCAGGACTGAACCAGGACTGAACCAGGACTGAACCATGCCTTAACTAGGACTAAGCCAGGTCTAAACCAGGTCTAATTTGAGGTCTAAACCAGGATTTAACCAGATCTAAACCAGGACTTAACAAGGTCTAAACCAAGACTGAACCAGGGCTTAACAATATCTAAACCAGGACTGAACCAGGACTAAACCAGGAACTGAAACAGGACTTAACCAGGACTACACTAGGTATAAACCAGGTTTAAACCAGGTCTAAACCAGGACTTATCCAAGACTAAACCAGAACTGAATCAGGACTGAACCCAGACTAAACCAGGACTAAACCAGGACTAAACCAGATCTAAACCAGGACTGAACCAGGACTGAACCCGGTCTAAACCAGGACTCAACCAGGTCTAAACCAGGACTGAACCAGGACTGAACCCGGGCTAAACCAGGACTCAACCAGGACTCAACCAGGTCTAAACCAGGACTGAACCAGGAGTGCAGCTGCCAAGCCGAACACCTCCACTGATAGTTTTATGTAATAAAAGCACAAAAGTCTCTCTCAGCCCGGTCTGGCATTGTTCTGGGAAAAGACCGGGAAATGGCACTTGTTTCCAGGGCAACGGACGCCCTGGTTGCGCGTCAAGTATTTTTTTCCTCATTTGTCGTTCATTTGATTTGCCTGACCCGCCCGTGTGCAGTCACTACCCGCCCGCACACCCGCCCGTAATCTTCCAGAACATTAAAATCCACCCGTTTCAGCGATTAAGTATTGTTTTCTTTGGTTTAGTTTTTATTCTGAGTAGAAAGGATACAGTTGCCAAAAAGAGTGAGTACGATGAAGAAGACAGAGAAGGCCATGCCCTTGTTGACTCCGCCCTGAGACTGAATGCCGTCGTACATCACGGCGTTCCAGTCCTCACCGGTCAGGATCTATTCACACACACAAAAGTTACATACATTATCTGGGTCAAACGTTTTTACAATTTGAGGGCGTAGAATCAGAATAGAGTAAGAAAGATACAGGTAATTATAGGAAAGGGAATACACTTCGTACACTTTGAATAAACTTTTCTAAAATAATATTGTAGATGGTGGAAAATAATAAAGCAACATTAGTATTTACCCAGTTTTAAATCGCTATAGTTTTTAGTTTTAAACGCTATTATATCACTTTTTAAAGAAATGTTTTAAGACATATTTTCTTTAATTATTTACAAATATTCAGCTCTCACAGAAGAATGTTAAAATGTAAAAATTAGACCAAAAGAGTTAAAATGGTAAATGAGTATCATGAGTTAACCAATGGTCTACGTAAATTACAATAATACTAAAATGTTACTGATACTGTTTTGACTGTCAGTCCGTGTGCTCACCTGGAACACGGTCATTATTGCTGCGGGGAAAGTATCAAAGTTTGTCGGAGGAGTGCCGGTTTCAAAATTAAATCTGCAACGACAGAAGGGAGTTAGAAATCATGACAACAAGGCCTGAAACCATCATTCCTCATTAAGAAGTGTAAAGAAATACGATTCTATACACTGTAATTTTGTTTTTAGTCTAAACAGAGTGAGCACTGACTGTCCTCCGAAGAGCTGCATTCCCAGCAGGGCAAAGACCACGATGAAGAGGAAGAGCAGGAAGAGCAAGCTGATGATGGACTTCATGGAGTTCAGAAGAGACACCACCAGGTTTCTCAGAGACGCCCAGTACCTAAAACACAAGCAGATGTGGAAAACTTGTAGCGCTCTTTTGTTTAATGTGTAAATAATATGTGTTTATAGTTCAGGGTTCCCACTCTATTTCACTGACAAAACTTTTCCGTGACTTTTTCATGTCCTAAAGTGAATTTTCCATAACTTTACCGCACGTGTATGTGTAGAATTGAGCAAACTTTCAGGGCTAAATATGGCGATAAGTTTATTGCCATATTGTAGAACACAGAAAAAAATAAAAATAAAACAGAGACAAGATGGACAATCAGATATGACAAGCCTGATTCCATATCTTTTACCTAGCAACCATAATCTTAAACTTGTCTAAATTGCCCAATAGTTATGATTAGACTAATAAAAATACACAATAACATCTTTATTTTGTTATTTCTATATTTAAACTTTCCAAAAAATGTGTTTCTTGTGTATAAATTGCCCCTACATTTTGGATAGAATTGGTGTTAATGAGGTTTTCTATTTTAGAACTCAGTATTATTTCCTGTATTTATTTATTTATTTTTTATATACAGGCTTTTTCACTGACAAAATTTCAAAACTTTTCCACAAATTTTTTCATGACCTAAAGTGAATTTTCCATGACTTTAAGGCACCCATCATGTGCAGAATTGATCAGATTTTTAGGGCTAAATATGAAATGTTAACCCTTTTCACTCACCTTATGTTTTGGTATTATAGTTTTTTAATATTCAAAATACTGTCAATTATGGGATGTAACAATATCCACATCTCTCGATACGATATTCTCACGATATCCATCTCATGGTACGATATTTAATACAAAATTGTGCGTATGCTACTCTTCTCTCGTCATCCAAAAATCCAAAAAAATTAATTATTATAAAGTGCATCATAAACAATTATTTCAGTGTGTAGATTGGACTGAAACAGAGCAAAGGATCATGGTCTATGTAGTTCTCACTGTTTTTTAGTTGTTGCTGCACCAAAACAATGAATTTAAGCAAAGAGACTTGAGATTCAATATATTGTGACGGCCCACGATTTTATTGTGAGACTTTTGACAAAAGATTTCAAGATATTTCGCTTATTGTTACATCCCTACTGTCAATGCATTTATTGTTTTCTCCTTTAAACAAAAGGTGCATATGTTCGGAAATAATCATAATAGGGTTGTCCCGATCCGATTATGGACTCGATCTGGACTTGGCCTTTTTGTTCCGTTCAAGTATCGGATAAATAATATACGTATATAACACACAGGGCACACAGGACACACAGCACACAATTTTTTATTTTATTTTTTTGTACTGAGGCGCGGGATTTGCACTGGGAAGTCCAGTTAGAGCGACTGTCTTCCCCAACGCCTGCTGTAGGACTACTAGAGGTACACATCTACAGTCTTAAACTCTAGTCTTACTGCAGGTGAATATTGTATTTAACTATATTATACTGTAAGAATGAAAGTTCCTGAGAAGTACTGTCAATCACTTAGACATTATAAGTATCACAGTTATTAACGTGTGCCCCCAGAAGTACACAGAATGACCTTTGAGGATGCACAAAGTGAGTCATAAAAAATAAATGTCATCTCATTTTTATGTGGTAAGATTTTGTATTATTTGGATATCATAGACTGGCTTAAATATAAATAATAAATAAATTATAAATAATATAATATCAAATATACAAACTATAGATTGTGCAGAGCCTAGTCTCAGGGTCTGACCTGATTCTGGTCTGGTTCCTGTTTTGTCCAGTTCACTAAGTTACACATTCCAAGACCAGACTGTGGTAAAAGTCAAGATTTTCAACAATGATGGTGCTTGGTTAGAAAAGTTAATAAAATAAAAATTTTGGACATTTAATTTTTCACACTAAGTTCAGTCCAAATACTACACATTGAAATCAATAGAATCTGATCCCCCCATACATCCTAGATCTTATTCTTTGCTCTTAGTTAATAATGTTTTATAGAAGTATCGGATTGGGACTCGGTATCGGCAGATACTCAAATTTAAATGACTCGGACTCGGGGGCTAAAAAAAACGTGACTGGGACATCCCTAAATCATAATAGTAATAGTTAATGAGAACTTAACAGAACGCTATAGTGGCGTGAAAGAGATATTAAATTTCCATGACTTTTCCAAAACTTTCATTGAATTTACACAATTCCATGACTTTTCCAGGCCCGGAAGATGACATTTTCAATTTCCATAACAGTGGGAACCCTGATATGTGTAAAAAGCTTTCATTATTAGAGGAGGTATACTGTATAATGTGCAAAAGTCAAACTTACTTCGTGACTTTGAAGATCCTCAATAACCTGAGAGCTCGGAGCACACTGATGCCGAAGGACGTGCCCGGCTGGATCATGGACCACAGGACCTCGAAGATACTGCCCGAGATCACCTGAGTGAGGAGGACGAGGGCGAGACTTGTGAGAATTATGAGAAGAATAGTCTGTTCATGGTGTTTAGTTGATTCTCATGATAACTTTGTGATGTTAGGGTGTGGCTGGTGTGGACTCACGATGCAGTCGAAGCAGTTGAATGAGGAGTTGAGGTAGGCCTGCCTCCCCAGACCGTACATCTTTATCATCATCTCAGTCAAGAAGATCCCCAGGAAGATGAATTCAGCATAATCTTAGTGTAGGAACAAACGCAGGGAGAGGTTAGGGACAAGGTACACAAGGTAAAAACAAGCCTAGAAATACACCGTTTTCATGAGATAATGAAAACTGTTACAGGAGACAAAACACCAGTGATTAAATTTGATTTTTATGTGTTACTAAATTCTTTCAAGACCTAACTTTTGGTTGATTTTATTGTAAAACTATTATCAGCTATCCAATGTCATTAATTTGAGCTCTTTAGGATCAAATGTACTGTGGGGAGATAATGTTATTTTGTGAAGAATAAGGAGAAAACAAAATTGAGCACTTCTACCGTGAGACCAAGAATCAATATCGGATTGAAGTTTAAAAAGTGGTATCAAGGACAATTCAAGAAGAAACCCAAACACGTGTAGAACATGCAAACTCCTCTCCCCACCTGGGAATAAAATTTGTAACTTTCTTATTGTGAGGCATTTGTACTTAAATGAACAATATTACTCTATTTTCTGATCTATGTTATAATATTCTTATCACAAACAGACCTGTGTTTTGTTTCATTCACACGTTTAACACACAAACCCTGCATATTTAGGCCAAGTTCTTCTCTCAAATTGAAAAAAACAACAACAAAAAAACTGTTCCACCTTGTTATGTCATGCGGTAATACAGGAAGTGCTCCACTGTGCTTTTAAACTCAATACATTTTCACTAGAATCATTTGGATAATTTCAGCCCTGGAATTGCCAGAAACAGATGGAGGCCCAAAAATGCAGGACTGCAGTTGAAGTTCTTTAATGACAAAAAGTGACAAAAAACAAAAAGACCCAAAAGTCAAAACTAAACTGCCGTAAGACAAGACAAGACACTGACAATGACAATGGACCAATAAAGGGCAGAGGAGAACACAGGATATATATGCACACAAATACAGATGTAACACATTAGGACGGGGCAAACGATCAACAGACAGGAACTCAAATTCAAAACTACAAGCAGACAGGACAAATGTCAAACTAAAACACCAAGGGCACACAAAGCTAAAGGAAAGAACTTCACCAAAATAAGCGCAAAACGACTACAAAACCTGAATCATGACAGCACCACTTAACTAAATGTAAAACTACCACTTCATGACATCCCAAGGTGCAACAGAGCATTTTGAGCTTTGAAGATGTAGAGAGTCTAATAATAAAGGGTTACTCAAACAACTCCTGGTATGTTTTTTGAGAAGAGTTTAAAGCTCACGAGTCAATTTTGTGTAATACAAGCCCTTTAAACTTACCGACCCAGCTCTTTAAAGGTGCATTGTGTAACTTTTCTCGTGGAGGGTCCGTCAAATGCGTTTCTCCGTGGAGAAGTTATTGCTTTGTCTGGAATGTTTCACACTATGGTATTAAAGCTTTCTATTTTAACTGAGACCAAACCAGATCAAATCACAGGCCAGATCTGTGGAGAGGCGACCCCGCTCACAGTCAGAATGCCTGTTTTTCTAGGTATTTGTGAGCTATAAAACCACCTTTAACTGAATAAATGTAAGTAGAGCTGTTTAATGTCAGGCAGAGAAATGACATATCCATAGAAACAAGAAGGTGACAGAATCCTAGGGCTGCGCGATGATAGAAAAAAATCACTATCACGATCATTTTGGTCAATATTGAAATCACGATTATTATTATCAAAAGATTATTTTTTTAGTTACACGATGCATTTATTCAGCATTTCTCTCTAAAAAAACACTTTGTTATTGATAATTTATGTAAAACTTTCAAACTGAAGATAAATATAGGCTACAAATATGTATCTTAAAATTAATTAAATATACTTTGAACATGAAATAAGGCATAGAAAAACAAATGTATCCATTAAATGTATCCAAAATAAACTATATATCCAGCTGTTCTAAAATCTCTATACTTAAAAAATAAATAAAATATACTTATTTATATAAAAAAATATCCTAAAATAAACAGTTTTAAGCTTTCGTTTCAATGAGTTTGGAGATTGTTTGACACACAAATCAAAATCATGATCAAAATTCAATTAAGTCTTGAAGAATCCCCAACCAAAAAGTTACATAATGCACCTTTAAAGGTCACAAGAAACAATTTTGTGTCATATAGGCACTTTAAACTTACATATCAACTCCATAAGCATTCCTAACTCTAATCTATGCTTTCTATTAAACCCTTAAGGAAGCTTTAGTCCCTCTCCCTCCCGTCTCCCACACACTCACAGAGGAAGTCGGACAGAGGCTCTGGCTGGTCGTAGTGCACCACGGCCACACACAGCGTGTTGAGCCCCACCAGGCACAGCACGGTCCAGTAGAAGGCCTGGGTCTTCACCACGCGACGGATCAGGAAACGCAGACGCCTCTCTCGCCTTTTGAAGTTGGAGCCTTCCAGTTTGGAGCTCTTCAGGCTGGCACGGGCGAACGGGGAGCCTGTGAGAGCAAGATGAGCACGATTTGTTATCATTTATGCCATAAAATAATAGCGAGAAGTCTTAAAAGATAATAATGGAAATTTAAAAAGGGAAAAAATATTGAGATTGATTTTATACACCAAAAATGCTGAACTAAATATAAGTAGTTGGCTCTTTATGACACATTAAATACAAGATTTTTACTGTCTTAAAAATGTTTAAGTTTCAGTGGTCAAAAAGTTATTCGTCACTTTCCTAACCCATTCCTCACATCCTAATTATTCACTTCGATGAGTTTATAAGCGCTTTCACATCTGTCAGAGGCCAGAGGGAAGTTTTACTGTCATAGTAATGCTAACAACAACTAGCATTCTAACTGCGCACCAGCCTTATGGAGCCGTATGGATTCATGGACGATAAAAGTGCTTTTATAATTAGAAGCAGATCACACACAAAGGCCTAATTTTTTAACAAATTTGACTTTGTTATATGAATAAAATCGGATACAGCCCATTTAAAGGTGCACTTTGTATGTAAACATTATGTATGTATACGCTGAAATCTTTAATTAGTCACATTTAGAATATTATTTTGTTTTTGACAACTCCCAATACTGGAGTTTTTCAGCTGCTGCCAATAAGATAATGCTTATGGCACCCAGCTCTAATTCAATTTAACCAAGAGTAAAAGATCTGTCATATCGACAATAGCTACGCTGCTAATTTGCGTTTTCAACATCTTTCAATTTATCCAAGCATTTAACTGTAAAGTAAAAGAGGAAGTGGTGCAAAAAATAATTCTTCTATAAAGTTATAAGGTATGACAATGTAAAGAAAACTACAAAGTCAGGATAAAGAAGTTGCGTTGCGTCTTACCAACGTGGTCGCCCTCCCCTTCCTCCGGGTTCAGCAGCTCTGCTTTGCTCTTGTGGTTTTTGGTGGCTCTCCTGCGAGATCCTGAAATAAAAGAAGAGACGTTCAAAATATGAATTCCTTACAACTTACAATCGTCCAGTGCAGCCGTGTTTTTAAAAAAGTTGTCCGGATTTTACCATCGTAATCAGCATCGTTCTCATCATCGGCCAACAGGACCTCCTCTGCAAAACAAGAGAAGTATTACATCAGAACAGAAGTAGAAGGATAGAGTATTACCAAACTATTCAACCCGCCCAGACACAGGGAGAACACACAGGAATCGAACTTGTAACCTTCTAAACACCATATCACCATTTAAAAATTTATGTAAAAACCTATGTAACCTTTTAAAAGTGATATATTTATTAGATTAGCAATTGACTGTATTACTCGGTTACTACAATTAGAATTTTAAAGTGTTAAACGAGTTTCTATGATTAATTTGGAAGAAGCTCCATTATAATATATATATATATATATATATATATATATATATATAAACACATTTTTTACATGTACCGTATTTTTCGAACTATAAGTCACACTTTTTTTCATGGTTTGGGTGTTTCCTGCAACTTATACTCCCGTGCGACTTATATATTTAAATTTTCATACTGACAGCCGCGAGAGGCTCTAGGCTTGTGCGTCAGTATCTAGTACTACTATTACTCCTGTACCACTGTCACTTCACATTCTACTGCGCATGTCTCCTGCAGAAAGAGCCTCTGTCTTGCTGCAAATACTGAAATATTCAGACGAAAAAGGTAATTGAGCAGAGGAAAGAAATTTTGGAGTGAGCGAGAAAATTGTGAGGGAAGGGTGAAAAGCAGGGATAGAGAACACAGCTTCATGGCAACTGGGAGGGTTTCCTGGAAGTCACTGGATGAATTGAGCCTGAAAAAGCCTGAACTTCAATGACAACCAAAACCATACTGTCTGGATTCAGAAAGGCTGGAATAATTCTAACTGGAACTGATGCTGAGTCTGATGACAGGGACGCAGAATAGGAAGCGGTGCTCCGTTTACATCGTGGATCTACGTTTTACCTCTGGAGGTTGCGCAGAAGTGACACCGAGGATGAAGAAGTCAATGAATTTAATGATTTAGAGTGAGATAGTGAATTTGGTAAACTTATGTTCTGTTGTTTATGCTATAATTATCTGAATAAGTGTTAATATGTTACGTTAACATATTAAAACCTATTCAGCCTGTTGTTCTCTGTTCTATTGTTATTACTGTAACTTGCCTTTTAAGATGAAATGTCGGTTCCTGGTCGCTGATTTTATAAAATACATTTCCCCAAAAAGTGCGACTTACTCCGGTGCGACTTATATATTTTTTTTTCTTCTTCATTGCGCATTTTTTGGCTGGTGTGACTTATAGTCTGGAGCGACTTATAGTCCAGAAAATACGGTAATCAGACTTTGTGTATTCGACTGGTTGAAAAATACCTAAATAATCTTGAATATTTAAAATTTGTAATCTCTAATGGTTAATGTAAACTGCTACAGGATGAAATCCAGTGAACTTGGCAGTGAGTGGAAGTTAGCGTCAGCCTTGCAGGGCACACATATGGTGAGTACGTACCAGCTTTACAGATCCACTCCAGGTAACCGTTAAGCTCCCTCTCGATCTGCTGCTGTCTGCGGAGCTTCAAGAACTCACTGCGGTTCTCCACGCGCTCTCGCTCTTTGGCAAACTCCCTGTAAACACAATTACATTTAAAAATATATCTCACTTCCATATTTGAAAATGACACATGGGACTCAGTTCTTGCAAAGGGGGGAAGGGGGTGTATTAGAGAAGCCTGGGGTTTATTCAGTGCAAATTCTCTGTAGATATTATATCTGTCAGGGCTTGAAAATGTCAGGCTGACACAGGTACTTCCATACATGCTTCAGGGGAATGCCCGTGGGTCTCTCCAATATAGAGGAAGGTGTTGGACTTCATGCTGCCTGGTTATCGTGTAACTTAAGTATTCCAGGCTGCGTCTACTGGGAACAAGAATCTTATCTGCACCAACCTGTATTCAGAGTGAGAAGTACTCCACTGGTGGTGGTATGTGCCTGTTTGATTCGAACAATGTGGACAAAACCAAGTACACTGGTCCCTCATTTATCACTGGGGTTACGTTCTAAAAATAACCCACGATAGGTGAAATCCGAGAAGTAGTCAACTTTATATTTTACAATGATTATATCTGTTTTAAGGCTGTAAAACCCCTCACCACACACTTTATACACTTAGGACAGTTACAGCCCTTTTTGCATCCTTCTTAAAACGTATTGCTGCTGTCGTCCTTTTTTTATTTTCCTCCTTCTTTATGTAACGAACTGAAGATTAATTTATTCTGTAATGGAGCCCTACAGCGCAGAGTCCTGCACGGGTCCGAAATTATATCAAACTTTTGCGCTGCATACGCCACGTACTGAACCAAGACTAAACCAGGACTAACCCAGGACTGATTCCAGGACTGAAGAGGAGGACTAAACCAGGAATGAACTAGGACTAAAACAGAACTGAAACAGGACTCAGTGTTGGGATGGGCTCGGAGGTGACCGCAGGAGAAAGGACCGACGGAAAGCTACGCACATCACAGAGGTAAACGTGGCAATTGCCCGATCACGCTTTGCGGACACCCTGCTCGGCGTTCTCTCTCTTAAGTCCAAGATTAGTCCTGGTTTAGACCTGGTTTAGTCCTGACCCACCTGTGTGTAATTACTACCCGCCTGTAATACGCAATACACGTTCATACACTGTTAAAAAAAGCATGCAAAATTTAACTAAAATATACGCAAAACAGCGAGACAGCGAAAGGTAAACCGTGACAATGCGAGGGACGACTGTACGCCAACACTAAAACAGTGGAAGGAGAAAATGTCCAAAAGCTCTACGTGTGAGAGAAGAAGCTGTAGAGGGCTTGTGGTAAAGGTGGGGCTGTGGCTGCACAATGAGACAGCTCTTGTACGTAGTTTAATTTAGTTTAGAATTGTGTAGCATTTGTTTTTGTTTCATATTCGATGTTGTGTTTTTTTCTTATGCTTTTTTGAAACTTAAAATAAAGTAACATTTGTGACAATCATAAAATCATAATACAATTTGACAGTGTGACATCCTTTTACAGACTTCTGAACACTCACCCTGACAAGACACCCAGCACCAGGTTGAGCATGAAGAAGGAGCCGATGATGATGAGGGGGATGAAGTACATCCAGTTCCATGCGCTCCCTGAGGCGTCGTTGCTCTGAGGAGGGAAACACAAAAAACATAGGTTAATGCACATTTCAAGTTATTATTACTTTTTTTTAAATCAAAATTTTCATCTGAATTTCATGGGCATTTGTTTTGTTTTATTGATTTTATTTGTCTATTTGACAGTTTTTTTTTTGGCTATTGTTCTTCGTGGGTTTCTTACGCTCTATTATTTTTTTGAGGGTCTGAACATCGACGGAAAGTCTACAAACTGGTATGGGATCGTCCGGCCTGGCGAAAAATTTGATAAAATGGGCATCGCGACAATGCCCAAAGTGACCCGACTCAACAGCGCCGCCTAGAATTGGACCCCTATGGGAGTGGGGACAAGCAAAGTTTGTCACAGGAAAACGAAATTCGGGACAGTCACAGAGAACAATGAGACAAGCCAAAAGATTAACTGGAGCATGTCTCTGTGACGAACATGAAGTCGGCAAAACTGGATAAAAAATTTGCCGCAGTTTTGAATGCGTGTGTGCAAAAAGATTCAAGTCCCTGGTGTTTGGTCCAAATGAGCTCTGAGTTTTGAGATTTGACATGTCACATCTACAGACATACGTTCACAAAAGTTGTATTTTTTGGGGGGGAAACTCCTTACTCCTTGCTCATTGCATGCCGGCGAAAAACACGTTAATTTCCTGTTTCTTTGGTGACCTCTCACGGCCACAGACATTGGCCTAAAGAGTCAGTTGAGTGAACCGGACCTGAATGTAATGAAATATGAAATCTAATAAAAGTGAACACTAGTGCCCCCTACCATAGACATGAAACGTATTATTAACATTATTTAAATTTGTTTTACTCTGTTTATTTGTATTAAATTGTAGATTGTTTTTATTTTTCTTTGTGCAGCCCCTTGGAAAGAGTCTTTGTTTATAAAATGTGCTCTAGAAATAAAATAGATTGGATTGGATTGTTGAATTTGTCCATAAAATGTCTGCAAATTATTGTTTAAAAGGTCTTATATTACGCAAAATTGAGTCTTGTGAGCTTGAAAATATCGCTTCATGACATCACAAGGTGGAACAGAGCATTGTGAGCTTCAGAGATGTAGACAGAATAATAATAAAGGGTTACTCAAACATGTGAATGAAATAAACGTCATAGCGACCCTTTAAATAATCATAATAAAATCAAATAAATTAAATTAAACTACCATGGTACATTAAAAAAATAAATAAAATCTTCCTAAAACAAAACAAAAAAATATATATAATAATATTCTGTACTCATCCCTACACAAATCATTGCCGCAGTTCCAAATGGTTCACTCTATTGTAATTTATTCACTCTATTCACGCTGTTGTAAGTCCCGGCTTGAAATTACGTTAAAACCCAACGCTGTAATTTGTCAATACGGAAAGCGACGCATTAAGATGGTAGTCATGCAACGGCAACGCTAGCATGAATTAGCCATAAGTAAGTCATCTCAATAAGGAAATGCATAAGTGCGTCTGTATTTTCCTCCTCTTCGCGCAGTAAATAATGTATAACAGCTGCTTAGCCCCACCATCTTGCTCTCCCTTCTCCAAGCACTCGTTGGACTTAAGAGGTTTGCCTGCAAAGATAGAGCAGGTTAATTTTGTATTTCTGGGAAGGATTTAAGGTAAAACGTAGATGTTCATTTAAAAACTACCACTTTGTGACATCGCAAGGTGGAAAAGAGCATTTGAGCTTTAGAGGTGTAGACTGAACCATGTGTGAATGAAACAAAACACGACTCCAGTTATGTTTTTGAGGAAGTAATGACATTTTAACATGACTTAAAGCTCACAAGAGTCAATTTTACGTAATATGGAACCTTAACCTCTTTAAAATAATCACATGGTTATAATGGTTCTTCATGACAAAAATGATTTTTTTATGCAGTACAGATTTTTGTTCAACATTTTTATATCAGTGTCTTCATTTACTCCTGCTCTAATCATACATACCAAATAATATATAATATTCTGCAATTTTAAATTCATTTTTGAAGGCTAGTCTCAAATTATGTGCATGAAATATATTCCAGCTCATTTTAAATTTGTTTGTGTTTGGGTTTTCAGAGGCTGGGGATGTCATAAAATAGTGCCATTGACATTTGTTTATTTTTTAAAGCCTATTTTTAATAAATAATCACACCCATGGTCTTTCATGACAAAAATGTACATCGGAAAAGAATACCATATTCTTTTTATGCAATATGGATTTTTGTTCAACATTTTTATATCAGTGTCTTCATTTACTCCTGCTCTAATCATACATACCAAATAATACATAATATTTTGAAATTTTAACACCTTAAATGCCATTTTTGACAGCTAAAGTCTAAAATTATGTGCATGAAATATCTTCCAACTCATTGTAATTTGTTTGTGATGGGGTTTTCAGAGGCTGGGGATGTCATAAAATAGTGCCATTGACATTTGTTTATTTTTAATAAATAATCACACCCATGGTTCTTCGTGACAAAAATGTACATCGGAAAAGAATACCATATTATTTTTATGCAATATCTTTGTCCAACTTTTTGATATCACTGTCTTAACTTACTATTTTGAAATTTTAAATCATTATCATAATTATTAAACTAATAATAGACTAACTGAAATCCTGATTATGTGAAAAACAATGTACTGTGAAAAAAAAATTTACCTTAAAACCCTGTAATCGATTTTTTCCATGTATTTGAAAGTACAGATATTTTGTAAAAGCAGCTTTTGAGGTCAAAATAAGTCCGCTGTGTACTGTCCGCAACCAATTGTGAAGCTTTTTTTGTCCGAGCATGAGTAGAAGTGTGTGGTTAGCATGCTAGTTGTTGTCATAAACTCATCGTGGTGAGTAATTTAGATGCTCTGAATGCATAAGGTAAGTGAGGAATAACTTTTTAAAAATGAACTAGACCTGTTTTACACTTATTTCAATGCGCACTATGTAACTTTTGTTGGGGGTCTGTCGCCCGCTTGTTTCTATGGATACGTCTTTGCTCTCCCTGGAATGTTCCGCAGTATGACATTATACAGCTCTACCTTACACTTTTTTTAATTACAGATGGTTTTATAGCTCAAAAATACCTAGAAAAACAGGCATTGTGACTATACCTTACATTTATTCATTTACATGCATTTGTTTTGTTTTGTAGATCAAAAGTATAGGCATTCTGACTGTGAGCGGGGTCGCCTCTCCACAGATCTGACCTGTAACTCGGTCCAGTTTGGTCTCCATGAAGATATAAAGGTTTAATGCCATACTGTGAAACATTCCAGACGAAGCAATAATATCTCCATAGAGAAAAGCATTTGACAAACCCTCCACCAAAAATGTTACACAATACATCTTTAAGAAACAGCATATATTTTTATTTTTTACAATTTCTTTGTAATGTTTTGTGATTTATGTTTTAAAGCCATGGAATTTACATGAGTTGTTTTGTTTTGTTGTTTTTTCAGAGGAAAACGTATGCCAAATAGATCAGCACGTGTATTAAAATTTTTCACATTTACACGTTTTTGTGTAAATGTGTTTTCGTTCCAATTCATGTAATCTTGATTAAAATTTGACAAAAGTGTTTTATACCTGTTCCACAATTCATACTTTTCAAGATTTTTTCCAATGTAGGTTACTTGATCTTCTTCATAACCTGATGTGTAACATTCAGTGTGGTTTCTATCCTCTAAAAAGTCAGTCATGCCACACTGAACCCAACGGAGCGCTGCTGACGTTTTTTTTTTTTTTTTTTTTTTTTTTTCCTTTTTTAACATTAAACTTTTATCACACTCTTCCCTGGCAGCTGCAAGAATAACTCGGGCTGAACAGGCTTTTTTAAATATAGAGCAGCTTCAGGGAGGAGGGACAGGGAGGGAGAAAGAGGGAAGAAAGAGGAGAGACGGGCTCAACGGGACTCACTTCAACTGTTAGCATGTTAGCATTTGAAGGATGAGCTTTAACTGTTAGTCTGTTAGCGCTGGGGTGAATAGACACTTCAAGAATTTCGGACTTCCGGTCATTGCGCAATGCATACTGGGAAGGATTCTCCGAAAAAGTGAGCATCAAACCGCCATGTTTGATTTTACAGTGGGATGCGTCTATTGTCAAAGCCGATCTTTTCTAGTCTTTTGAAACATATCGCTTTTGTTTCTGGTTCTGATATTGTCATATTTTAGTTTTGGGATTTGGACTTCGTTCATTGTGTGGTTGTTGGATGTCCTAACAGCGGAAAACGGCTCGAGAAATGTGTTTGCGAACTCCATAGATGCAAAAGGGAAGCAGATGTGTGTGACTGCAAACCTCCGTTCAAACTGTTTCCCTTCCCAACGGAATTGAAAAACAGAGAAAGGCGAAGGTGATGGGCAGCATTGATCCACAGGAAGGATGAAAAAGGAAACCTTTCACTGCCTAAATCACCCCGAGTTTGCAGCCAACATTTGTATTGCGCCATCAAAGCGGGAAACCCCTTTTGTTAAGCAAGAGGTGCAGAAGACAATCAGGCTGAGCTCACACTTTCTTGTTCTTGTGGTTTTACAGCAACATCACGTCTTGGTCTCTTTGCAGTGGAAGGTGTTTCTTGGTGAACAGCTGATGCCTTTTGCTTTGGCGTTGACTTTTTAAATTCGTAACCAAGGTGGAGTGAGGGATCGGGATTTTGCTTCAGTGGCGCTCCACATACAAAATGTTTGCTGCAAACAAACATGGCGGTTTGATGCTCACATTTTCGGAGAATCCTTCCCAGTATGCATTGCGCAGTGACCGGAAGTCTGAGATTCTTGATGTGTGTATGAACTTCTATTGTTAGCATGTTAGCATTTAAAGGGCGAACTTTAATTATTATGCCGCATTCTTTAAGCGAAAACACACCACATCAGCCATTTTGGTAGGCAAAAAGCGTCCGTATCAACAAGTCAACATCAACATCATCAACAGTTATCGGCGACCAACATAGGGTAACCATATTTTCGTTTGTGAAAACCCGGACACCTTACCGGGGTTGGGGGGTGAAGCCTCGACATTGAGCTACTCTCACCTCGCAACCTGTGCACATGGCCTCCCACTTGTCCCGACCAGGCCGGAAAACAGAGAATTTCTTGTTCAAGTCATCATTAAATGGTTGCATGCTGAACAACTGTTTGTGTCTGCTCGCTCCTTCTGAGTGTACAGAAAGCAATGAGAGCCACTTAATTTAACAGCCCCAATAAAAGGTAATGAAAACCCAGACATTTCCATCACTTAAAAAAAAAAAAACCCGGACGCCCAGGACAGGACGCAAAAAGGGACATGTCCAGGGAAAAACGGACGTTTGGTCACCCTAGTACAACATCAACAATCGTCAACAGTTATCGTGAATTTTAACTTTTCAAAGTAACATTTTTGATCCTCAACATTCAGTGACTTAGAGAAGATGATGAAATCATGTCAAAACAATTAAATGCAAAACCTACTTCAAAATAAGACAAGTTATCTCATGACAGACATACGCAACGCAACTGTCAACACAAACGAGCAGCCCCACTGACTTTTTGCCTACCAGTCACTGCGCACGTGCGGGAAAAGCCAGATGTAAACAAGATCATTTTCTTGTATTCTATTGTGCTCAGAACTCGGGGAAAACCGACCTCCACCTCTAGAAAGTGCAATGGAATGGCCAATCAAATCGGAACATGTAATCGTCAAACTGCCATAATTGCGTCGCCAACAGGTAACGTTAGCTAACAGACTGTATTTATTAGCAGGAGCTAGCGATACCTGACGTTAACTACATAAGCTAACCAAATAAACATGAAACTTTGTTGGGCAGCCATATTTTCCCGACTGTTGCAATGGAACGCATTTAAAACGGACAACTTGGATATATCGACTACCGAGATTCAGTAGTATGCAGCATAAATGAGTTCCATCACAACAGTTGGGGAAAATAGGGACGTTCGAGAAAGTTTAATGTAACATTGTTAGCTGTCGGTGACTCAGTTATGGCAGTTTGACTATTACAAATTGTGTCTACTGTTAAATGATGTGAAAGAAAGTCTAAACGTCGCCATAAAGTTTTTAGAAGACACTTTCTGTACACAGCCACAACTTAACGCATCAGAATGACGAAAAGACAATTCTCCCCGTTTACTGTGTGTGCTGATATTTTTGCTGTAACGTACAATAAATCCATCTGACTCGGTCTTTATCCAACTAGCCCGAGTTTGTGTTTCAGAACCCAGATTTGATTGGCCGTTCCATTGCACTTTCTTGATATGGAGGTTGGTTTTCCTCGAGTCTCGAGCACAAGACTTTAATTGTTAGCATTTGAAGGTGAACTTTAATTATTAGCATGTTAGCATTTCAAGGATGAACGTTAATTTCTTGCTGTTTACATGTTAGAAATTGAGTGGATGAACTTCAGTTGTTAACATTAATTTATAGATGTTCGCATGTTAGCACTTGAATGATGATGTTTAATTGTTAGCTGTTAGCGTTTAGGTGGATGAACATCAATTGTTAGCATGTTAGCATTTGAAGGATGAACTTTAATTGTTAGCATTTCATGGATGAAGTTAAACTGCTGGCCTGTAAGCATTTTATGGTTTATAAGGTTTACAGTGTTTGCATTTAAAGCATGAACTAAATTGTTAGCATTTTGAAGGATCAGCTTTATAATTTTTGGTCAAACACGTGACAAAAACGCAAAATGCCACCATATTGGTTAATAGTAATACATTAGATTTATCTAGCTTTTTTTTTTTTTGGACACTCAAAGACGCTTTAGTTTACACTGCATTATTCATTCACTCCAGCATCAGCGGTGGCAAGCTACAACTGTACGGCTGCCAATGTGCCCTTCAGCCAACACTAATCACTCACGTACACACCTAATGTACGGCTAATGTAAACAAATGTAAGGAATCAAACATTCACTTCACAAATGATCAGTATTAAATTAGTAGTGAAGGTACAGTTAGGGTGACCAGAATTTCAAATTAAAAACCTGGGATATCCACGTTTTTTTGGTTGTTGGTAATAATAAAATTGTGAAACGAGTGCGTAATTAAGGAAAATTGTTATGCAGAGACCATTTATGACTAACATGTGAGTCAGTGTAATCACATTTTCTTTGTGTTTTGGTCATTTTTAAGCAGATTTTCTATATTTTACCAAAACAAATTACAATTTATGTCCCTCTTTATTGTTGGCAGGTATAATTGGTCAAAAATAGGCACACATTTCTTGTATAAAACTGGGACAAATCAATGGTTTTGGATAAATCTGCTGTGACAGGGGACACAGGGCTCAAAAGTGGGACTGTCCCGGGTAAATAAGAACGTCTAGTCAACTTAGGTATAGCAGTTTACCGTCACTACTCCTACTAAAAGCAAAAGGACAAGTTTTTAATGGACAAAAGTTTTAGAATGAATATATTTTGCCACTCATGCCGCTTCTTCAGTATAAAGACCTTGTCCTGGTGACAGAATTCAACTTTCTTTTGATATGAACCTTACCTGAACAAATGAAGAATTATTACAAACTACTGCGAAGCTACTAATAATAATACATGACAACTTCTAGCCTCCTACTACCGAAACTACAGCCACTACTCATGAACAGAAGTATTAATAGTAGTTTTGTGCGTACATAGTAGAGCAGGTCGGTCCAGCCCTCCATGGTGATGCACTGGAAGACGGTGAGGATGGCGAACAGGATGTTGTCGAACTGCGTGATGCCGTAGTTTGGTCCCAGCCAGTACTTCCTGCATGTGGTGCCCTCCGGACAGAGGCGCGACGGAGGCTCAGTGCCACACGGGAACTCCTCTCGGATCTCAGCTGGAGACAAGACCAGGAAACTTTTATATTATATACTGTACATGAGAGCAGAAACTAGGATGCATTTATTTTACAATTTCGCTGAATTGTGTTGAGATGATTAGAGTTTGCTATTTATTAAAAGTTTTGTGAAACACTAGCTTTGGTATTCATGATTTTAACCTCAAACTATGTCTATATATGGAAGATAAGTAAAAGTAATATAGTCCTGATTTGTGTAGACAAAAACATAATTATAAAAGCTGTTTAAACAGGCTAAAAACAATACCAGCAAGCTAATAGCAATACAAGTTGTACAGTGATGTGATGTAACCAAAATAAGGTAGTGAAGGTGTATATGTGGACTCTGAAAACATGGAGGAGCAATCCTTAGAGAAGAGGGTACCAACTCATGACATCAGCAGGTGTAGGAGAGTGTTATGAGCTCTGGAGAAGAAGCTGGACTAAGGCTATGTTTATATGATGACGGTCTGAGCAGAAAACGCAAAAGTAGTGTTGCGTCTTCACTTTTTATTCCGTGTTTAGATGAGTGTTTTCAGGAGGAAATCTGCGTGCATACGGTGATGCAGAAGTGTGTGGAATTCGATTGGGTATGCATGCTATACGACATGTTTGTTTCTGTTTACTGTATGTATGTGATATAAACGCGTGTGACCTGAGCAAATCTGACCAGAGTTTTGCGTCTTGGGCAGTGTAGATGGAAACGCTACGGCGGAGCGTGTTCAACTTTTCCACTCTGGACGGTGGTTTCAGATTTTTGCGTTTTTAAGCCCCAAAAATGCTGTCAACATCTAAACGAAAGGCATTTCTGATCAAATATTTAGTTTTTTGTTTGTTTTACCTGCAAGCGTTATCGTGTAAACAGGCTCTAAATATGTAGGATTACTCAAACATACACCTGAAGATGTGTTTTAAAACCTCTTTAGAAAAATATACAACCTTTAAAGGATACATATGAGTTTCATTTAAAGCCACACGACAAAACTTTGTGGAGTTGGCACATCACTTGTATGATTCCACAATTAAAACTATACATTTTCTTGGAGATGGTTTAATGTAGCGGAGGGTCCAGGCTGAACTGACGGTGCATCTGAGTTCCAACAGAGTCCAAAGACAATACTCTTCCTTTAAGTGTCATTATTTTACCTAGGAAATATTTTAAAATTAGGTTACAATGCACCCATTTAAGAATAAGGTTTGTAGACGCATGTTTTATTTTCTTTCTTTCATCTAATCAAATTCTTTGTCTAAAAAGTAATGCGTCGGGGGTTTGTATTTTTCTTTAAGACACAAAATGTTAAATATTAATCTACATATGTGATTTATTACTTAACATCCAAACGAAAGCATAATATGTCTTCTTTAACAAGTCGACATTGCTGTATTCTCCACACACTGGGGAGCCAAGCGTTTCTGTCCGAATGATGAAGAGCTCCACTGTGTAAAATGATGATCTGTTACATGATTTTGCACGTGTGGAGAAAGAGAAAGAGATAGAAAAAGACGCAGAGGGAGGCGTGTGCGTACCTGTTTGATTGTCGAAGCAGGTGGTGTGGAACTTGCCCATGTAGAACTCCAGGCCGATGATGGCGAACATGAGGATGGCGAAGAAGAGCAGGAGGCCGATCTGCAGCAGGGGGATCATGGCCTTCATGATGGATTTGAGCACCACCTGTAAGCCTGCACCACACAACAGATATAGCTCAGTCCATGCAAATCTTTTTATTTTACTTTTTTATTTATTTGTATGTTTTTTTATTCACTTTTAAAATTTTTACAACAAAACACATTTCAAAAACGGCCCTGTACCTGATTTTTCCCACGTATTTAACCAAAATGTGTCTTTCCAGTACAGATATATAGTTCAAGCAGCTCTTGAGGTCAAAATAAGTCCACTTATAAAGCGTTTTGTTGTCCGATAATGAGGAAGTGCACATTGTTAGCATGCTAGTTGTTGTTACAATCATGGCAACACTTATTTCTGTTAAGAAAAAAGAAACAAAAACTCTATAAAATGGATCAAGTGTACAGAAGCCAGGTTAGTAAAAAGATTGTATGATCAAGTGACAACAAAGCTACCTGTTTGTTTGAATAATTAGTTAAAAAAAAAAAAATAGGCTCGCCAAATTCATTTTGACATTGCATTTTCTGCCATTTTTTGTTTCATGTGGATAGGCCCAGTAATTAAAAATATATTGTATAAACCAGCTCTTCACAATCGTCACAACTAAAACTCAAATTTTTACCATAGAATTGTAACCTGCCCACCAGCTCAATATTAGGACTGTCATTAGAACACCATCTGCTGGGGGTGTTCTGAATGTATGTGTATGGCAGAATGTTCAGAAGTTACCATGGTGACCAACACATGAGCAAACACTGCCAAAAAGTTGTAAGTAAAAATACAAGAATGGATGTAAACTGCACATTTTCAGGAGCTCAGTTGGTGGTTCTCAGATTCTCGAATGTGATGATGATTACTGTCAAAAGAAAAGATTTCCCTATTGACCTATTTTCTACTTTTTATTTATCTCTAATATTTGAAAGGTAAATTTAAAAAATGAACTTAATCATTTCTTATATAGATTAGCTTCTAGAACTCACTGTAGAAGAGATAATGTCCCACCCATCTGTATTAATTAGTATCGGCCTGTTGAGACTTTGCAGGTCAAGGTCAGGAGTGAGACCTTGCCTGTTGTGTTCACATGGCGCCCCCTGGAGGCTGCTGTGATGCCCTAGAGTTGTGTTTTGTTTCATTCACTCTGTTCCAAGTTGTGATATCATGTGGTAATACAAGAAGTACAGGAAGTGCTCCAGGAAGTGTTTTTAGACTCCATACACCTTCCCTGGAATCATTTGGATGATTTCAGTCCTGGAATTGCCCATCTCTACTGAACTGAAGGTAAAAGGAGCTGTTAACATGAAAACTACTGCTTCATCACATCACAAGGTACAGAGCGTTTTGAGTGTTGTAGATGTAGACAGACTAATAATGAATTAGAATTGGATTGAAGTGCCTGCTCATATACAAGAGCTTTCAACATTGGCAGCATTTTCTAAAACTTTAAAACAGTGGTTATTCAATGGTCAAATATGTCACCATGTTTAACCAATTTACATTTTCTTTTATTTTGAAAGGTTGTTGGTTTAACTCTTAAACTTTTGACTTTGAACTTCAAATGAACAGTTTGAAACTAATTGTATGTATAGTGAGTGTGCTGGTGTTTTGTGTGATTGTTGCTGTACTTTCCTTTGTCCTGTAGATGATTTTACATCAACCTGCCGAGGGACTGAAGATGGAAATTTGCCACGTTGGCTATAATCTTTACATATTTACATTTTTAATCTTCATTAATATGTACTGTTCCTTTACAAATAAATAAAATAAGAAATAAGAAAAAATAAGAATTGTTACTTAAACATGTGTGAATGAAACAAAACCAGGCAAGTTTTTTGACCAGGTAATAGTCTAATATGGCTTAAATCAGCTCACCTGTTGTGGTTCTTTACGGTCAGATCGTGTTAAATAAAACTCAGATCAAAGTCTAACAAAGCTTCAGACAGAGCGTACCTACAGTTAGCGTCACGCCCCCACATCAGCTGCGACGTTGCGACATGTGTCTTTGTGTTATTATCAGACTGTTACTGAAAAGCTTGAACATAGGTTATTTGCAGATTTCCATGATTGCTGTGATGAGTAAGCCTCTTGAGCTGCTGTAGTGGAGAGCAGCCTATTAATATCACTGCAGTGGTGCTGGAGCGCTCCTGCCACTGTAACCAAGTGTTCACACCAACCTGTTTCTGTGGCTGATTACGCAAACAGTGCTAATAGAAAACGAGCTCGCACAAGTCCTATTTCTGACATGCTTTTGTGTGAAACGCGTTAATTTTGTATCTAATTCATGCGTGGTAAAGTCTAAATATTGCAACTTTTTTTCATAACATTTTATTTTTTGCTATGATTAATTGGGTCACAAGAATCATCATCATCATATTTGGAAATCAAATCTGAATTGGTTAATAAATATGGCACTTTCTGGGCAAATGGACAACGTGAAGTTATATTTTAAAATACTCAGTATTCATTCTGCATCTTGCTCTTTCAATATGGGGCATAGGCCTAATAGCTACACATTTTCTTTCTTTCTTCTTTCTTTCTTTCTACATTAATTCGCTTGGATTGTTGTATGTGGATCTCCAGTTTATTTCTTTTAAAATATTGTCTCAGGCCCCATCCACACTAGTACGTATTTGAGTCGTTTTTGTTGTGGATGCAGTGTTCGTTCACACTAATCCAATGGAAAACGAATCCAGAGACAGACGCCAGCTCCCACGAATTCATCTGAGTACAGATCTGATCCAGCTCTGCGTGGACGCCTGAAAACGCTGATACTCTGATGTAGGAGCTCTAGTTGCAGTCCTTATTGGACCACGTCACTATGACTTGCGCCTTACTGATTGGCTGGGTTCGGTCATGTGATGCTATTGTGGAAAATAAACTATAGACAAACCGTGTTAGAACTACTATGCTCGTCTTAAAATCCAGTGTTACCTTCAGTAACAACTGAACCTCGTCGACTGTTTTCACGCCTGCCATCTTCCTCGGCGCAAAATCAGCTGCTGCAACTTCATACAAGTTATTTTTGTTGTTGTTTTTACTGCCCACGTGACGTCGTGACGTCAACCTAGTCATGTGACTAACGTTTCGGGCAGTTTTGCATTACTGTGTGTATAGGGAAGACTTTGATTGCAGACACAGAAACAACGTGTCTGGACGCAAATACAGTGACAGAAACAGAATTAGTTCATTTTAAACTATTGCAATTGTCCAAAGTTGTCCTTTACTTTATGTTCACAGCTATTTTCTTTTTGAATCTATAAGCATGAGGCCAGAGCAATAATGCTAACAACATTACTTACTGGCTTGTGGAGGGTAAAAACCCTTTATAAAAAGATGCAGACAGCACATACTGGTCTCATCTGGACCCTAAGACCTGCTTTTAGAATATATCTGTATTGGGCGAAGACACATTTTACTTTATTACATGAAAAAAAAAGTGTACTGCCCCATTAGCCTGTACACAACATGTTTACATCTCAAATAAATCCATTGTAATTATGTGTGAAAATTCTGGAATTCTGGAACTTACAATAAAATGTTTACTTACTAGGAATACCAGAGACGAGTTTGAGCGGCCTCAGCACACGCACCGCCCTCAGAGTCCTCAAGTCAAACTCTGAGCCCACTGTCGACAGAATCCTGGGAACAAAATTAAGAAAGTCTTTAAGAATACAGAATAAAGGGTTAATAGCAGAGGAAACTCCATAGATCATGATCCTTTGTTGAATCAAAATGTAATACAGTTTTGAATTTTTACATATTTTCTTATATTGTGACTGACTGAGACTGGGACCAGACCAGGACAGAGACCAGGACCAAACCGGGACCAAACTGGGACCAGACCAGGACTGAGACCAAGACTGAGACAGGGACAGGGACTGACACCAGGACTGAGACCAAGACTGAGACTGGGACCAGACCAAGTCTTAGACCAGTTTAGTCCTGCTTTAAACCTGGTTCAGACCTTGTTCAGTCCTGGTTTAGTTTTGGTTTAGTCCTGGTTTATACCTGCTTTAGACCTGCTTTAGTGCTGTTTTAGTCCTGGTTCAGTCCTGGTTCAGTTCAGCATCGAAGTTTAAGTCATGGAAACAGGAAATCCGTTTTTTCCATTATTCATTTAAACACAAAATCGAAAACTGAAAAAACAGAATCGTTAAGTTTTTTTTTTTTTTTTTCATTTTGGTTTTGGAGACAAATAATGAAGAAAATATATATTTTTTCGTTTACTTAGTTTTGGTTTTAATTTGAAAAACAAATGAACGAATGATACACAGATTTAGTAACACCTGCTGCTGTCACCTACTTGTCCCTGTGGAGATAGATTAATGTAATGCCAAACTATGGAACATTCTACCCATAACAAGCATCTCCATGGATACAAGGATGTGGCGGACACTCTATCAAAAAAAAAAAAAAAAAAACAAACAAACAAAAAAAAAAACCTAAAGCTTCTTTCCATTTTGACCTGCTGCTGTCACCTGCTTGGAGATAGTTGAGTGTAATGCCAAACTATGGAACATTCTAGCCAAAGCAAGAACGTCTCCATGGATACAAGGATGTGGTGGATCCTCGATGAAAAAAGTTACCTAGAGCTTCTTTCCGTTTTGATGTAATTTCACAGGTAAGGAAAAAAAATCCATGGAGAAAATTCATTAACATCTGCTGCTGTCACCTGCTTGGTGATAGAGAAGTATAATGCCAAACTATGGAACATTCTAGGCCACGCAAGAGCATCTCCATGGATACAAGTATGTGGTGAACCCTCTATCAAAATAAAATTTAAAAAAATTACCTAGAGCTTCTTTCAGTTTCACGGGTAAGAGAAAACTGCTGCTGTCACCTGCTTGTCACTGTGGAGATAGATTAACGTAATGCCAAACTATGGAACATTCTAGCCAAAGCAAGAACGTCTCCATGGATACAAGAATGTGGCGAACCCTCGATCAAAAAAAAATTCCTAGAGCTTCTTTCAGTTTCACAGATAAGAAAAAAATCCACATCTGCTGCTGTCACCTGCTTGGAGATAGATGAGTGTAATGCCAAACTATGGAACATTCTAGGCCAAGCAAGAACGTCTCCATGGATACAAGGATGTGGCGAACCCTCTATCAAAATAAAATAAAATAAAAATTACCTAGAGCTTCTTTGCCTAGTATGAAAGTGGTGTGAGCATGAGTGATGGTGGTGGTCGGAGGGGCCGATGGCGCAGATTGGCAGCCTCGCTTCCGTCAGTCTGCCCCAGGGCAGCTGTGGCTACAGTAGTAGCTTACCACCACTGAGTGTGGAGTGACTGAATAATGAACTGTAAAGTGCTTTGGGTATCTTGAAAGGCGCTATATAAATGCTATCAATCAATCAATCAATCAATCTTTCAGTTTCACGGGTAAGAGAAAACTGCTGCTGTCACCTGCTTGTCCCTATGGAGATAGATTAACGTAATGCCAAACTATGGAACATTCTAGCCAAAGCAAGAACGTCTCCATGGATACAAGAATGTGGCGAACCCTCAATCAAAAAAAAAAAAATACCTAGAGCTTCTTGCAGTTTCACGGGTAAGAAAAAAAATCCATGGAGAAAATCCAGTCACACCTGCTGCTGTCACCTGCTTGTCCCTATGGAGATAGATTAACGTAATGCCAAACTACAGAACATTCTAGCCAAAGCAAGAAGGATGTGGCGAACCCTCGATAAAAAAAAAAAAAAAAAAAAAAAAAAACTGCTAAGAGCTTCTTTCAGATTCTTTCAGTGCATTAAGATCTTGCATATTCATTACCGCAACATTGAAAACAGTGATCCTGCCGAGCTTGCATAACGCCCGAGCAGTGAGATTTCGACATATTCACACCTCCGTAGTAAACAGTGCCAGTCTCTTTGGCTTTCACTGCTCTGTCTGTCACACGTATAGTTAACACAAAACCACTAATTACAAGTGTGTGAGCGCTTTATGTAAATCCTCTAAGAGCCCGGCGATCGATACAGCTGACAAGTGAACCAGAGGAGCAGTGTTTCAGGGGAACGGAGCTGGAAATAGTACATGTAAACGAAGCATGGCGTTTTTTTACACACTAATGAGTTCATAATGGCAGCGCAAGGCCCGTCCGTCGCCTCGCAGCAAGATGGTCCTGGGTTCGGTTCTCAGATCAGGCGGGGATTTTGGGTGTGGAGTTGGTTCTCAAGTGTCTGAGTAGGCTCCTTCTGTTCACATAATAATGCTTTTCTAATTAATGGTAGCATGGTGTTTGAGTGGTAAGACACCTCCCAGCAAGATGGTCCTGGGTTCAATTCCCAGATAAGACAGGGATTTTCTGTGTGGACCTTGCATGTTCTGCCTGTGTCTGTGTATTGTAGGTTTCTTCTGGTCACACAATAATGCCTTTCTAATTAGTAGTAGTGATGTGTTTGAGTGGTAAGCCCCGTCACCTCACAGCAAGATGGTCCTAGGTTCGATTCCTGGACAGTACAGTGATTTTGAGTCTGGAGTTTGCATATTTTTCAAGTAGGTTTCCTCTGGTCACACAATAATGCGTTTCTAATTAATAGCAGTGACGTGTTTGAGTGGTAAGCTCTGTCACCTCACAGCAAGATGTTCCTGGGTTCGAATCCCAGAAAGTACAGGGATTTTGTGTGTGGAGTTTGCATGTTTTTTAAGTAGGTTTCCTCTGGTCACACAAAAATGGGTTTCTAATTAATGGCAGCATTGTGTTTGAGTGGTAAGCCTTGGTACCTCACAACAAGATGGTCCTGGGTTCGATTCCCAGATAACCCAGGGATTTTCTGTGTGGACCTTGCATGTTCTGCCTGTGTCTGTGTATTGTAGGTTTCTTCTGGTCACACAATAATGTGTTTGTAATTAATAGCAGTAAGGTGTTTGAGTGGTAAGCCCCGTTGCCTTACATCAAGATGGTCCTAGGTTTGATTCCCGACAGTACTGAGATTTTCTGTGTGGAGTTTTCAAGTTTTCCAAGTGTCAGTGTAGGTTTCTTCTGGTCACACAATAATGCGTTTCTAATTAATAGTAGTGAGGTGTTTGAGAAGTAAGCCTTGGCCCCTCACAGCTAGATGGTCCTGGGTTCGATTCCCAGATAATACAGGGATTTTCTGTGTGGACCTTGCATGTTCTGCCTGTCTCTGTGTATTGTAGATTTCCTCTGGACACACAATAATGTGTTTCTAATTAATAGCAGTGAGGTGTTTGAGTGGTAAGCTCTGTCACCTCACAGCAAGATGGTCCTGGGTTCGATTCCAGGACAGAACATGGACTTCATGTGTGGAGTTTGTATGTTTTCCAAGAGTCTGCATAGGCGTCTGCTTTCTGGTTTGTGGTCACACAATAATGCATTTCTAATTAATAGCAGTGAGGTGTTTGAGTGGTAAGCCTTGTCACCTCACAGCAAGATGGTCCTGGGTTTTATTCCCAGTCTGGGTTTGTGGGTAAAGAAATCTAACAGACTCTTACAGCTAACTCTAAGAAGGGTTTGAATACAGCCCAGGAGAGATCACTAAATTACATGCATGGATGACATCTAAAACCTCTAAGGCCCAACATTATAACATGGTAGAAAGCTTTTTGTGCACATAATATAAGACACACTTATCAAAAAACACATGAGCCAAAAAAAAAAAAAAAAAATTACAATTTCAATGTTCTGGAAAGAATAGGGATGGGTAATTTGACAAAAATAGAATTTCGTATCAAGATTTTTATATAGACTAAAAACTAAATTTAAATGAATTATTTGATTATCTAAACAAAGACATCTACCTTGAAAATCACCAAACTGATCATTGATGATTTGAAAAAACAATCTTCACAGTAGGACTGTCAAAACTATCAAAAATCAGATACTAATTGATACAAAAACTAGTATCAATAGTGGAAAAAAATTGCATAACTGAATAACATTCGACCTTTCCTAATCAGTTTCATCTTGAGATTTTTCAGAAGTAGTGTAAGACCATTTGGCAGAGGTTGTTGTTTTGCCAGTCTCAAGTAAGTCTCAAGTCTTTGCCCTCAAGTCCAAGTCAAGTCCCAAATCAAAGACAGTCAAGTCCAAGTCGAGTCTCAAGTCACTGGCCCGTAAGTCCAAGTCAAGTCCAAGTCATCTGCTTTGAGCTTCAAGTCATTTCAAGTCTTTAAACCAAAGTATCTTAGATTTTTGCAATTTATATGACTTAAGCTAAATTGTACTTCAAATATCTGACAAGGTCTTAGTGGGAATTGTTACAGTCAGAATAGAAAGAACTAAGATTTTAAAATGCAGTTATTTTGTCATGTTGTCTGCACTGAAATGGAACGATGATGTACTTTGTAGATCCCCTTGTTTTACTTAGTTTTACTGTGTATTACTGTAGTACATTTGAGGATACCATCTCACAGTACTGCAGTTTCACCCAAAGTAGCAAACAGAGGAATGGAAGGGGCATGTTCCAGTTTGTTCTTGTAAAATTCAGCATCACATTTATCAACTGTAAAGAGAAAAGTATTTTGTAAAACCATATTTTTTTTAGGAGAAGCATCAAGTCTTCTCAAGTCACAGGCCTAAAGTCCGAGTCAAGTCCCAAGTCATTGAGCTTCAAGTCCAAATCGAGCCCCAAGTCTTAGTCCATTTTATCAAGTCAAGTCTCAAGCCCTAAAAATA